CATCCCAGCGTGCCATGCTGGCTCTCCCTCCATTATGGACTTTATTTTAAGCTTTTGGTATTTGCATTTAAATGTTTGAACAATCTTTCTCCACCCTGTAACTCGGAGCTGCTTCATCATTACCTCCCAGCCAGATCTGCAGCTCAGCTGACAGGTTGTTGATGTTGGTCCTTAAAACTAGGATGCACACTGCAAAAACGATCTAGAAATAAGTAGAAATTTCTTAAATTAAGTGTATTTATCCTTATTCTAAGTAGGTAAATGAGATAGTTTACCAATGGAATTAGTATTTTTACTCTTAAAATAATTAGAGAATATACACTTGAAATAAGACAATGCAATTGTGTTTTCTTATTTTAAGTGTAAATTCTCTTGTTCCATTGGCAAAATGTCTCTTTTACCTCCTCAATTGACTTCTCTAAATGACTTATCTAGATTTCGATTTTTTCCAGTGCAGCTCAGGGCTGACGGAGCATTTCCTGTCTCTGCTCCCAAGTCATGGAAAATTTCCCCCCTGGTGTTTAACAGGCCTCTGCTTTTCCAGCTTCTAAAGCTCTTTTAAAAACACATTTTGATTCCTTGCATTTAACTGCGATCCGGTTCGTTCTGTACGACACTTCAAAATATGCCCGCTGTGATAAAAACTTAAATTGTTTTTTTTTGTTGTTGTGTTTAATCTTAAAACTTAACTCATGTTTTCTCACTGGTTCTCTAAATATACAGCATTTGGCTTTTTCCTCTAATTTTCTGAATCCGCATCTCATGCCGTCTGCCGCCATTTTGAAAACCACTGAAATAAAGTCCCACTTTAAAAAGAAACAAACAGACTGTTTACATTTGATCACTGCTGAACTTTATGGAAATGTTCATTTACTGTTTGAAAAGCTGAACTGAATGAAATTTGGTTTCGTATACAGTCTGTAGGTACAGAATGGCAATAAAACCTGACTGAGACATATTATCAATGATGTATTCAAACAAATATAAACAATGGGGAAAAAATCTGAAAACAAGGTGAAAGATTAAGCTGTTATTTGCTCTTTCTGCAGTTTGTGTTGATCTGTGACTGGAGCTCTTTAGCAATATTCCAACATCAGATCAGTTTTCTGGGCCTTTTTTGTCATGATCTGGCCTGTTTGCTCTCCCCTAATTAGTAATTCATCTCACCTGCCCTCTTCCCTCCCTGCCTCAATTATAATTTATTCCTCTCACCTGTTTCCTGTGGTTTATATTCAGTTCAGCCTGAGCATTCAGGGCCAGATCATTGCTTGTCTTTCTGTCCAGTTTTATTTGGTTCATGCATGTCCTGGATCCTAGCAGCTGGTGGAAAGAGGGTTTTAGTGTTTGTCTCGTCTCCTGATCGTCCACTGTTCCTCCCCCGCGGGGTCCTCTGTGTTTTTGGCTCATTATGGGGGGAGGTTCAGTTTTTATCCAGTAAGCCTGGCTCCAGGGAGGAGACCAGTTTAAAGTCTGCTTCAAGTTCCGGTTCCTACGTCCTGTCTCGGCTACCCTCTTCCACTGAGCCTGCCTGTCTGCACCTGATCCTGTCTGCTCCTGTGCGTGACCACCTGGTCATGCTTCTGGTCCCAGTCAGACTCTGAACCCTCCTGGAAGCCTGTGCATGTCTGGAAGTCTGGATCCTGCCGCCTGTTTCTGCTCCTGCCTGATCTGGATCCTGCCTGTTCCTGTCTGTTCTGGATCCCTGACCAGGATCAGCTTCCAGCATCACCTCTGGGACTGCAGCACTGGGGACACTCGTGGTCTGGACTGGTAAACCAGGTAAGTGACCAACACAGATAATCATATATCAGTTTATCATGGTCACTTACCTGTGTTTCCTCCCCTAGAGTGTCTGAGATTGGGCGGTGCCCCGCCCCCCCGCTTGCAGTGTCCGTGAGCCACAGCTCCGCTTTTGTTTTGTTTTTATTTTAATAAACCTTTTGAACTTTCCTACTGACTGTCTCTCCTGAATACTGGGTCCATCTGTCCTCGTTTCATTACATTTTTGGGTCCAATCAGGCTGATATTACAGGAGCTAATAACGACTTTGCAACACTGACAGAAACAAGTATTCATGTTCCCTGCGTCACAAGATTTTACTTAATTCTGTCCCCATAAATAAAATGCCACAACTTTAAAATGTCTAAAGGATTTTTATATTTTGGTGTGTAAATTGAAAAAGATTAAGACATCAAATTATCTTTTTAAAATAGTTTTTATTTACTGATCTCTCTTTTCGTCCAAGAATAGCCTGAAAATTATACCACCGACATAAATACCACCGACACCTGATAAGCGTCCGGAGGAACGACCTGTTTTTTGCTCCTGAAGAAAAGATGTGGGCGGAGATTGTTTCCAACTTGGATGAAGTTCTAAGCCTGTCCTGAAAAACAAGCTCTGACCTGATGAACGAGGGAAGAGTCTCTGGGTGGAAAAGTACTGGAAGCCTTCATGTGTTTCAGCAGCGAGGAATCCTGCTTCAGACAAACCTGTTCTGAACGACGTTGCTTCAGAGGTCTGGTCCAACTTTAGGAGGATTAGGAGCAGAAATCTGACGAAAAACTGAGAGAAACCACAAATAATTTCACAACCTTAATGGGAAACTTATCCAACTGAACAACAAGCTAAAAAACTTGTTTATCCCTTCACTCATTCTTTAACCCCTTTATCTAATCACCCATTCATTCACTTCCATCCATACTTTTAAGCATTTGTTCACCCACTTACTCATTCACTCATTAATTCCCCAACATATTTAGCCATTCACTCACCTGTGCATTCACACATTCATTTTTTTATTCATTTTTTATTCACACATCCATTTATTCACCCATTTATTGATTAATTAAAATTTACCCTTTTATTCATCCATTTGTTTACCCATTCATTCACTCATTCGTCCACACATTTTTCTACCCATTCATTTATTCTCTAATTTATTCAGTGATACATTCACCATTTATTTGCTTGTTTGCACATTTCTTTGCCAATTATTCAATTCTATTCAGTTTATTTCTATAGCTCCAATTCCCATCATGTCATCTCAGGTCACTTTCCAGTTCACCAGATCATCCAGTCAGATTGATTCAAAGTTTTCTATCTAAGGAAAACCAGCTGATTGCATCGACTCATTGACTCTTCAGCAATCCCTCACACTAAGCATGCTTGTAGCGACAGTGGAGAGGAAAAACTCCCTTTGAACAGGAAGAAACCTCCAGCAGAACCAGGCTCAGTGTGAGCGGCCATCTGCTGAGGCCCACTGGGGTTCAAGAAGACAGAAGCAGACATAGAAAAAGAAGCATAGATACAAAAGGCAACCAGCTCCACAGGCGGCCCCGTCCAGGAAACACACAGCCAGGCAGATGAGCTGGTTACTCCAACGTGCAGCCTCCTTAAGCAGCGCAGTTTTTAACATTCCCAGGTCATTTAATCCGATGGCAAAGGCACCAGTAGTTGAAAACTCATAATAAAAAGTTAATCTAAAAAGTAGTTATATTGTTCTTGCAGGTATAAAAACATTTTTCTGTCCAAAAAATGGCCCCCAAGTAAATTATTCTTCATCTTAATCTTCATCTACATCTGTGATGAGAAAAATAATTTTACTCTATTCCTCTTGTTCAGCATTAGATGTTCTGTATAATTTAATTATCCTTCTATGTACTTTGCTTCTGAAGTAGTTCAGTTAGTGCGATCTTTTGTCTGACCGGAACAGAGAGACTGGATCTTTTCTCCCTGGTAAGGATTTATAAATGCTGCTTAAATGAAAAACACGGATCTCAATTCTTGTAAATTTAGGACTTGGACTTTTTTCTCTGGTAACTCTTCATAAAGATAAAGAAGAATGAAAAGCTTTGTTTCTTTCTAAAGAATTATTTTGTCTTTTCAGTAATTACTTCATTTAATTACAGATTACTTTGATTCATAGATGGTTTCTGTTGATGTTTTATACCAATATGAATATCTTTGATTGTTAAAAAGTTTTGGTTTAAAAATAGATGATGGTTAAAGCACACGACTAATGTATGAAGGCCTTAGTTCTTAAACCAGATGACCTGGGTTCGAACCAGACCCGTGGTCCTTTGCTGCATGTCTCTGCCCCTCTTTCAAACACGATTTCCTGTCAGCCTACTGTCCAAAAAATGAGCCTCTAGTGCCGTAAAAACTTGAAAATTAGATGTCAGCGGGGATGTCAGGAATCCAGTTTTTGTGTTTCCTTTCCTCCTCCACCAGGTGGTGCCCCGTCCTCATTGGTTCTCCCTGCACACCTGCAGCTCATTACCTGTGGAGCGTTCTTAAGCTGCTGACTGCCACTACCTCGACTCCAGAGTGTTTGCCAATACTGGGCACTCCAGCCATGCTTAGTTTAGCAGAGTCTAACCTGAGTCTTTGTTTGCCAGTTTTGGATTCTCTAGTCTAGCTGAGTTTTGCTGAGTCAAACTGAGTTTTTGTCAACCTGAGTCTTAACTTTGTTTTTGTCTTTGCCTCTCGGCAGGAAGTCATCCTGCAAACTGGATTTGTTTGGACCTTCTCACCGCAGCCCGTTCAAGTACCGCAGGAAATCAGAGTGGCAGTCAGCTTCTCCGTTCACCAGGGAACAACCGCAGAGTAACCCAGTCCACCCATTACCAAACAAGACAACCTCTGCTACAATCCTCACAGTCTGGATTCCATAAAGGACACCTTTCCCTGGAGAAATGAGGCTGCAACCTTTTCCTCCAATTCTAAACCTAAGGTTCAATTTTCCCACTGAGCCTGAACTAACCGCAGTGTCTTCCCCTCACCTTCCAGTTCCCGTTGAGCAGTGTTCAGAGCAGCACTGGATTCACCACATCATTACCAAATAAACCTGTTTAAACTTTTCCCTGGTCTCTCTGTTTGGTCTTCTGCATCTTTGGGTCAGAATTTAGATAAAGATCATGACAGGGGAGGATTACATTTACCAAGTAACAGAATTCAATGCCCATTTAATTTTCAATAAGTTAGAAATAAAGATAACATTATTAGAGCTAAAGCACAGGACATATTTATTTCAAATCAGAGCAGTTTTCACACGATTACAGGAGAAATAAATCCATTTATTCTTCCCTTCTTCTAACACCACATCCTCAGGCGGAACCGTGTCAAATTCACCAGGACGCATCTTCAGTTTATTATCTAGGAGCAGGTGGAACCGCAGAGATCAGCCCTCAGGAGGCGTGCTCAGGTGCGCCTGTGTGGGCAGGTGTGGCCCACCGGGCGGCAGTAGCAGATGGCGTTGTAGAACCGGCAGTAGCAGGTGTCACAGGGGTCACAGCAGGGCAGCGAGTAACCCAGGCAGAACTGCTGGTGAGGGATGCAGCGGCGAGGGGAGCGAGCGGCTCGGCCCTGCAGCTGCAGCGCAGACGAATCCTGCAGGACAAGAGAAGCAAAGAGGAGGGTCAGTGGGGGGGGGGGGTCTACAGAGAGCTGCTGAGGTCAGTTCTGCACCTCATTGTTGGAACCCGTCTCCATCATGAACCGGTCCTCCTCTGACTCCACAGGAAGAACAGCTTCCTGAACAGGGTTGGGGGCGTGGCCTCGATCTGCAGAACACAGTAAGGAAAAACGTCACCTGAAACGTTTAAACTTCTGCTCCGATGTTCTCTCTAAAACACTCCTGCAGAGAACCAGTGGATCCATTAGCACCAGTAGTTCTAGAGGAGGAACCTTCTAAAAAATCTGGACCAGAACCTCGTTACCAACAGGGGGGGAAAGTTTGCCCCTTTAAAATATGCAACTATCTGAGCTGACTGCAGAGCTCTCTGATTGGACGTGTCACCAACCGATGTCAGACAGGTAGGAGGTGTCGGTGCGGAGGCCCCCCGCCGGGCCGTCGTCCAGCTGGATGCCACCATGAACCAGAGCACAGGAGAGGCGCAGCAGGCTGAGGGACCAGCAGCAGAGCAGCAGCCTGCCAAACATCCTGCCAGGGATGAGGAGGAGAAGAGAAGAAGAAAAATCTGCACGGCAACTCCCACAATCCTTTGCTCTTCCTACGAGGAGCTCTGAAAGGAGGAAAATGAAGCAGTTAGATTCCCTGTCTGGAGAAGTTGAGCCATTCTAGTCTTATATTTCCTTTGAACAATGACGGCATGAAACTAAAGCTTTGATAAAACAGAAAAACAGCATCAATGCCTTCAGAGACGCAGACAAATAAAAATGTCTTCCAATGAATGAATGAGAGCAGCCAGAGGTCCAGCTTCATTAGAGAAACACCTCAGACTGAACAATCTGATCACAGTCAGAATCGGTTCTCCACCTGGAAGGACTTCATGGAGCTAAAAGATGAAAATGTTTTAGAGATGGAAAAAATGATTCCTTATTAAATCGATGGAGGAGAGAAGCTGGAGACCAACAATAAAAGTTCCTTAAATATGATCTACAGATGCAGCAGTTATGGGATCAGGATGATCAGGCTGAGAGCAAAAAGGAAAAATACCGAAAAGACGACCAGTTATTTTAGATTTTTTGAGAAAAGTTGCTCGATTGTCGAAATCTTTGTTGCCGTTACTTCTGTCTAAATTCATCTATGCACACAGAATAAAGTATTTATATAAATTTTAAAGATTTGTTTTCATTTGTAATTTTAAATGTAGATTTAATTACTAATGGGAAATAAAATTATTACATTCTTGATGTTAAATGTATTTTTAATTATATAATCGGACATTTAATTATTTAAATCAAACTTTTTTAAAATCTATAATTAATATTTAACTCATAACTCAAATGTATTTTAATTATTTTAACGAGACATTTAATTATTAACATTTCAGTTCTTTAATGGAACATTTGATTATTTCATTCATTAATCTTAAATTCAATTTTAAATCAATAAATGAGCATTGAATTATATAATTGAGTAATTTACATTTTAATGGCATTTTTTAGGTTTTGAATTATATATTAAATAAGCTAATAAATAAACATTACCTCTACTTATTTAATGGTACGTTGATGTAGTTCATTCATCCTAAAATCAGTGTTTCGCCACCTTCCTTGGGGTCCGGCCCCCACTTTGGGAACCCTTGATTTACGCTTCAGGCCATTTGGCAGAAATAAAAATAAAGAGTTATAATTATTAATAAGTTATAATAATGGAAAGAAATACGCCTGTTATCCCAGAGGATAACGGTTGTTTTTAATTTTCTCATTTTGGTCAAATAAAGAACCAAAATGAAAAGTAAAGTAAAAACCTAAATGTAAGCTGACCAGAACTAAAATACGACAAAAAACACAAGTCATTCATAAAGGTGAAAAACAGAAACAAAAGTGATCAAAATCAGTCATTTTAAAAGTTATTTTATGATAAATAATTTAATATTCCACATTTTTTTTGTAAAATACATCAATTTTTTTCAATTTTCGCTTCATTTTCCATTTTTCTTTACTGTTTATGAAGAATGTAAATAATGTAAGTATTTTTCTTAAGGGAGGAAAACTGTTTTTTGCCGACAAAGATTCTCTATCTAATAGTTTTCTTTGAAATCTACCAGAAACTACAAACATTTAAAGTCTTTTCAGGAAATACAGGATGAAAAAAAAAACTTTTCATTCAGTCTAACAGCTGATCATCATCATCATCATCATCATCCTCCTCCTCATCATCATCCTCATCATCATCATCATCATCAGGTGGAAACTCACCCTCTGGCTGTCGTTCCTGCTGCGTTTCTGTTTCTGAGGAGATGAAGGTGATTTAAAGCCCAATCAACAGGAAGTGGTCACATGACCAGCATGGTGGGCGTCGCCGCCTCTGTTTAATTTGGGATTGATCATTGAAGGCTCAAAACATAAGGAGCTTTTTCATCATCATTTAGCAGCCAATGTACGACTGCAGCCCAACAGGAAACCAATAATAGTAATAAAAAATCAGCGACTTTCTCTCCAACATCTATTCCAGAAAAAAGCAGAGAAGCTGCTGGAGGCTCCTGGTGTTTCTCCACCCATTAGCTTCTGTGTGTCTGAGCTACGGTTAAACGACTGAACTCAGCAGATGATGACAAGGAGAGACGCTTTTTTTAAAATTAATTCAGTCCAACACTTTTAAATAAACTAATATGTGGTTTTAAAATAAAAATGCTCCATTCAGTCTGGAATCTAGGAGCTGCTGCAGAAGCCCAGATCTTCTTCATTCTTCACTCCGGACCTGGATCTTTTTTCCTCTGACGAATCTGAAAACATGCACATTAAATCTGATTATTAAATACATTTTCAAAATTAGATTTAATCTATCATTTAAATTGATTGATTGACTTTATTGATCTTACAGTGAAGAATTTACTGGTTCCATCAGCTCAGCAGAGATGGGAAGTAACGAAGTACAAATACTTCGTTACTGTACTCAAGTAGATTTTTCTGATATTTTTACTTTACTTTACTACTTATTTATATGGCGACTTTTTACTTCTACTTCTTACATTTTTACACAAATATCTGTACTTTCTACTCCTTACATTTTAAAAAATTGTCTCGTTACTTTAGTTTTGAATCATTTCAATGGAGTTACCGTTATTATTTTTCACGTCATCAATACCAAATTCAATCTAATTGGATGGGAATCTACGTTGCATTTGACGCACCACTACAAGATGAATCGACAGATTCGGCGGTATTCATTGGCGGCAAATCATTGCAGCTTGGTGGCGGTGGCGTTAGCATAGTAGCATGGACGACGAGATGATTGAAAATGAACACAACGGAGATCTAGTCCTATTGGCAGACATCCATTTAAAATGTAGGCAACGGCATGAAAAAAGTGGTTTCTACTTTTACTTTTATACTTTAAGTAAATTTACAAGCCTGTACTTTGTTACTTTTACTTGAGTAAAGAAGTTTAATCAGTACTTCCACTTTTACCAGAGTATTTTTTAACACAAGTATCTGTACTTTTACTCAAGTACGGAAAGTGAGTACTTTTGCCATCTCTGCAGCTCAGATAGTCTAAAGAGAAGAAGAAGGTGCATGAGATATTTATACAGCATATAAAGGCCATCGACATATGACAGCTTTTGATTTTATTTTTTATAGCAGGATCATACAGGGTGTTTACATGGATATTATTATAGATGGATATTCATATATATAGTTATTGCTCAGGTTAATGAGACGTTTAATCATCAAATTATGTATTTTTTAATTCTATGGAATTTAATATTTGACTAGAGTATTAGATAAATGAATAAATGTGTATTTATTCAGACATTGTTGTTTTTAATGTTTTGGCATTCGGGGATCACATCACGATAATGAAACCGCCTGGCGAGCCACCATTTAACCTTAACGATCCCCCCGGGGGTCTCGAAACCGGGCTCTAAAAATAATGCAGTGACTTAATGTAACGTTTTATGGTCGACTTACTAAAATCATTCTGCTTTTCTTTTCAATTTAGGATGATTAAATTATACTTAAACAACAAGAAGAGATGTTGAAAGAACAAATTTTAAATCTAAACTGTCACTTTTATTAAATAGGTGTTCATGCTAATTAATATTGACCACACCTGCTTCCGTATTAATACTTAAAATGAGTTTTTTATGCTAAACATTGGTTTATTTGGTAATGTTTTCACAACAATAGATTTAAATTTGACTAAAGACCAAATTAACGTAATCCTGTCACTTTGAAGTATTTAAGAAAATTCGTATTGTCTGTAGCTGCTAATGGGAGCGGACTTCCTGTCATTTCCCAGGATGCTCAGCGGCATGTTTTTATATCCTGTGTTGCATCATTAAGAAGATGAAGGTGTTTTATATGTTGCATTCTTTTCCGGTAACTTTTAAAACTTAGTCTGCTGGTTTAAACTGGATTTATTTTTATTTGAAGCTAACCACCCGGTTGTTCAGCTTGACTATTATTAATAATACGTGAACCAGATGTGTTGATTCGTGTAACTGACGAAAAACAAGCATGAAAAATGCAAACATCTAATATAATAATTAATTCCACTGAATCATTTAACTCCAACTTGAGGAGATTAAGCTCCAACATTTAGATGTAATAATGTTAATACTACTTAATAATATTAATTAATCTAAACAAAACTGTCATAATTAACCTTTAGAAACATCTATATAAATTCACAGGACAATGTTATCTGGATGGGAAGCAAAACGTCTTCAAATTGTTTTTTATTTTCTTTTTATGGAATGACAATGACCTGGATGACTGGGAATCCTCACCAGCACACGATTTAGTTATCTTAAGTTTGCCATAAATATTATGTTAAATAAAATATAAAATACTTTTTGCATTTAACCAACTTGTGAGGACCTGGTAATTTTAGTTCAACGTGTCATTTTTCTTTTCTTAGAGTTCAGGCAGTTGGAGGAAAGCCGGGAATGCACTGTACGATATTTTCAATCTTTGCGCGCAGCTACAGCGAAAACTGTACGACGAAACCGCGGGGAGTAAAAGTTCCAGTCGCACAATGTTTTTTTCTCACCGATGCTCTGATGCGATCTAACTGCTCACGCTGCACGTCTGAAAACATCACGTCAACTCATCAATCTGGAGGAAGAAGAATTGTTTGCACATGTGGTGCTGAAAGTTCTGGTAAATCGGCTCATAGAAGCTCGTCTGCTTCATGTTTGATTTTCTCCCGACCTACGATTCCTGATGGGGGGGTGGTCGTTAGAGGCTGGTCGCCCCTCGTTACCCCCTGTTCACTACGCCACGCACCATCAGGATGAAAGTCGGCCCGATCAAAAACATTCATTTTCCAGTCATTCATATGACTGGAAAATCGGCCTGAAAAGGGAAATAATTCGTACAGCTTTATGGACTGATGGGACAGGTCCTCTGGATTATGGGGGGAATTTTGTTTCTTTATTGTTGCAAGCAAAGGATACGTTTTGTAAATGGAAATTTGACCATAATGCAATAAAAAAAAACTTCTTCAACAAAAAAAGATTTTGCACATTCACTTCAAGCCAAATAAAAAAAAAACTTGCTGTGGACCAATAAAAACCTTGTTGCTAACGTCCATGCAGACCAATAGAAATGCGCCACTCCAGAGGAAAGCCCGCCCCAAATGGAGAAGAGAATGTGATCTGGAAAATAAAATTTGAAAAGAATGTAATTATTTAAACTAAATCTGAACATAAAAACATAAAAATCATTTTTGAAACTATAGAATAATCTGTAAAACAAAACATTTAAATACAAACAAATAAAATCTGTTAAAGATAATTTATGTTTTGAAAACAAATTAGCAAAAAAATGGAAAAATATAATTTAAGAAAAAAGCAAATTCACTCTCAAAACTTTTATGATGAAAATTTCCAGTTTCATTTCAAGACTGTATTTTTATTCCAAATATCTGTTAACAAAACTTATTTTTGCTTGGAAGAATAATGGCACCAATTTCTCTCCATACATCCCAGTGAGCAAACAGGATGCAGCGTTTGACCCTGTGTAACCACCAGTGAACTATAAAGTTATTTCTAAGATGATACCTAGAAACAATAATCCAAGTTTTACTTCTACTAAGTGGGAAGGCGTCTCATGCCAACCAGTCCTCCTCCTAACTAGATCCTTCATCACATCCGACCTTTGACTGTGTTTCTCAGATCTACACTTTCTGTTTTCAAACGTTGAGCAGAGGAAAGTCTTGCATCATGCTTCACGGTGGACATCAGGATGTGAATGCGTTTCATTGTGAGGACTGTGAGTCACATGTTTTTCAATCAGAGTGTTCTGAGGATGAAGCTTCGGACTGAGCGCGCTCATTAGAGCGCCATAATGACTTTCTCTGTTGCTGCCATTGGAGGACATTAGTTCAGCTGCTTCCTTCACGTTCCTCCCATTATTGTCAATCTGCTGCTTCCTCCGGCTCATTATCCTCCATCTGCAAACATGGCGCTGCTTCTCTGAACAGTGACACGCTGATGACATCATAGCAGCACTCAGCACAAACGAAGCGAAACGCCACTCGCTGATTACCAGCGTTCTGCTGCAGATCAACATAATGCACATGTTTACCGTCTTCCTTCGCTTCCTGTTGGAAGTGTATGGATGGTCACCGTGGCAACAGGAGAGGTCAACAGGTCAAAGTTGAAACCTGCAGAACAAACTCTGAATTTCTTTATATTTTAAGCTCTCTGCCCCTCTTCCCACAGTGGGACGTCTGGGGATCTCATCCTAGGCCTGTGGGACAGCTCTTCTAGGTCAGAGGTCACGGATTGGGGGACCAGGGTCAGGATCCGGATCCACCTGCTGGCTAATCCGGACTCAATCTGATTCAAAATATTTATAAATTACGGCATGTTGTCAGACGACAGTGTCTAATTTCACTTGCGCCTCTTCTCCTGTTAATACGGTAAAGCCCTGGGGAGCGTCCGGCTCCAGGCTGCACGTGATCCACATGAGCCAATGAGCTGTCAGTCTGGGTTGCTGCTGCTGCTACTTTTAGACACAGCAGGCAAACCTGTGGCAAGCCGGGCGATGGGAAAGAAGGAGAAGACCATGAGAAAAAGAGAGCAGAGAAAGTGTGGACTGCTGGAAGAACTGCGGTGAACTGGTGAAAGAAAAGTGAAATGGCGTGCTCAAAGATGACCCTGCACATTTAGAGGATGTTTGGCTCAACCTGCTGCTGTGAAGCAGGATTCTCCACCATGAACAGAATCAACAATAAATCTGGATCCAGGCTCAAAATGAGCACCTTGATATGTGCTTGAGAATGGCTTAGTCTCCGGTTAAACCCAGGTTTAAAGCCTTGCAGGGCAGCCTAAAGCCCACTGCCAACATTAAGACGGAAAAAAGAAAGAAAATAACAAACCATCAGTTCAGGGGTTTGAGAAAATATGGGAATCAGGAAATTATCTATAAACCAAACTGAACGATTGTTGTTCTCTACTTAAAAAAACACTTTAGATTTTAAAATAGAAAAACTTAATATGCACATTAAATGTGATGTTATTTTTTTTTTTTTTTATTTAAAAAGTCAATGTATAACATGGTCGCATAAAAACCCTCATTTTATTTCAGTGTTAAATTCTGTTTAAAGTAACATAATATAAATAAAAATGTCTCTGGACCTTTACTGGTTGATGACTTTCTTTATTCAGACCCGCTGGTTTTTAATTGGTGACTCCTGGTCTAAGGAATTGGTCCCTCATAGTTAACTTTTAGAAAAACATCACAAATCACTAATTCTCTATATTAAGACAAATGCTGATTTGTGAAACTCAATAGATTTTTGACAACCTGCCTGGTTTAAAGTCGGTCGCAACGTTTGATATTTTTTTAATGACGATTCTTAAAAAGAAATCTATCCTATATAATCATATTCAGATTTTACATGCAATAAGCAGATAGGTTTATATATCTGTAACAAACTGTTAGTTTAGGCTTAATTATCTCCAAGTATGGAGAACCAGCTCTACCATATAAAAAAAAAAATTACATAAATAAATAAATGCTCAATAAATAAACAAGCATACAATTGTCTCTCTAAGACCCCCCCCCCTCATTTGCATAAAAAGGCAGAAATGCAGAAGGAAGTGTAAAAACATCAGGCAGAAATAAATAGGGTAAAAATACAAAGAAAAATTAAAACAGATAAAAATATTATAACATGCACATAAAAAAAATAAGTAATTAATAAAGCTGAAGATTATAACTAACGATAAATAAATACAGTAATTATTAGAAAGGTGAATAAATAAAAAAAGCAAATTAAAGGAGATATATACATTAATGTCTCACTGTATAATTTAATTTCTACCTACATTCATTAATTTATTATATATTTAGGGGCAATTAATGGTATTCTTATTTATGTATTGAGCATTTATTTATTTCTGTATTTATTTTTAAACATGGTAGAGCTGGTCCTCCATATTACAGCAGAGTATTAGGGCCGGGCTAGAGATATTTTCTTCTTTTTCAAGAATAATTCTGGAAATAGACGAAAATAAAATCTCTAATCTGGCCCTAAAACTCTTTCTACCAATTTCCATTTAGTTTAACAAAAACAACAAAAAAAAGGTGTTGCCATGGCCACCAGTCTCTCCTGCTTTATAATCTCTGGTTTTAAAATCAGAGATGGAGCCAGTTTCATGTTGCCAAGCTTTATATATTAGATAATTAAATCTAAAGTTGATCTAGATTTGGCTGCTGATGGTGAACGTCTCCATCCATTGATCCATTGTCTGGATCCAACATGGCGGCCGCACAGCCTGAGGAGTCAGGTGACAGAGGAGCTCCCTCTGCTCCTCCCTCTGTCACCTGACCGCCATCTTCCTCTGTGCCGCAAACAGACACCTGCAGACAGCGCCAGTAGATCCCAGATCGAGTCGATCCGCGCAGCCGGAACTCAGGTGCAGACAGTCCGCGTCCCTCAGCGGGTCCCCCCCGGAGCTTCCAGCCATGGTGTTCGAGTCCATGGTCAGCGACCTTCTGAACAGGTTCATCGGGGACTACGTGGAGAACTTGGACAAGTCTCAGCTGAAGATCGGGATCTGGGGAGGTGAGCCGCTGTGCTAGCTGGCAGCTACCGCTGCCAAACAGGGACGTCAACCAGACTCAGTTCAGAAAATCCCGCATTTCCCCCTTTGCTGGTGGCATGCCTTCTTTATATCATATTCATAATCCATGATGGGCCTGATTGGAGGATTACAGTTTGCTCTTTAATTCGGCTCCTATTGAAACCACAAACATCCAATTAATTCAGCCTAAATTAAAACTTTTTTGCTGGTGACACTAAAGGCGGAAACGATCAGAGCAGCGCGGCTATAATTTCACTGCTTCATGGTAGATCATAGATCAGCTGACAGCTGCTGAGATGTTGGCCGAATGAAAGTGTGTTACAGGCGGAGCCCAGTGAGCCACAGAGCTGCCTGTGTTCAGCTGCAGATCCAGGCAGAGCAGAGTTCATTCGCCCCCCCTGTCATCAGAGGGAGGGCTGGCCTGGAGGATGGAGCTTCATGGGGTAAACAAGTGATCGATCACTGCCCTCACCTGCCCCCCGCTGGGATACACGGGGCTCATACACCTGCGCAGGTGGGTCTGTGGATCAGACTGATCCCAGAACAGAGAATATTCCACCGTTCAGTGCGCCAAGATAAGCAGCAGCTCTATCAGCCCAGCCATACCCCCCCCCCCCCCCCCCCCCCCCCCCCCACACACACACTCACTGTGGTTCCATCAGTTATAGACCTTATTATGGACATATTTCGTGGCAAACATTAATGTCATTGTAAAAACCAGAAAGGCCAAGTTGCCAAAATATATTAATAAAAATAACAAAGGTGCTTCTAGAAGAAATTCAGGAAAAACTCTGAGAGAAAGAAACACATCTTGTTTGGTCCAACCTTGAATTGGAGGTCCTAGGGGGGGCCACAGAGGTACTGCATGGGGGGGGGGGGTGTCACCAAAGTTTTGGTTGATTAGACTTTTTTTTATTCCCTCCTGCAATTTTTCCACTAATTGAAATGTCTTTAAATCCACATGAACATGAATCCAACAGACTGTAGTAAACAGATAAATGGAGGCAGAAGATGTCTTTCAGTCATCAATGCTCACATTCAGAGACACACATCAACCTGGGCACCGTTTCATTCACAACACCTGTCCCATCAACCAGGAATCAGGAATACTTTAATAATCCCAGGAAGGGATTACTTTAGTTACATTACTCCATCTGTAATAGAGCGACTATAGGACCAGTTAGATAGAACACTATTTCATACTATATCTATAATCAGGGGGCCCCGCTCCATCTCGCCATCAGTTCGGGGTCCTTGGCCTGGAAAACGTTGGCGACTCCTGATTTAAAGGCATTAATGCTGATTCTGGAACTCACATGTTTTAGTTTATAAACCTAAATCTAATTGTTAACTAGGCTTATTAACTTTTTACCTTTTTTTTTCTTGACTTTTTAATTTTTTTCCAACTTAATTTCCAGTAGTTAATCTATCAATCAAGGGTTCATCTAATTGGTCAAATGTCAAAATCAGATGTGCAGCCATGTAGCAGCATCTATGCTAAATGTCTAGATATAGATCTTATGCTTCTAGACCTCACTGAGGGAGGGGGGTTTCATTTGTAAGGCAAGTGATGAAAAACGGTAACTCAGCCTATAAAGAGGTAAAGACATTCACATGATAAGTGTGTAAATGAGGCGTTTGAGGTTCAACAGAAAATCCAGAATCTGATGATTTTTTTTTCTTTATTAAAATCCCCCAAAACCAAAAGCTGAGAAAAAGAGGAACTGAGTCCAGCTTCTGGTTTTGGGGTTCATCCTCCACCTCCATGACTCTCTGCTGTGTGGAGGTGTTTGTGGTTTATTGATCCCGCCTGACCTTTGACCTGCTGGTTGGGGCCTGAGGACCCTCTTTCTCTGAGCTTGGCACGAATCGGCTGGACTTCCTGCTGGGAGGATCAGCAGCTTCCTGGATGCTTCAGAGGAGCAGAGCAGGTCGCCTCTGATGGTCACTGTTTACTTCTGGACTTTAGTTTGGTCTTTGTAAAAAAATAAAACAAAGTAAAAAAAAATGGCAGCAAAAGATTCAGATCAACCGTTGAAACATTTAATGAGAATCTATCTGAATTCTGGGAGAAAGTCTCCAGGCGAACGTTTAAATGTCAGCCACATGTGGACACGTGTTGACAGAGACACGTATGATTCCCCGTCCTGGTCCTGCCGGTCCTGCAGCATTCCTCCCCCGCCTCATCACCTCTCCACCAATCAGCTCCCAGTAATGCTGTAAAGTCCCGTGGCGGCCTCCGGCAGGCGGGCAGGGCTCCTCTAATGACGCTGATAAACACTGCTCTGTTATTTGGAGGTTTCTTCCTGTTCAAAGGGAGATTTTCCTCTCCACTGTCGCTACAAGCATGCTTAGTGTGAGGGATTGCTGAAGAGTCAATGAGTCGATGCAATCAGCTGGTTTTCCTTAGATAGAAACCTTTGAATCAATCTGACTGGATGATCTGGTGAACTGGAAAGTGACCTGAGATGACATGATGTGAATTGGAGCTATAGAAATAAACTGAATAGAATAGAATTATTTGGACCGGGACCAGCTTCTGATTGCTCTCTTTATTCTGTGTTTCTGTAGGAAATGTCGTTCTGGAGAACCTGAAGGTGAAGGAAAACGCTCTGGTGAGTCCCAGACCTCCAACTGGACCCCGACCTGCTCCTGGTTCCTGCTGCTGGTTTTTAAAGCAGCTGCCTGTCCTGATGAAGACGATGATTGTTGTTCAATCAGGTCACATGACCCTCTGCTGGCTCTGAAACACTTCCTGTTTGCTGTCAGCTGTAGTTTAAAGAATCCCAGCAGAGTGGGACCTGCTGCTGCCTGCAGCTCTTAGAGCACAGCTCTGCAACCTGGAGCCATTTTGCTCCCAGTCCATCGTAATAAAATGTTGTTTAAGAGCCGCAATTAATAAAAGACCTTTGAATAAAATGAAGGTGATTAATAATCTGAAATATCTGCTGAAGGAAGTCCGTCACCTTTTTATTTTTGGAGGGGTTTTTTTACGGCACTAGTGGCTCATTTTTTGACGGGAAAGGGGAACGAGAGACACGCGTTGAAGGAGACCAGGTTGGATTGGAACCTGGGTCGGCCATACATACAAAACATGAAATATTTCATAAATAGGAAGCATTAAATAAACATATTTTCCAAAATAACATAAAAAAAATGGAGCAACAAAATTTCTGGTGATTTTAGTGACATTATATTGTGAAAATTCATAAAAACTATATTTTTTAAAGCTAAAGCGTCTAATATTTGTCATTATATTTTATATATTTGCTCTGAGCCAATTTGTTTATGTTTCAGGGAGAGTTCGATGTTCCCTTCAAAGTAAAAGCGGGACAGATCGGTAAGTCCTTCTTTTGTTTCTTTAACCCTTTAAAGCCTTAATTTATACCCAGCTATATATTTATATAATTTTTTCTGTCAGTCAGGTATAAGATTTAATAAAGTTTATTAATTTCAACATTGCAGCTATAATTGTATATTTAAGGTATGAAGCCAATTAGCGACACGACGTATCTAAGCAGCAACATTTTCAGTCTCAGTATGTTGACTGTTAAAAAAAAATAAATTACAATTTTAACAAACATGAATTTTTAACCTCTTTTCATTTTAAATTGACCAAATTTGAGGACAGTCAACTTGCTAAGAATTCCCATGAAGTTCTAGTATTTCTTTGCAAAAACAAAACAGTGTTTAAAACTGATCTACATCTTTTTTTGTTTTTTTTTTTACCAATCATTGTTTTTATTGAAAGTACTGTAAACGTCAAAGTTTCCCATGAGCCCCTCTATTGCAATAATAAATCAATGTTAGAAATGTAATCATCCCAGCCTTTAAATAAGCCACGCCCATCAGCTACCAGAACAAGCAGTACTGCAGTTCTATGTTTTGGCCACAGGTGGCAGTATCATCAGAAAACTTAAGTTATCGTTAGATTCAGTTTTAGATAACGGTAACAAACTGACGCGGATGGTGGCGCCCCGCCACAGCACGATGATAGGAGCCACACCCTCAGAATGATTTAGGGGAGGAGTTTATGTAGATTTAGAATAATGTAGCAAAATGTGTATTTATGCAATATTTCTAATCATAATCAGAGTTATAAAGGAGTTAAAGCTGTTCTGAGTGTTTATCTGGTTAATGAAAAATTAACGTCCTTAATGAACTGAAGTGGTTTTGCTCCAAAGTTCGGGTGATAGAAAATTCTTTCTGCAGCAGTGGGGGGGTGATGCTATATTGCAAGAACTGCCTGAAGCCTCAGTTTCTCCACACCTTCACACTAGGTTTCCAGACAGTTTGTGACGGCTCACCATCCAACATGCATACAGCTGAAGACGCACCTGTTTGCTCTGTGTCATTTCTTTTTTTGTTTAACTCCCATTAGACAGGCTTGGACCTGACTTTTTATTCCATATCTTAGTAGATTTTTCCATTCGGGCCGCGCAGCCGGGGCTCCGGTCTGAACCCATGAAACCTCTCTGCTCTCAGTTTTTCAGGTTCAGTGTTCCATATGATTCTCATTTTGGATAAATCAATATAATTCTCTACATCCTCGTATGTGCATTACTCTAGGTCAGAGGTCACGGATTGGCGGACCGCAGTCCGGCTCCAGATCCACCTGCTGGCTAATCCCGACCCAACCTCATTTAAAACATTTATAAATTATCCCATGTTGTCTAACTTCTCTTGCTCCTCTTCTCCTGTTAATACGGTAAAGCCCTGGGGAGCGTCCGGCTCCAGGCTGCACGTGATCCAAATGAGCCAATGAGCTGCTGTCAGTCTGGGTTGCTGCTGCTGCTACTTTTAGACACAGCAGGCAAACCTGTGGCAAGCCGGGCGATGGGAAAGAAGGAGAAGACCATGAGAAAAAGAGAGCAGAGAAAGTGTGGACTGCTGGAAGAACTGCGGTGAACTGGTGAAAGAAAAGTGAAATGGCGTGCTCAAAGATGACCCTGCACATTTAGAGGATGTTTGGCTCAACCTGCTGCTGTGAAGCAGGATTCTCCACCATGAACAGAATCAACAATAAATCTGGATCCAGGCTCAGAATGAGCTCCTTGATATGTGCTTGAGAATGGCTTAGTCTCTGGTTAAACCCAGGTTTAAAGCCTTGCAGGGCAGCCTAAAGCCCACTGCCAACATTAAGACAGAAAAAAGACAGAAAATAACAAACCATCAGTTCAAATTTAAAAATTTTCCACTCTAGATTTTAAGATTTTTTAGATTTTAAAATGGAAAAAAATCAATTTTTTTTTTTTTTATTCAATGTGATTCATGGATGCATAAAAAACTCATTTTATTTCAGTGTTAAATTCTGTTTAAAGCAACAAATTATAATTAAAATGTCTTCAGACCTTTACTGGTTGATGATTTTTTTTATTCGGACCCAAATTATTTTTAATTCTTGGCCTAAATAATTCTCACAATACTTCATCTTTATAAACAGGTGAAAACAGCCAGAGTGAAACCATTAAATTTATTAGGTTGATTATTTATTAGCTGCCAATAAATGGTTCCTTCTTTTTATTTCTACTGCTGTGATTCCTGATAGCTGAAGTACGTATGGAAACCTGAGAAGCTGCTGTTAAATGATTCTCCTGCCTTCCTGCTGCTTTTCTCATCAAACTATTGTTACTTTAGAGCGAAGTTAGAGAATAAATTCATTATCTCTTTATCTGTTTTCTTCACATTTAAAGTAGTCGGGAAATAAAAGGTTGAAATATAGGTTGAGTTAAAAAAAAAAGTAATTATTCTCTGTTTTTAATAATTTACGTTTAAAAAAGAGGATTTTTTTCTTATATTTTCTAGTTGGTTTAAACTGAAAAGAGGAATGAAAGAATGTTACAGTAAGAGATGATAGTTTGCTTTTTTATTCCTTTTTATTATTTTTTTTAGGAGTCGTTTCCCAATCTCTCTTTCTGTATAAATGACATTTCGTTTATACATCTTTCAGACTGTACTTTGATTGAGGAGCGGCTTAGCAGTGGAAAAGAACGATACAGTTCAGATAATCAAATGTAAACGGTGTGGGAGAGACATGGTGCAATAAAGCGTTGATGATGAAGCTCTGCATATGTGCAAAATGAATAAATAATTAGATATGGTGCAAAATGCTGTAAAAAAACATTAAGTTTAGTTCTATATTGAAGATTTACCATGTAGTGCAAATATGACGTCATCAGTGTGACATGATTTAGAGCGGAGGTCTTCAACAGGGGGTGTGTGACCCCTAGGGGTCCACAGAGGTACTGCATGGGGGGCAAGAAAGTTTTGGTTGATTAAACTTTTTTATATCCCCTCCTGCAGTTTTTTCCACTAATTGAAATGTCTTTAAATCCACGTTAACATGAATCCAACAGACTGCAGTAAACAGATAAATGGAGGCAGAAGATGTCTTTCAGTCATCAATGCTCACATTCAGAGACACACATCAAGCTGGGCACCGTTTCATTCACAACACCTGTCCCATCAACCAGGAAGCAGAAATACTTTAATAATCCCAGGGAGGAATTACTTTAGTTACATTACTCCATCTGTAATAGAGTGACTATAGAACCAGTTTGATAGAACACTATTTCAGTGTGATGGCGGTGGGGAAGAAGCTGCTGCAGAACCTGCTGGTCCTGCATTGAATGCTGGGAAGCCTCTTCCCAGAGGGCAGCAGGGAGAACAGTCCATGGTGGGGGGGTGAGGGGTCATTGATGATGTCACGGGTTCGGGACACGCAGCGCTGGGATGAAATGTCTTTAATGGAGGGAAGAGGAGCCCCCATGATCCTCTCTGCTGTTATTGGGAAGCAGATTTTTCCTGTTTTTATTTCTGTATCATAAGTAAAATGGTGGTCTCTGATTTACGCAGACGGCTCGTACAGCTGATGAGTCTCCCTGACTCCCTGAGTACTGACTTAAAGGCAGCTGCATCGTCCTGAAAGCCCCGCGTTCAGCAGAGAGCAGTTTTTTCATCTCTGATGCATAAACCATGCAAAGCCTCCCATGATTCTGCTCTGGATCACAAAGCAGGATAGAAATATGATTTCAATCGCGTCTCTGTGACGCTGCTACCCTGAAATAATGACCTGATTATCGTACAGTTTCAATCACTTATCCAGCGTATAAAACCTGCACCTCTGCTTAGATGTTTGCTGTCTGGATTCAAAAGTTCATACGTTATTTCATAAAGTAATGATACTAAAAAAGTTACTTTTCACATTTGAATGCAGATTTACATGACTGTTAGGCCACTGCCATTGGTCAGCATTAACAATTATTATTAAATAATTAAGTTCCATTAGAAAAATGAATGTAATGTAATTACTTTAATCAGTATAAATGTTGTTTGTGTTACAGGGAAGCTGACGCTGAAGATTCCATGGAAGAACCTCTACAACGAGGCGGTGGTGGCCACGCTGGAGGGGCTCTACCTGCTGGTGGTTCCTGGAGCCAGTAAGTCTGAGCGGTCCGGTCCGGTCCGGTCCCAGCGGTTCTGACAAACAAATATCAGCCAGAAGCGTCTGTTCAGACGGACACTGCAGCTGCAGGAAGCCTGCGTGTTCTTGTTTCCCCTGCAGCGTGGGGGCAGTGTTTTAGAAAAGGTTCTACACTGTAGGGACGTACAGGTACATACGGGGACGTTCACCTGCTCCCACGTGGTTAACTTCTCTTCTTTGGGTTGAGCTCAGGTTTAGGACTAGGGTGTGAATCCAGTTTAGGCCAGGCTTAGGTACATGATGCTAATGGTAAGGGTTAAGGTCGCCATATTTCATGGTGTGTGTGTTTGTTCCAGCTCAGGCTCAGCTGAAGTCGCCTCCGTTTAACGGTAAGCTGCATCGTTTGGAGGTGGAAGTTGATCTGTTCTGTATGCTTCAAAATAAAAGTGCGGCAGCTTTTATTTTGAAGGCTGCCATCCTGTTACTGAGGTCGGTGTTCCTGATTCCTGGTCTGTCGGTGGGTGTTTGAGGTCCGCTCCGTTTCTACAGTTTTCTGTCTAGTTTTTCTCCAGAGCCTGAAACCGTTTGGAGAGAATTTGGTTCCATTATCGCTGAAAAGGAAAATGTTTTGGAAATGGAAATTTTGGGGGGAAAAAAAGTTTTAAAGGTAACTTTATCGTATTTAAAAGTATATTATCATGTTTATTTTTATTGTATTTCATTTTTTGTCTTTTAAAGGTTTTGTGGAGGATTTTTGAGATTTTTGAAAATACTCGCCCTCTCCACAAAAAAATACACATCCATAACAGTTTACCTGACGGTCCGCCCTGACCTCTGACCCCTCCATCACTATATAGAGCGGGGACTCTATAGTGAGCTCAGTGAACTGACCGTTCAGACAGATGATCACTGCTTTTCACTCCTCTTTGGTCTCATAACTCCGCCTCCAACACGCCATGCCTTCGCCATCCATGTTATTCGTCACTGCTGTCGGGTAGGAACAGCGGGCCGCTGTGACGGCAAATCCCATAATGCTTTGCAAGGAGAGCTCCCTTCTCAGGACCGCGGTGAGAAAGGTGAGCTTCAATGACCGTCTGAAACCGTAGCTCACCACAGATATACGCCTGAAAGTTCGCAGAAAATGACAGGTAACGGGACGGCATTACGTAAACATATCACCAGAATGATTGACAGGTAGGAGGTCCAAGTAATTAGATGATCCACCCAGAAATAAAAGATCCTCCTCTATACCTTTAAGATTGCTGAAGAGTCAATGAGTCGATGCAATCAGCTGGTTTTCCTTAGATAGAAAACTTTGAATCAATCTGACTGGATGATCTGGTTGATTTGTTTCTATGAAGTGACCTGAGATGACATGATGTGAATTGGAGCTATAGAAATAAACTGAATAGAATTAATATGCGTTGCATAGATTACATTCTCTTTATTTCTGGGGGCAGGCTTTTTGTTCTGCTTTAAGGATTAAAGATTGGTAGACTTTGAACGGGTCCATATGAACGTTGGAAACAATATTTTTATTGGTCTAGATGGTGTGTTTGAGTGGAGCTCAAGAGGATGGGATTTGTTAAACACAAGTTCTAAAAGAGAAATTAGAATAACAAAAATAAAAGTATAAAATTGATGAAAAACTGTTTTTAGGTGAAAAAATTAAAATGAAGAAAGAAATAAACTGCAAAGTTAGTCTCAAAACCTTTTTTTGATTTAGAAGTTTTTTTTTCTTATATTTTCATTTACATAATCTTGTCTTTTTTTCAACAATAATGGAACAAACTTCACTCCATAAAGGTGGAAGTAGGAAGCAGACTGGGTGCCAGATGAAGACGGACCAACCTTTCTAACAGGAAGTCCCGTGTCAGAGCGGCGTTAGAATGTTGGACCCAGTTCTGCTCTCATTTCTACTGCTGGGAAGTTTAAGCTGGAAGCCTGATCTGGACTTTCTCTGCCTTGTATCTCGGTTTCCGGGTCGGTTCCGGGTTCTTTCCTAGACTTTGTTTCAGTGCTGAATTCGTCTGGATCAGAACTGCGGCTGAGAGGACGGGGAGGGGTTCGTTCCTGCTGCTTTTAGGGGAACCTGTTGAGATGAATCGGGAAGGAGCGACCTGGTCTGGAACGACCAAGCTGGCTGGTCTTCCCTCCTGAACGTCTGGTTTGCTGCAGCGTTGTGCTCAGAGCCAACGATCAGACAGAAGCTGCATTTCCATCACAAATATTAACAAAAACTTTATCGATATTTTGCTAAAAACACAATTTCATGACAATGATTCTGTTGGATTGGAACAGAATCTTTGCCCCTCTGCTAAGGTCTGGCTGTTGATCATGTGACCCATGTGATGAGAGAAGTGACCTCCCTGTTGCCCGTTTGCATTTTATCTTTCTCCTCCTGTTGGATGGAAATGCAGCGGCTGATGCTTTTATTTAGTCTCTAACTTTAAACCTGGACGCCTGTCGGTGCTGGATCTTCTTCTGGTCTTTACTAGTCGGGTTCCTTCAGATACTGCTGCAGCTGCTTCCTTACAAAAAGTGTGGACAAACGAGTTTTTAATCATGCTGTTTGTTCCCCCCCCCCCCCCCCGCAGCAATAAAGTACGATGCAACGAAAGAGGAGCGTTACCAGCAGGAGGCCAAGCAGAGGGAGCTGCAGCGCATCGAGGAGGCGCTGCAGGCCGCTGCACGCAGAGGTGAGGTCCAGCCCCAGAGCTGCTGTCTGCTCTCCTCATGTTTCCTGTTTACTTCCTTTCATTTCTACCTTTGCTGTTGCTCAATATGAAGGCTTTCTGAGATTTTCCTCTTCAGCAGTTCAGCAGTTTAAAGCTGACTGCAGTTTAAACCTCAATTTTTCTACAAACTATGAAAAGTGAGAATGAATCTCTACTTTCCTCTTTATTAGATGTTTGAAACAGCAGCAGCACTTCCTGCATCAGAGAATCTTTTCAGAGTTAGATAATCAGCTTCTAATCTCAGCTTGTTAAAGACCATTTAGCACAGAAAGAAGATTAGAGACATTAAGCTGGATCAAAAGAAAGATTCACAATTGAGTTCACAAACAGTTTAATGGTACACCTGTGGATGCGTGAGTCTGCAGGTGGATGCGTGAGTCTGCAGGTGGATGCGTGAGTCTGCAGGTGGATGCGTGAGTCTGCAGGTGGATGCGTGAGTCTGCAGGTGGATGGGTGAGTCTGCAGGTGGATGCGTGAGTCTGCAGGTGGATGCGTGAGTCTGCAGGTGGATGCGTGAGTCTGCAGGTGGATGCGTGAGTCTGCAGGTGGATGCGTGAGTCTGCAGGTGGATGCGTGATTCTGCAGGTGGATGCATGTGTCTGCAGGTGGATGCGTGAGTCTGCAGGTGGACGTTTGTGTCTGCAGGTGGATGCGTGAGTCTGCAGGTGGATGTGTGAGTCTGCAGGTGGATGCGTGAGTCCGCAGGTGGATGCGTGAGTCTGCAGGTGGACGTTTGTGTCTGCAGGTGGATGAGATTAGAGACATTAAGCTGGATCACGCAGGTGGATGCGTGTGTCTGCAGGTGGATGCGTGAGTCTGCAGGTGGATGCGTGAGTCTGCAGGTGGATGCGTGAGTCTGCAGGTGGATGCGTGAGTCTGCAGGTGGATGCGTGTGTCTGCAGGTGGATGCGTGAGTCTGCAGGTGGACGCGTGAGTCTGCAGGTGGACGCGTGAGTCTGCAGGTGGATGCGTGAGTCTGCAGGTGGATGCGTGAGTCTGCAGGTGGATGCGTGAGTCTGCAGGTGGATGCGTGATTCTGCAGGTGGATGCGTGATTCTGCAGGTGGATGCGTGTCTGCAGGTGGACGTTTGTGTCTGCAGGTGGACGTTTGTGTCTGCAGGTGGATGCGTGAGTCTGCAGGTGGATGTGTGAGTCTGCAGGTGGATGCGTGAGTCTGCAGGTGGATGCGTGTGTCTGCAGGTGGATGCGTGAGTCTGCAGGTGGACGTTTGTGTCTGCAGGTGGATGCGTGAGTCTGCAGGTGGATGCGTGAGTCTGCAGGTGGATGCGTGTGTCTGCAGGTGGACGCGTGAGTCTGCAGGTGGACGCGTGAGTCTGCAGGTGGACGCGTGAGTCTGCAGGTGGACGCGTGAGTCTGCAGGTGGACGCGTGAGTCTGCAGGTGGATGCGTGAGTCTGCAGGTGGACGCGTGAGTCTGCAGGTGGACGCGTGAGTCTGCAGGTGGATGCGTGAGTCTGCAGGTGGATGCGTGAGTCTGCAGGTGGATGCGTGAGTCTGCAGGTGGATGCGTGAGTCTGCAGGTGGATGCGTGTGTCTGCAGGTGGATGCGTGAGTCCACAGGTGGATGCGTGAGTCCGCAGGTGGATGCGTGAGTCCGCAGGTGGATGCGTGAGTCTGCAGGTGGACGCGTGAGTCTGCAGGTGGACGCGTGAGTCTGCAGGTGGACGCGTGAGTCTGCAGGTGGACGCGTGAGTCTGCAGGTGGACGCGTGAGTCTGCAGGTGGACGCGTGAGTCTGCAGGTGGACGCGTGAGTCTGCAGGTGGACGCGTGAGTCTGCAGGTGGACGCGTGAGTCTGCAGGTGGACGCGTGTGTCTGCAGGTGGACGCGTGAGTCTGCAGGTGGATGCATGTGTCTGCAGGTGGATGCGTGAGTCTGCAGGTGGATGCGTGAGTCTGCAGGTGGACGTTTGTGTCTGCAGGTGGATGCGTGAGTCTGCAGGTGGATGCATGTGTCTGCAGGTGGATGCGTGAGTCTGCAGGTGGATGCGTGAGTCTGCAGGTGGACGTTTGTGTCTGCAGGTGGATGCGTGAGTCTGCAGGTGGATGCGTGAGTCTGCAGGTGGACGTTTGTGTCTGCAGGTGGATGCGTGAGTCTGCAGGTGGATGCGTGAGTCTGCAGGTGGACGTTTGTGTCTGCAGGTGGATGCGTGAGTCTGCAGGTGGATGCGTGAGTCTGCAGGTGGATGCGTGAGTCTGCAGGTGGATGCGTGAGTCTGCAGGTGGATGCGTGAGTCTGCAGGTGGATGCGTGAGTCTGCAGGTGGATGCGTGATTCTGCAGGTGGATGCATGTGTCTGCAGGTGGATGCGTGAGTCTGCAGGTGGACGTTTGTGTCTGCAGGTGGATGCGTGAGTCTGCAGGTGGATGCGTGAGTCTGCAGGTGGATGCGTGAGTCCGCAGGTGGATGCGTGAGTCTGCAGGTGGACGTTTGTGTCTGCAGGTGGATGCGTGAGTCTGCAGGTGGATGCGTGATTCTGCAGGTGGATGCATGTGTCTGCAGGTGGATGCGTGAGTCTGCAGGTGGACGTTTGTGTCTGCAGGTGGATGCGTGAGTCTGCAGGTGGATGCGTGAGTCTGCAGGTGGATGCGTGAGTCTGCAGGTGGATGCGTGAGTCTGCAGGTGGATGCGTGAGTCTGCAGGTGGATGCATGTGTCTGCAGGTGGATGCGTGAGTCTGCAGGTGGATGCGTGAGTCTGCAGGTGGACGCATGAGTCTGCAGGTGGACGCGTGAGTCTGCAGGTGGATGCGTGAGTCTGCAGGTGGACGCATGAGTCTGCAGGTGGACGCGTGAGTCTGCAGGTGGACGCGTGAGTCTGCAGGTGGACGCATGAGTCTGCAGGTGGACGCGTGAGTCTGCAGGTGGACGCGTGAGTCTGCAGGTGGACGCGTGAGTCTGCAGGTGGATGCGTGAGTCTGCAGGTGGATGCGTGTGTCTGCAGGTGGATGCGTGAGTCTGCAGGTGGATGCGTGAGTCTGCAGGTGGATGCGTGAGTCTGCAGGTGGATGCGTGTGTCTGCAGGTGGACGCGTGAGTCTGCAGGTGGACGCGTGAGTCTGCAGGTGGATGCGTGAGTCTGCAGGTGGATGCGTGAGTCTGCAGGTGGATGCGTGAGTCTGCAGGTGGATGCGTGATTCTGCAGGTGGATGCGTGATTCTGCAGGTGGATGCGTGTCTGCAGGTGGACGTTTGTGTCTGCAGGTGGACGTTTGTGTCTGCAGGTGGATGCGTGAGTCTGCAGGTGGATGCGTGAGTCTGCAGGTGGATGCGTGAGTCTGCAGGTGGATGCGTGAGTCTGCAGGTGGATGCGTGAGTCTGCAGGTGGATGCGTGAGTCTGCAGGTGGATGCATGTGTCTGCAGGTGGATGCGTGAGTCTGCAGGTGGATGCGTGAGTCTGCAGGTGGACGTTTGTGTCTGCAGGTGGATGCGTGAGTCTGCAGGTGGATGCGTGAGTCTGCAGGTGGACGTTTGTGTCTGCAGGTGGATGCGTGAGTCTGCAGGTGGATGCGTGAGTCTGCAGGTGGACGTTTGTGTCTGCAGGTGGATGCGTGAGTCTGCAGGTGGATGCGTGAGTCTGCAGGTGGATGCGTGAGTCTGCAGGTGGATGCGTGAGTCTGCAGGTGGATGCGTGAGTCTGCAGGTGGATGCGTGAGTCTGCAGGTGGATGCGTGATTCTGCAGGTGGATGCATGTGTCTGCAGGTGGATGCGTGAGTCTGCAGGTGGACGTTTGTGTCTGCAGGTGGATGCGTGAGTCTGCAGGTGGATGCGTGAGTCCGCAGGTGGATGCGTGAGTCTGCAGGTGGACGTTTGTGTCTGCAGGTGGATGCGTGAGTCTGCAGGTGGATGCGTGATTCTGCAGGTGGATGCATGTGTCTGCAGGTGGATGCGTGAGTCTGCAGGTGGACGTTTGTGTCTGCAGGTGGATGCGTGAGTCTGCAGGTGGATGCGTGAGTCTGCAGGTGGATGCGTGAGTCTGCAGGTGGATGCGTGAGTCTGCAGGTGGATGCGTGAGTCTGCAGGTGGATGCATGTGTCTGCAGGTGGATGCGTGAGTCTGCAGGTGGATGCGTGAGTCTGCAGGTGGATGCGTGAGTCTGCAGGTGGATGCGTGAGTCTGCAGGTGGATGCGTGAGTCTGCAGGTGGATGCATGTGTCTGCAGGTGGATGCGTGAGTCTGCAGGTGGATGCGTGAGTCTGCAGGTGGACGTTTGTGTCTGCAGGTGGATGCGTGAGTCTGCAGGTGGATGCGTGAGTCTGCAGGTGGATGCGTGAGTCTGCAGGTGGATGCGTGAGTCTGCAGGTGGATGCGTGAGTCTGCAGGTGGATGCGTGAGTCTGCAGGTGGATGCATGTGTCTGCAGGTGGATGCGTGAGTCTGCAGGTGGACGTTTGTGTCTGCAGGTGGATGCGTGAGTCTGCAGGTGGATGCGTGAGTCTGCAGGTGGATGCGTGAGTCCGCAGGTGGATGCGTGAGTCTGCAGGTGGACGTTTGTGTCTGCAGGTGGATGCGTGAGTCTGCAGGTGGATGCGTGATTCTGCAGGTGGATGCATGTGTCTGCAGGTGGATGCGTGAGTCTGCAGGTGGACGTTTGTGTCTGCAGGTGGATGCGTGAGTCTGCAGGTGGATGCGTGAGTCTGCAGGTGGATGCGTGAGTCTGCAGGTGGATGCGTGAGTCTGCAGGTGGATGCATGTGTCTGCAGGTGGATGCGTGAGTCTGCAGGTGGACGTTTGTGTCTGCAGGTGGATGCGTGAGTCTGCAGGTGGATGCGTGAGTCTGCAGGTGGATGCGTGAGTCTGCAGGTGGACGTTTGTGTCTGCAGGTGGATGCGTGAGTCTGCAGGTGGATGCGTGAGTCTGCAGGTGGATGCGTGATTCTGCAGGTGGATGCGTGAGTCTGCAGCTGAGCTGACTAACCATCTTGTCTATCCTGTTCATGCTGCGTTTGATGTCAGCATCTCATGCTGGAGATCTGCTGTTTGGTCTGGAGAGCGTTGTTTACAAGGAACAGCTCAATGGTAACGCACACAGACACCCCCCAAACACACCTGGAAACACACAGGTCTAAGAAACTGTAAAGGAAAAGATTTAGTGACTAAATGAGTCCAAAAAAATAAATGAAGACCTCTCTAAGGACATTGATAGGTTCTGCAGGACTAGGAGAGGTTTGAACAGGAGCATTCTGCACAGCCTGGCGGTGTTTCTACCAACTGGAGCTGCTCATCAGAAAATCAGAGGGAGGGGGGAGGGGGGAGCATAAGCAGGTGGAAATGCAACGGTTAGTTCCTGAATCCCTGGGAGAGATCAGGGCCTCCCTTAGGCTCTATGTTCATGCAGACCCTGAACTTTAGGCGGTTCTGCTGCTTCCTGCTGTTCGGGCTTTTCTCTCTAACTGCTGTTTCTTTCTTTAACGCTGCCAAAGTCTCAAAAGGACATAAAAAAAACAAAAAGCACAAAAAGGCTTTCAGGAAACTGAAGCGACACGAAAAGAAAGCAGGTGAGTCTCATCTTTCGACTGAAGAGACGTCTTTCCTTGGTCGGCCCGATCCTCCTCGGTCCCGGTCGAAGCTCCGGTCCACGTGGCATCGACCCGTTTTCTAAAGGTTCTGCTTGTTTCAGATAAACCTCCAGAGGAGAAGAAGGACACGTTCATGGAGAAACTCGCCACCCAGGTGATCAAAAACCTGCAGGTGAAGATCAGCAGCATCCATCTGCGTTACGAGGATGATGTGAGTTCTGGTCCAGATCCGGGTTCTGGTTCAGGTTCTGGTTCTGTGTTCTGGGGATGTCTTTGATCCTCAGCTTTATGGCGTCTGTTTCAGCTGTCAGACCCACAGCGCCCCCTATCGATGGGAGTGACGCTGTCAGAGCTCAGCCTGCAGGTAAACACCGCCTCCTCAGACAGGCTGATGATGATGATGATGATGATGATGAAGGTTTGTGTTTGTTTGACCTTTAGACCACAGACGAGAACTGGAAGCTCTGCATTCTGAACGAGGCCGCAAAGATCATCTATAAGGTGAGAAAAATACAATATGGCTTCATTATTGTTCCAGAAAATAATGTTTTTGTAAATTGAAATAAAACAAAAAGTATAAATAAAATTTTGGAATTAATCAAAATATCAGAAAAGATTTTCTCGGATTGTTACTTTTTTGTTTTATTTTTTTTATCATTTAAAAATAATTTTACTTTTAAATATTTTTTTTTTTACAATTTTCGGTTTTATAGATTATATTTTATTTTTGTTAAATTAAAATTTTGTATTTTCAGTTTTTTTAATCTAATTTCAAATTTTTAGATAAATTTGTACGATTTGCAAAACATCCGATTCTCTAGAATTTTGGGGGTTTGGTTAACTCTGTGGTATGGAGAGAAAACGCATTTTAATTGGTCGTGTGAGTATGGGGCTTAAATATAAACTGTCTTTATAAATGATCCCATTCATATATATATATATATATATATATATATTTATATATCAAATAATAATAAAAAAGCAATTTAATACAAATTAGTGAAAACCCTCATTTAATAAAACTTAATTGAAAGTTTGTTCTGGATTTCTAAATTGCTTTTTTTTTACTTTTATCAAAATACGTGTTGGTTGCAACAATATTGGAACAAATTTCCCCCCATAGCTCAGAAGCTCTGCTCACCTTCAGCTGCTTCATAGAATAAACTTTTATGGGCTCTGGACGCTGAAGCAGAAGTTTATGTTCAGCTCTATTAAACATAGCCCCCCCATGTCTGTGTGTTTGTCCCTCAGCTCGGCCGTCTGGAGAGTCTCTGTGCCTACTGGAACGTGGACAGCCCCATGTACTACAGGAGCTCATGGCAGGACATCGTAGTAAGTGGATTTCCGTTCTTTGTCTCTAATGAAGCCGATTTTTCTGGATGAAATGATAAATGTGTTGAAGCCCCGCCTCCTCTCCGCCTGCAGGACCAATTGAAGTCAGAGATCAGCAGCAAAGAGCAGCAGATGCCTCATTATCAGTACAGTGAGTTCATCAAACTATGACTCAGAATCATGCTTCTTTCATCTTTGATGTCCGCCGATGACCTCTGACAGATGGAGCCATCACTAAATGACATCATTGATGATGTCATGACAAGATGACAGGATGACATTATTAAAGGATGACCTCATGTAATTAAGTCAGAGGCTACGTTCACACGGCAGCCTGAAGTGACCTAAGCGACCTGGATCGGATCTTTTCACGACATTCTTAACAACAAAGATCCGATTTCTTCCAAGGCGATCCAGGCCGCTTGGCTGTGTGGTCCTGAATCCGATACGAATCTGATCTTTTCAAATGTGACCTGCGTCTGAACGGCCAGGTCGGATTAATCCAACCCGAAGGTCATTAATACCCGACAAAGGTCACTATTCTGCATCCTGCTACGTAGAAGCATGAAGAAAAACAGCAACCATGGCGGATGATGATGCAGAGAGCAGTTGTTGTTTTTAACCATCTTTAAAGGATTGAGTTTTTGAGGTTGCTGAACGAGCTATTATCAATGTTTACTTCCGTAAACGCAGAGCACGCTGGCCTGTGATGTCACTGCGTCCTCTACTGCGCATGCGGGACACTTCAGCTGTTAGGGGTGTAAATCACATCCATCATGGCGATTCGATTCAGTATCGATTTCCTGACCCAACGATTCGATTATTTTTCGATATTCAAGAATACACCACGATACGATTTGATTCAATTAATCGATTTATTTTATTTATTTATTTATTTATTTATTTTTTTACACCTTACAGGCTAAACAAAGTTTCAAGTTTGAAATAAATCAATGAAAGCTGTAATATCTTTAAGCATTTTTTTTAGAAACAACAGCAAATAGCAGAAGTAAAGTTACAAAAGTTACATCAAAAAATACTGCAGAAATTCTGCAGAAATCAGTGCAATGAGTTCAATGCAATACCTCGGCTCCAGACGTCCCGCCCCCTCCACAGATGCTCCGCTGCTCCGCAGACAGCGCCGCAGACAGGAGGCCGGCTTGTTTTGTTTTTATGACCGAAATTGCAGAAAACAACTTGTGAAGTTTGACCCGCTAGAAGAGCGAGGTGTGCGAGAACGCTGGGACCCTTTTTCCACCTGGATCTCCACTCTTTTTGGCCCTCATGTCCCTCCGTCGTCGGACTAAACTCGCCCCCACTTCCTCGCCGCCTCGGCCGTATCTAGACCCACAGCGTGTAGCACAGACCACGCTTCAATATTGAGCATAAATCAAAAATGTCTGCATCAAGCTCACTGCAACACACTGCTGTAAGAGGATAACCAGGAAGCGAGGTAGGAGGGTGAAATAGGTGTAGCGCCACCGCAGCACGGGAGGAGAATTACGCCCAGGAGCAAATGGATAAGAATAGACCGGAGGAAAAAAAAAACATGAATCGATTCTCTTGCGGACGAATCGATGCATCGGATCATCGGCTGTTGGATCGATGCATCGATACAAAACAATGATTATTTGCTGTATGAATGCAGTTCACACAGGAGATCACATACATTTGGAAATGTGAAAGGCAACGCAAAAAAGAAAATCAGATTTTACAAAAGAATTGGGAATTAAGCCTTAAGGCCATTAATGCAGTGTGATGGTAGAAATAATGTCACTTTCTCATCGTTTCATCATTTCCGCTCAGTTGATATGGCTCCTTTTCACTAAACATCATATAAAGTCACTCTACAATAAACTGAATGGAATTGAATGACATCATGAGAAAGTGACATCACAAGATGACATCATGAAAGGCTGACATCATAAAACCGTGTGATCATCACCACATTAACTAAGCCTGTTTTCTCTAGAGCGCCAGTCGGGTCTGCTGTTCTAGTCCAACACGTTCTTTATCAGAACACAGGAAGTATGGAGAACGGGAGCCCGCAGAACCAATCGGTGTCGATTGGATCATATTCGTGACATCACAGGGCTCGCCTGGCCCTGAGTTTCATCTCCTGTTAGTAATAGTCTCTAGATAATAATAAATTATAACTGTGTCTGACTCCCTGCCAGCTCCCAGATCAGCTTCTCTGATTGGTTGATGCGGCGCGTCCAGCAGCTAAAGTAAAATGTTTACAACTGCAGCAGCTGCTGCTTCTGAAGCGCCTCAGATGCTCAGAAGCTCATGATGCGCCACTTCTGCTGCATAAAGAGCCTTGATGTGCGTCAACCTTTAACTTTGCATGGGAACCAGCTGCTTCTGCAGGTTCTGCAGCTTCTGAAGCTTCTGCAGCTTCTGAAGCTTCTGCAGCTTCTGAAGCTTCTGCAGCTTCTGAAGCTTCTGCAGCTTCTGCAGCTTCTGAAGCTTCTGCAGCTTCTGAAGCTTCTGCAGCTTCTGAAGCTTCTGCAGCTTCTGAAGCTTCTGCAGCTTCTGCAGCTTCTGAAGCTTCTGCAGCTTCTGCAGCTTCTGAAGCTTCTGAAGCTTCTGCAGCTTCTGAAGCTTCTGCAGCTTCTGAAGCTTCTGCAGCTTCTGCAGCTTCTGCAGCTTCTGAAGCTTCTGCAGCTTCTGCAGCTTCTGCAGCTTCTGAAGCTTCTGCAGCTTCTGAAGCTTCTGCAGCTTCTGCAGCTTCTGAAGCTTCTGAAGCTTCTGCAGCTTCTGAAGCTTCTGCAGCTTCTGAAGCTTCTGCAGCTTCTGAAGCTTCTGCAGCTTCTGAAGCTTCTGCAGCTTCTGCAGCTTCTGAAGCTTCTGCAGCTTCTGCAGCTTCTGAAGCTTCTGCAGCTTCTGCAGCTTCTGCAGCTTCTGAAGCTTCTGCAGCTTCTGAAGCTTCTGCAGCTTCTGAAGCTTCTGCAGCTTCTGCAGCTTCTGCAGCTTCTGTAGCTTCTGCTGCTTGCGTTCTGAACGTAGCATAAAGCATTACCTCTTAAAGAAACTACAGACAGTTCTGAGTTGGAATCTAGGCTGAGGGGCGTTACGACCACCCAGGCCACAACACATTTGAGGATACGAGACAAACATGAGGTTCAAAAGAATTATTTTATTCTTAATCTCTGGAACTTCTTTTTAGATCAGGTGTTTTGTTTTTCTGTAAAGAGACAAAATATCAGAGTCAGATTTTTTCCCCAGTTCCCCGTCTCCAAAAAAAACAAAAGTATGAACAGAAAGTTGTACCTGATGAGCTGATCCAAAGAAACAAAATGTTACAGCAGAGGGCCAACCCTATATAGGGCCGTCGAAGCCTCCGCTAGCAACGAACTAACGGTTAACAACTGTAATAAAAATAAAAAAGAACGAAAACAGGACAACCCGTCCCGCAAGGTCAAAGTTACAAAAAATCTGCAAAAAACAAAAGCTAACGAACAAAAGTACCGCATGGCAGGCTGGAGAGGTCAGCGGCGGCCTGCAAAGACGGGAGACGTGCGCATGGCGTCAGGACGCGCTCTCTGTGGCGGTGGATCGCTCCGAAGGCTGGAAGGTGGAAACCCAGCCTACTTATAGGCGGACCAATATCCCACAAATTAACGTCATCGATATACAAAAGAAAAAAGAATAATCAAGATTCTGAAAAGTAAGTCGACTAAGGTCTATGCAACACTAGAAGGAAAAAGGATGTGATGATCTGTTAGGTTCAGGTTCCTCTGCTGCTCATCTTCTCTTTGAGGTCGATAGCGATGCTCCCAGTGAAAGGCAGAGGAGACATGGCTTCCTCCTCTGCTGGAGCAGGAGCGGCTCCTTTAGGCTCCGCCCCTCCATATTGATGAACGATCATAACATATTCAATAGTTTCTGCTTCCTGTCTGACCTTCCCTCCTCTCGCTCTGCAGTCTTCAAGCCGCTCTTTGCTTCGGCTAAAATGTGCATCAACCCGAATGCAGAGATGGAGCTGAAGTCTCCGAAGGCGAACCTTCAGCTGGAGGTGCAGAACATCGGCATCGAGCTGACCAAACCACAGGTAGGGCCGGACCTGGGGGGGCGGAGACGGATGGAGACGGACTCTGATTGTGTGTTCTCCACAGTACCTCAGCATGGTGGACGTCCTGGAGTCCATCGATCTGATGGCGAAGAACGCCCCCTACAGAAAGTTCAGGCCTGACGTTCCCGTCCATGACAGCAGCAATCTCTGGTCAGTTTCCTGCTCTCTGGTCACTCACTTCAATGTTTGATGAGAGGACGGTTCTGCTTAGATTGGAGAGAAAAACTGGCGGCTCAGAGATTCCCGTCTGCTGTTTCATTCAGGTGGAGGTACGCCTTCAACAGCATCATGGAAGTGCACATCAGGCGGGTCAGCCACATGTGGTCCTGGTCCAAAATCAAACGCCACAGGGGGAACCTGAGGGTCTACAAGGCCGCCTACAAGAGCAAGCTGCTGAGCCAGAACAAGCCGGGTCCAGAAACCGAGAGGCAGCTCCAGGTCAGGTTACATCATCATGTAACAAACATATTTTGATTTTCTGCCGACCTTCTGATTCCTGATGGGGGGGGGGTGGTCGTTAGAGGCTGATCGCTCCTCATTACCCCCTGTACAGCTACACCACGCACCATCAGGCTGACAGTCGACCCGAAAAAGGGCAAAAAATGGTAGAGTGTAGGTCTGGCTTTAACAAGTCTGTGCAGCATCTCAAACCAGATCAGATGTTAAAAACATAATGAGATCTACGTCTAAAGAACAGAAAAACAAGGAAAGAGACAGTTTAGATGCTGAGTGATTCTCAGAGAGAGATTTCTAAGTTTTTCTTTCTTTATTTCATAACGAGGCGAGAGAGATTCGCCACGCTCACCTGCTCTTTCTGCTCTTTCTGCTCCTCGTTATTTTGCTTTTTGAGAGGCTCAAAGAAGATCACTACTTTACTTTATCCACCTCTTTCTCCTCCTGAAGTTTTTTTCCTTCCTCTAGAGATTGATAAACTGAGCTTTCTATCCCTCGTTGTTTTTGCGAGGCTTGAAGAAGATCACTACTTTATCTGTTTCCTATCCTCCTGAATATGGAGGACCTGCTCGGCCATATTTAAAAAGTAAAATGCTTCCAATGGGCAGGAGGTGACCCTCTAAGACACCCCCCCCCTCATTTGCATGATGAGAGGGTAAAAATACAAAGAATAAAACACAAAAATATTACAACATGCACATAAATAGATACTTAAAAAAATATGTAATTCATAAATAAAGTTGAAGATTATAAAAGACAATAAATAAGGTAATTATCACCAAGGCAAAGGAATATAGAAGCTAATTAAAAGAGTTATATCCATTAATGTCTCACTGCATCATTTTATTTCTACCTACATTTTTTTTATTGTATTTTTAGGGGCAATTAGTTGTATGCTTTATTTATTGAGCATTTATTTATTTTTAAATATGGTAGAGCTGGTCTTCCATACCTGAACCTCCCATCATTATTTTTTTTATTATTTCCTTCATTGTCTCGCCTACTATAAACGTGATGCGGGAGTCCAAACCGACTCTTTCCCGTCAGATTAACAGATTCTAGTTTTTATTTTCCAAAAAGCGAATGTGTTTCACTCTGTAACCACGTCTCTCTTCCTGTCAGACCCATGAAATTACCGCTGAATTACTGCGCAGTCGGACGAAACACTGCCGTCCGTCTCAGTCCGACCTATTTATTTATTTTTTTTATTTATGTGTTTATTTGAACAGGGACTGTGCACATTAATAAACATTTCTGTAAATGAGCCAGTCTACTACGCTGAGCCAGACCTACGCTGCCCCCTCGGGTTTTATCATCAGCGCTAAACGCTACGACCTCGTCCGTCACCATTTTCTGTCAGAAGCAAACTGGGATTGGGTGTATGATTAGATTAGATTAGATTAGATTAGATGAGCTTTATTGATCTCAAAGCGGAGAAATGTACTTGTCACATATCGGCATAGTAATTAAAGAAGGTGCATTAAGAAGAATAAACTATATATATGCAGTATATCAATATAAATAAGGATTAAGGTGCAAGTGTACATGTATCGAACACAATAAAAAAATAAAAAATAAAATACAAGGTAGTAGCACAGAGGTTTGAGGTGACATATGTACAATCAGGATGGCTTATAAACAGGTGGGTTTACTTTAACGTTAAAGTGTAGCAGGTGAGGAGTAACGGTGAGGTAGCGGTATGACTGTTCTATTCACATCTATTGCACAGTCAGCATGCTTGCCTTTAATGCTGTTACAGTACATCCTGTAAGGCTGATATGATCTAATGCCGTATGATTTAAAGGTATAATGTAACACTGTTATGATTCATGCGTCATAAAAACCTTGCATCATATTAGGCTGTGATGACATCATGCTGGGTCACATTATATGAGGCGCTTAGGCTGTAATGACGTCATTAATCAGTAAATGTTTGCGCCGTAGCATCGTAACGGTGTAACGTCATATATTATGCTGTAGCTTCCAGTGTGAATCATGTTGGCGGTTTTTTATCAAATGAATTAAAGGAGGCTGAGAGCTTAAACTGGTTTAAACGCTGCAGCTCGTAAACATCTGCTCATTACCCTGATTTAAGCCTCATTACACTGAATCCCTGAATATTTTAGGATTCATTTGAAAGTTCTTTCATTTGTCTCTCTATGGTCTTTCTCCACCTTATCTTTCTGAGTTGCTGCACCTTCATGCACCCCCCCCCCCCCCCCCCCTTCTTCTCACTGGAAAAAATCTAAATCTGTATCAGTCATTTCTTCTTAAAATCAGTGCATTTGTTCTTGGATACAATTTACACTTAAAATAAGAAAAACACAATTGCATTGTCTTATTTCAAGTGCATTTTATCTAAATATATTATTTTAAGAGTAAAAATACTCATTCAGATGGCAAGTCATCTCATTTACCTACTCAAATTAAGGTTAATACACTTAATTTAAGATTTTTTTTTACTTATTTCTAGATTGTTTTTCCAGTATGGGGTTTTTAGTCTCTAATATACGGAAGAGGATTAGGGCCACTGAAAAAAAAAAAAAAAAGTAAACAGAATTCTGACTTTTTTCTCAGAATTCTGACTTTTTTCCCATGTTAAACTGAAATAAAATTTAAAAATCTGTTTAGTTTTTTTATTGTCAGAATTCTGACTGAATTCTGACAATAAAAAAAGTCAGAATTCTGACTTTTTTCCCATACTATACTGAAATAAAAGAAAAAAAATCAGTTAACTTTTTTTTTTTTCCAGTGGCCCTAATCCTCTTCCGTACTAATACATTATTTTAAATTACTTTTATTCTATTATAGATATCATAGTCTCTTGAGTGGTGTTTCATTTTACGGCACTTGATTGAATTGTTGTGTCTGCTGTTTCCTTCAGGATCTGGAGAAAACCCTGGATGTGTTCAACATCACTCTGGCTCGCCAACAAGCCCAGATGGAGGTGATCTTCTGCACATGAAGCTGGCGGTGATATTTTCCCAAAGCTACAGGATGATTCAAGCCTTTCTGTTCCAGCAGGCGATCCGGTCCGGGCAGAAGCTGTCCGGGAAGAAGGCTGCTGGCCAAAAGCAGGGCTGGTTCAGCGGCTGGTTTGGGAAGAAGGGAAAGAAGGAGGAGCAGGAGCAGGAAGAGAAGGAGCCTGAGAGTAAGACCTGCTCCCAACCCTCTGAACCGGCCCCATGGTTGGATTCTAACCGAGCATCCTTTGGTTCAGGTTCAGGTCTGGAGCAGCTGATGACGGCTGAGGAGAAAGAAAAACTCTACACAGCCATTGGCTACAGCGGCAGCTCCCACAACCTGGCTTTACCCAAAGAGGTAGACGCATCCCAACCTTTAAACCTTCATCTGAGGGATGGTGGCAAAGCCTGAACCCCTCGGGCTGACCTCAGCTAGCAGGCTAAAGGTTAAAGGTCACAACTCGTTTTAGGACCAGATTTCCTGTCCTCTGGTCAGACCAGATCTAGCCGGTCAGAACAGACTTCCAGTCCAGGCAGATGTCAGCCTGATGGCTTCAATGCACCGTATGCCAACCTTAAAGTGCGACTCACCCCAAGGTAAAATCAGCCCTGTCTCCAGACAAGGAAAGTAGAAACAAAGACTTGGAGCCTCTTAGGGGTGGGGCTTAGTGTTGGTTTAGCAGGAAGTGGTCAGTATAAGAGAAAGCCTCAGCTAGCTTAGCTTAGCCAAGATTAGCCTTAATCGAGTCAAATAATCTTTATTTATCATCCAGCCTGGAGCAGCATTCCAGTTTGGGGACATTTCATTTTCCCTACAGCCCTTCCAAGAAAAGAAAAAAAATTATAGGAGGGAGGACACAGTGTCTTATAGGTAGAGAAAAGAAACACAAAGAGCTTCAGAACTAGAAGCAACACAGATATGAAACACCTTCCAGGGGGGGGGCGTTTATTCATATCTCTGTGTTTGCTGGGATTTATTGTAAAGATGCTAAAGTAACCTAAGCTCCTGTGTTTCAGTACGTTGGTGTGATCATCACCTTCCAGCTGCTGAGGACGTCGGTAACCTTCAGAGAGCAGCATCACGTTCCAGAGATCCTCAACATCCAGATGGTTAACCTCAGCACCAAAATCTCTCAGAGACCTGGAGCTCAGGCTGTCAGGTGAGAGCAGCTGTCCTCTGCAGACCGGCGCCCGCAGTCAGACCGCTAAGATCCTCTTCTCTCCCTCTGCAGGTTGGAAGCAGACTTGGAGCACTGGTACGTAACCGGCCTGAAGCAGCGGGACACGGTCCCCTCGCTCATCGCCTCGGTGGGCGATTCCTCCTCATCGCTGCTCAGCGTGGCGTTCGAGCTGAACCCTGAGAAGGTCGGCATTGACCAGCTGCTGGAGATCCACTCCCAGCCTGTGGAGATCATCTACGATGCGGTAAGCAGACCTCAGACTGTCCTCTGACTGTCCTCTGACTGTCCTCTGACTGTCCTGAGACTGTCCTCTGACTGCCCTCAGACTGCCCTCAGACTGCCCTCAGACTGTCCTCAGACTGTCCTCAGACTGACCCCAGACTGTCCTCAGACTGTCCTCAGACTGCCCTCTGACTGTCCTCTGACTGCCCTCAGACTGTCCTCTGACTGTCCTCAGACTGTCCTCAGACTGTCCTCAGACTGTCCTCTGACTGCCCTCAGACTGCCCTCAGACTGTCCTCTGACTGCCCTCAGACTGCCCTCAGACTGTCCTCTGACTGTCCTCAGACTGCCCTGAGACTGTCCTCAGACTGTCCTCAGACTGTCCTCTGACTGCCCTCTGACTGTCCTCAGACTGCCCTCAGACTGTCCTCTGACTGCCCTCAGACTGTCCTCAGACTGTCCTCAGACTGCCCTCAGACTGTCCTCTGACTGCCCTCAGACTGTCCTCAGACTGTCCTCAGACTGTCCTCAGACTGTCCTCAGACTGTCCTCTGACTGCCCTCAGACTGTCCTCTGACTGTCCTCAGACTGTCCTCAGACTGTCCTCAGACTGTCCTCAGACTGTCCTCTGACTGCCCTCAGACTGCCCTCAGACTGCCCTCAGACTGCCCTCAGACTGCCCTCTGACTGTCCTCAGACTGTCCTCAGACTGCCCTGAGACTGTCCTCAGACTGTCCTCAGACTGTCCTCTGACTGCCCTCTGACTGTCCTCAGACTGCCCTCAGACTGTCCTCTGACTGCCCTCAGACTGTCCTCAGACTGTCCTCAGACTGTCCTCAGACTGTCCTCAGACTGTCCTCAGACTGTCCTCAGACTGTCCTCTGACTGTCCTCTGACTGCCCTCTGACTGTCCTCAGACTGTCCTCAGACTGTCCTCAGACTGTCCTCAGACTGCCCTCTGACTGCCCTCTGACTGCCCTCACACTGTCCTCAGACTGTCCTCAGAATGTCCTCTGACTGTCCTCAGACTGCCCTCAGACTGCCCTCAGACTGCCCTCAGACTGCCCTCAGACTCTCCTCAGACTGTCCTCAGACTGTCCTCAGACTGTCCTCAGACTGCCCTCTGACTGCCCTCAGACTGTCCTCAGACTGTCCTCAGACTGTCCTCTGACTGTCCTCTGACTGCCCTCTGACTGCCCTCTGACTGCCCTCAGACTGTCCTCAGACTGCCCTCAGACTGTCCTCAGACTGTCCTCAGACTGTCCTCAGACTGTCCTCAGACTGCCCTCTGACTGCCCTCTGACTGCCCTCAGACTGTCCTCAGACTGTCCTCAGACTGCCCTCAGACTGCCCTCAGACTGTCCTCAGACTGTCCTCAGACTGTCCTCAGACTGCCCTCAGACTGTCCTCAGACTGTCCTCAGACTGACCCCAGACTGTCCTCAGACTGTCCTCAGACTGCCCTCTGACTGCCCTCTGTCCTGACTGTCCCTCAGACTGTCCGATGACCAGACTGTCCTCAGACTGCCCTCTGACTGCCCTCTGACTGTCCTCTGACTGCCCTCAGACTGTCCTCAGACTGTCCTCAGACCGCCCTCTGACTGCCCTCTGACTGCCCTCAGACTGTCCTCAGACTGCCCTCTGACTGTCCTCAGACTGTCCTCTGACTGTCCTCTGACTGCCCTCAGACTGTCCTCTGACTGTCCTCTGACTGTCCTCTGACTGTCCTCAGACTGTCCTCAGACTGTCCTCTGACTGCCCTCAGACTGCCCTCAGACTGTCCTCTGACTGTCCTCAGACTGTCCTCAGACTGTCCTCTGACTGCCCTCTGACTGTCCTCAGACTGCCCTCAGACTGTCCTCTGACTGCCCTCAGACTGTCCTCAGACTGTCCTCAGACTGTCCTCTGACTGTCCTCAGACTGTCCTCAGACTGTCCTCTGACTGTCCTCAGACTGTCCTCAGACTGTCCTCTGACTGCCCTCAGACTGTCCTCAGACTGTCCTCAGACCGCCCTCTGACTGCCCTCTGACTGCCCTCAGACTGTCCTCAGACTGTCCTCTGACTGTCCTCTGACTGTCCTCTGACTGTCCTCTGACTGTCCTCAGACTGCCCTCTGACTGTCCTCAGACTGTCCTCTGACTGTCCTCTGACTGCCCTCAGACTGTCCTCTGACTGTCCTCTGACTGTCCTCTGACTGTCCTCTGACTGTCCTCAGACTGTCCTCTGACTGCCCTCAGACTGCCCTCAGACTGTCCTCTGACTGTCCTCAGACTGTCCTCAGACTGTCCTCTGACTGCCCTCTGACTGTCCTCAGACTGCCCTCAGACTGTCCTCTGACTGCCCTCAGACTGTCCTCAGACTGTCCTCAGACTGTCCTCTGACTGTCCTCAGACTGTCCTCAGACTGTCCTCAGACTGTCCTCTGACTGTCCTCAGACTGTCCTCTGACTGTCCTCTGACTGTCCTCAGACTGTCCTCAGACTGCCCTCTGACTGCCCTCAGACTGTCCTCAGACTGTCCTCAGACTGTCCTCAGACTGTCCTCAGACTGCCCTCTGACTGCCCTCTGACTGCCCTCAGACTGTCCTCAGACTGTCCTCAGAATGTCCTCTGACTGTCCTCTGACTGTCCTCTGACTGTCCTCAGACTGCCCTCAGACTGCCCTCAGACTGCCCTCAGACTCTCCTCAGACTGTCCTCAGACTGACCCCAGACTGTCCTCAGACTGTCCTCAGACTGCCCTCAGACTGTCCTCAGACTGCCCTCAGACTGTCCTCAGACTGTCCTCAGACTGACCCCAGACTGTCCTCAGACTGTCCTCAGACTGCCCTCTGACTGCCCTCTGACTGTCCTCAGACTGTCCTCAGACTGTCCTCAGACTGTCCTCTGACTGCCCTCAGACTGTCCTCAGACTGTCCTCAGACCGCCCTCTGACTGCCCTCTGACTGCCCTCAGACTGTCCTCAGACTGTCCTCTGACTGTCCTCTGACTGTCCTCTGACTGTCCTAAGACTGTCCTCAGACTGCCCTCTGACTGCCCTCAGACTGTCCTCAGACTGTCCTCAGACTGCCCTCAGACTGCCCTCAGACTGTCCTCAGACTGTCCTCAGACTGCCCTCTGACTGCCCTCAGACTGTCCTCTGACTGTCCTCAGACTGCCCTCAGACTATCCTCAGACTGTCCTCAGACTGCCCTCTGACTGCCCTCTGACTGCCCTCTGACTGCCCTCTGACTGCCCTCAGACTGTCCTCAGACTGCCCTCAGACTGTCCTCAGACTGTCCTCAGACTGTCCTCAGACTGCCCTCTGACTGCCCTCTGACTGCCCTCAGACTGTCCTCAGACTGTCCTCAGACTGTCCTCAGACTGTCCTCAGACTGTCCTCAGACTGCCCTCTGACTGCCCTCTGACTGTCCTCAGACTGTCCTCAGACTGTCCTCAGACTGTCCTCTGACTGCCCTCAGACTGTCCTCAGACTGTCCTCTGACTGCCCTCTGACTGCCCTCTGACTGCCCTCAGACTGTCCTCAGACTGTCCTCTGACTGTCCTCTGACTGTCCTCTGACTGTCCTCAGACTGCCCTCAGACTGTCCTCTGACTGTCCTCTGACTGTCCTCTGACTGCCCTCAGACTGTCCTCAGACTGTCCTCAGACTGCCCTCAGACTGGTCCTCAGGCTGTCCTCAGATTGTCCTCAGACTGTCCTCAGACTGCCCTCTGACTGTCCTCAGACTGTCCTCAGACTGTCCTCAGACTGTCCTCTGACTGACCTCAGACTGACCTCAGACTGTCCTCTGACTGTCCTCAGACTGTCCTCAGACTGTCCTCAGACTGTCCTCTGACTGTCCTCAGACTGCCCTCTGACTGCCCTCAGACTGTCCTCAGACTGTCCTCTGACTGTCCTCTGACTGTCCTCAGACTGTCCTCTGACTGACCTCAGACTGCCCTCAGACTGCCCTCAGACTGTCCTCAGACTGCCCTCAGTCTGCCCTCAGACTGTCCTCAGACTGTCCTCTGACTGACCTCAGACTGCCCTCAGACTGCCCTCAGACTGTCCTCTGACTGACCTCAGACTGACCTCTGACTGTCCTCAGACTGTCCTCAGACTGTCCTCTGACTGTCCTCTGACTGTCCTCTGACTGCCCTCAGACTGCCCTCAGACTGTCCTCAGACTGTCCTCTGACTGTCCTCAGACTGTCCTCTGACTGCCCTCAGACTGTCCTCTGACTGCCCTCAGACTGCCCTCAGACTGTCCTCAGACTGTCCTCAGACTGACCCCAGAATGTCCTCAGACTGTCCTCAGACTGTCCTCTGACTGTCCTCTGACTGACCTCAGACTGTCCTCAGACTGTCCTCAGACTGCCCTCTGACTGTCCTCAGACTGTCCTCAGACTGTCCCCAGACTGTCCTCAGACTGACCCCAGACTGTCCTCAGACTGTCCTCAGACTGTCCTCTGACTGTCCTCTGACTGACCTCAGACTGTCCTCAGACTGTCCTCTGACTGTCCTCAGACTGTCCTCTGACTGTCCTCAGACTGCCCTCTGACTGTCCTCAGACTGCCCTCTGACTGTCCTCAGACTGTCCTCTGACTGTCCTCTGACTGACCTCAGACTGTCCTCAGACTGTCCTCTGACTGTCCTCAGACTGTCCTCAGACTGGTCCTCAGGCTGTCCTCAGACTGTCCTCAGACTGTCCTCAGACTGCCCTCTGACTGTCCTATGACTGTCCTCAGACTGTCCTCAGACTGTCCTCTGACTGTCCTCAGACTGCCCTCTGACTGTCCTCAGACTGCCCTCTGACTGTCCTCAGACTGTCCTCTGACTGTCCTCAGACTGCCCTCTGACTGTCCTCAGACTGACCCCAGACTGTCCTCAGACTGTCCTCAGACTGTCCTCTGACTGTCCTCTGACTGACCTCAGACTGTCCTCAGACTGTCCTCTGACTGTCCTCTGACTGTCCTCAGACTGTCCTCAGACTGGTCCTCAGGCTGTCCTCAGACTGACCTCAGACTGTCCTCAGACTGCCCTCTGACTGTCCTATGACTGTCCTCAGACTGTCCTCAGGCTGTCCTCAGACTGTCCTCAGACTGTCCTCAGACTGCCCTCTGACTGTCCTCAGACTGTCCTCTGACTGTCCTCAGACTGCCCTCTGACTGTCCTCAGACTGCCCTCTGACTGCCCTCTGACTGTCCTCAGACTGTCCTCTGACTGTCCTCAGACTGTCCTCTGACTGTCCTCAGACTGTCCTCTGACTGTCCTCAGACTGTCCTCTGACTGTCCTCAGACTGCCCTCTGACTGTCCTCAGACTGTCCTCTGACTGTCCTCTGATGTCTTTGGTAGAGAGATAAACCGCAGACCTTCTGACCCTAGAGGGCTTAGAGAATGTGGTAAACATCTCTGGTAGATGAGAGTGATTCACATTCAGGGTTAAACACTTAATAAATGTGGATTATTTTAAGATTATTTTAAGATTGGAGGTCAACCCTTCAGGATGTTTGGAGCATCACTGCTCTGAGAGGAGCTGCTGAAAGGATCTGTGTTGGATTCCCTTGTTTCTGCTGGTATCTGCTCTGCTGCTGCTGAGGATCCTTTATCGGCTCCTTCTGGGGGTCCGATCCACATTTTTCTTTTTTTCCTGCAGGTGACCATTAACAGCATGGTGGATTTCTTTAAGACGGGGAAAGGAGTGGATCTGGAGGTCCTTACTTCTGCCACTCTGTCCAAACTTGAGGAGATCAAAGAGAAAACGGCTGCAGGTGAGGCCATCCTCAGGTGAGGCGATGGAACCGCCCCCTTTGACCTCAGGATGGAGTTCAGTTTCTGACCAGTTTAACTGGGTCTGGGTCTGGTCTCTGACTGGTTCTGATCTCTGCAGGTTTGTCTCACATCATTGAAACCAGGAAGGTTCTGGACCTAAAGATCGACCTGAAGCCGTCTTACCTGCTGATACCGAAGTCAGGTTTTTACAGCAGCACGTCGGAGCTGATGATTGTGGACTTTGGTAGCTTCCAGGTCAGCCAGCAAATCATTTTCCTTCCTTAAACTACCTTTCATGTTTGTTTCTCTTTGTTAAAGTTGCAGAGAAAACATATTTAAATGTCAAATCATTCTGGTTTAAACATGTATAGAAATGTTCTCTTTATCAGACGATATTCTCTCAAAATTTAGAAAATTTCTACTTTAAAAACAAATCCTGTCTTAAATTCTGTGTTTTTTCAGTTATCTTCTGCAGGCCAGTTAGTTCTACGTCAGCCTGAACACCTAAATTCAGCCAATCATACATCAACGGTCATCTGTCAATCAAATGTTTTCGGTCATAGCATCTTGATTCATATGTCGCAGCTAATATACGCAACGGTTGAAACCAGAATCCTTTCCTTTCCCATTGAGTTGCGTCCCAGTGTTCACGGGGATGGACGTCTGTGTCTTCAGCAGGCGTAGAGCTAACAGAACTGGCAGCGTTGCGAGGCAAGGGCTCAAACATGTACGGCTGGAAGCCTTCTACACCAAACCAAGCTTCTGCCGCCCTGGCGTCCTCTTCCACAACATCTTCGTCCCCGCTTTCCTCCTCTAAATAAAAAATGGATGACGGAGGAGACTCATCCACGACCTCCGACACTAAACTCTCCTCCTCTTGCATGTTTCCGCTGTCCATAGCGTTCCTTGACAGCGTCGTTTCTAAGTCACCAATTTAGTGCTACTTGGTCCCAATGGAATTTCCCATTGGGAACCTGCTAGCACTAAGATGCTAACTGGTTAGCAAGATTCTTCCCACAAACCGGCCACAACCAAACTTGCTTGCGAACCTTCTGCCACAACAATCCCGCCCCCTTGATAATCGACCAATCACATTCACTTTATTCAGTCGTGTAAAGTTGGGCACCACTGGGAAAATTACGAACTGCAACGGTTGGAACAGTCGCTTCCCTACGACTTTAAATATCATTGGATCAGTAGCTTAAGATGGGATTTTAGAGAATTAGGGTCAGAAAATACCGAATCCGATTTTGTGTCCGACAAGAAATTGTGTCAGACGAGGTTGTTGCGTTTAGTGCTCATTGAAAGTCAATGATGATGATCAAACCGACACGATTTTACGCAAGAGGGCTGCGTCGGTCCACTGAGATAGACGCCAGGTGTGTTTTATTGGGACTGCGATTCAGCTACAGCTTCATGGCGCTAACAGGAAGAGGGAGGTTACAAAGTAAAACACATTCGGTTTAGAGGGAAAATACAAAATAAAATGTGTTAATGGAAAGAGTCTGTTTTAGAGACGCAAGGAGCAGGAAAGACGTGAAACATAAGAAATATAAGACTTTACAGACGGTGGGAGTTCAGGAGGATAGAAAACGGATAAAGTATTGATCCTCTTTGGGTCTAACAGAAACGAGGGACAGAAAGCGCAGTTTTTCAATCTCCTCGAAAAAAAAAAAAAACTTTAGGAGAAAAATCTGATCCTCTTTGGGCCTAAAAAAATCTAAAATAAGGAGGAGCAGACAGAGCAGGTCAGCACACCGTATTCCTCTGACCGCTTTATGGAAAAAAAGAAAGAAAAACTGATAAACTTCCCACATCTCTGAGAATCGCCTCTCTGCCTCAGTCGCCATAGAAACCGTCCCGCAGGGCTTATTGCTGTTTTTCTGTTCTTTAGACGTAGATCTGATGATGGTTTTAATAGATGAACATCCTCCATCTGATCTGGTTTGAGTTGCTGCACAGACTCTCTAAGTGAGGCTTTGCTTTATGGAATTTATACCACAGACAGAAGCTAAAACTATCTGTGCGTATCTGCTCACCCTGCCTAGCCGGAGCTTCGCTACACGCAGTCAGTGTGACGGAAATGGAACCAGAGATTAACTATCCGTGCGCCTCCGGTGTGTTCTGGCCTTTAGGACCAGGGCAGTGACTATAACAGGGTCTGTGTTTGCAGCTGCACAGCGTGGATCAGAACAGCGTCACCTCATCCTCATCGCTGGAGGCCATCATGGATCGAGCCTACGAGAGATACGATGTGGGACTGAGGAGAGTCCAGCTGCTCTACAGCAAGTCAGGTGAGACGCTACGACATGTCAGCTTTAAAGGGGCGGATGTTTCCAGATGTTCAGGGAATAAATCCATTTCAGGAGATGCCTGGAAGTCGGCCCGCCTGCAGAGTTCCTCCGTCCAACACATCCTCCAGCCCATGGACCTCACTCTGCACCTGGCCAAGTGTATGGTGGAGAAGGACGCTCGGATGCCCAGGTATGCCCCCCCCCCACACCTCCACCCACCCGCTGCTTGATGCTGAAAGCATTTCTTCCATTTGGCTGCAGGTTCAAGGTGTCCGGTGAGCTGCCTCTAATGCACGTCAGGATCTCTGACCAGAAGATCCAGAAGGTGCTGGAACTGGTGGAAAGCGTCCCAGTGCCAAAGAAGGACTCTGCTCCCTGCAGCCCCACGGAGAAGGTCTGCATCTTAAGGACAGTTGGTGCTCACAGGATTTATTTAACAGTTTATCAGGTAGAATGATAAGAGAGGATTTAACTTTATATTAAACGTTTATCTGAACGAGGATCGTCTCTGAAGCTTTTAGTTAGTTTAAAATCCACCGATAAACACAGATTCCCATCGATCTGGATAATTATATGATGAAGTTTTTTTCATTTTAAAATTAAATGAAAAAAACACAAAAATTCCTAAAACAAACATTTTTTATTCTAATTAAAAAGGTTAAAATAAAGATATGCTGAGTTTATTAATGTGCTGCTGGAAATGATGCTCTAAACGTTTCCTTCCATGTTCAGTCAGTTCTAACCCACCAAACATCTTATTTAGACTGAAATAAATTAATGTGTTTGAAATAAAACGAAAGTTACGTATGTAACTACGGTTCTATGAATCCCGGATGACCGCCAGAGCTTCTCTGTCACTCAGGATCCTTGCTTTTGCGAGAAGATTCTGTAGGAGCAGAGCAAAGGATGACACCAGGCTATATAGCTTCTGAGTGGTCATCCGGTGTCACAGGTGTGACTCTGTTGGTATAATTACTCGAACTGCGCATGCCCGAAGGGAACATTCAGTGCTTTCAGCACCGCCCTCTGGCGGTCAGTAGGGATGAAATAGAACTGCCTGCATGAGAATTCTGACTCCATATAAACCCAAAGGGTTCATGGTTTTTATTCAGTGGATCATTAAAAATCATTTAAAGTCATTCAATTATTATCTTTTAAATTAAGGCTTTAATTGGCATTAAAATTCATTCAATTTGATTATTGTTGCATTTAAAATCTTTATTTTTAAAAAAGAAAAAAAATTATAAAAAACTATTTCGTCAGGTATATTATATAGGGATATATTTGTGTGGAACTGCTTCCGGTTGATGGTAAAGTCGTATGTTCGGAGAGCGGGAAAATGCTAATTTCAACAAAAGTTGCTGGAAAAAATTTGAGAGAACCTGGCTGCAACCTGTCAACGGTAAAGATGACCAAGGATTTTCACACGTTATATACTGTCTACACATATATATATATATATATATATACTTAAATATCACTCCTACAAAATTGGTTTTTTTTTTTGTTTTGTTTTTTCAAAACGTCATTAATCCCACCTGGTCGCCACCATTTTTATATATTTATATCAAACACAGCAGTACACTGCAAAAACGAGCCAGAAATAAGTACAAATTTCTTAAATTTAGTGTATTTACCCTTAATTTGAGCAGGTAAATTAGATAATTTGCTAATGGAATGAGTATTTTTACTCTTAAAATAAGATAATTAAATAATATGCATTTGAAATAAGAGAATTCAACTGTGTTTTCTTATTTTAAGTGTAAATTGTCTTGTTCCATTGGCAAAATGTATCTTTTACCTCCTCAATTCAAGAACAAATGCACTTATTTTAAGAAAAAATGACTTATATAGATTTAGATTTTGTGCAGTGTATGCTTGAAATTAATACCAGTTAAAGTTTTACCAATATAGACCAAATGTTATACATCTTTAGAAAGCTTGAGCACTAAAGCACAATTAATAAAGATAGAGCAGGATTTCTAAAGGACTTCCTACCTTTGAAGCGTTCCTGAGGCCGTATTATAAATCCAATCTTAAATTGTTTATATACCATTTATCTGTAATGGTCCACAGATTAAAACGTATCCAGCAAACTCATCATAAATAAAAATTCTATGATGAGTAAATCGGGACATAAAGTCAGTTTTTTTAACCATCAGAGTAGTTCTCTCCTTACAGCTAATGCTGAGCGGTACAGGGTTATGCAAGTGCATTTCTTTTTAAATTCTGCTGACAGCTCTGCAGAAACGGTTCTGCAGCAGATGAAGCCTGATCTTTCTCCCCACAGTCGCCTCATTCTCACATAGGAGGATTTAATAAGCGCCGAATGGGCGTAATGGAGAATGTTCAGGCCCGTTAGGCTGTACTTCTGTTCTGAAGCGTCTCTTTCTGTAGGTGTTGCCGCTGTCCAGGGTTCTACCTCCAGCTCAGACGCTCGACCCCACCCTCCTCGACACATTTGAAACAGGTGAGCCGTTCATCCCCGTTCAGCTGGAGAAGAAGCCTCCAAACGTTGCTCATATGGATGGACATGCTGGATGAGAAGCTGCTTCTGTTTTACATCCAGACTCTGAAGAGGAGGCTGGCGACAGGCTGACCAATGAGGAGCAGCAGCGACTGACTCAGGAGGAGCTCATCAACGTTCACTTCAAGTTTGAGCTCAAAGAGGTCTGCTGGTGCCCCTAGTGGACGCTTGGTGTTAGATAACCAACCTCTGACTCTGCAATATGTGGCTTCCCAGGTGCTGTTGGAACTGACGCAGCAGGCCGACCAGGAGAAGGCCGTTCTGTCCTTCAACATCTCGCAGCTAGGAGCCGAAGGCAGGATGCGCAGCTTCGACCTGAGCGTCACCTCCTACCTGCGGCGGCTCGCAGTCGACTACTGTGACGTACCAGGTGATGGCCGTACCTGCTCCGGGCCTCGGGTTCAGAAATGTTCTCTGTGGCTCCAGAAGCTTCATGTTTCACAGACCAACGGGGGGGGGTAACGGGAGATAAACATGAACTCATTTCTGAGTTAATTTCCCTCTGAAGATGAATTTTTGCTGATATCAAAACTTTACCGTCAGATTCTGACGGTAAAGTTTTGGTTCCAACCTAAATGAGATGATGGGTCAATTTCTGCTGCTTGGTTCTTAAAGGTTCTGATCTGAGGATGAAGGTCCTGATTAAAGCGTTTTGGTTCCTGATAGGGTCGGGAATTGAAAAGATTTTCACGATTCCGATTCCCTTTTCGATTCTATGAAACGATTTGATTCTTTATCGATTCTTTTTTCGATTCCAATTTGGGGGGAAAAGGAGAACAAACAGTTTGATTATCAGCATCAACTTTGTTTACTTAACTATTGCACAATCTTACAAACTCAACAAGATCAAGATGTCCACAGGAAATGTGAAACTGGAGTAACATCTGTGTTTAAATGAAAAATGAATACCAGAACAAACTTACTCCTCACAGTTATCTAAATCTAATGGAGAAGACATCAATTTAATAATAAAGCATTACTGAACAATTTTGGGAAATAAACTCATCTCCCCCTGATTTAAAAAAACAAGCATCACCTTTCTCTCCCTCCCTGAACTGCGGAGCAACTTTGTAGCGTGTTACGTTACATCCACTGCAACAGCTAGAATCATGTAAGGACTCCAGCTACCAGTAGTTCTAATTAAAAAACATGCTAGCAATGAAGCGCTGGAATAACGACAAAGGCACACTCCCTTATTTACACCAAAGAGAGGAAGGAAATGAGTTTATTTCTAGAAATGGGATATGATATACCAGGAACAACATTAAGCATATCCAGTGATGTAGAACTTGCTACTTAGCAGACTTGCCTTCCATCCTTGTAGAAATTTTAGCCTCTTTCCGGAAGGCATCAAAAACACGGCACTCAATAAAATGTATCCCATGTTGTGCGCGGAGGTGTTTCAGCATGTTCAAAGTATTTCCTCCCGCGATTGAAGTTGTAGCTTTGCAATGATTGCAAAGAGCCTTCTTGCCATCTTTTTTAAAATGAAGCCAAACTTTTGATCTCTTTACTTGGTGTGGCGCCATTTTTTTGCTTTCCTTTTTTGCCTAGTCACGTCGTACTTGCTTACTGAACGCCGTGTGCGTAACTTGCGTAAAAAACGTGACGTAAGTCGTGCTCCCCAGAGCCGGCGCTTTAGACTCTGGTGCTGCGGGAATCGAAAAAAGAATCGTTCAGCGAGCTGCCAAACGATGCCATGGAATCGGAAAATACGGAACCGGTTTTCGATTCCCATCCCTAGTTCCTGATCTCCTCATAGCCTCTTTAGGTCCCGCTGTTTCTATAGCTTCTCTTAACACCTTCGGTCATTTCTGGGTCTCGTTTTGTTTTGGCGCTTTGAAAAGTGGATGACTGTAGCAGGATGTTGTTGTTTGACCGTTTCAGTGGGCAGAGAGCCGCTCCACCTGATCAGCTCCCTGCAGCAGCAGGACTCCAACCTGCTGAAGGTGGAGTTCATCAAGGTACGTCTGATTTACCGTGAGACTCTCTGTTAGTTTGGTTCATTAACGGAGGAGTTAACAGTCGTTTGTCGCTGTGGCGCCGCAGGCTGACCCGAACGGTCCCAGCTTCCAGACTCAGTTCAGCAACACGGAGCAGACGCTGAAGGTGGGTCCGATGTGCCTCCTGGGGCTTGTTGTGCTCTCCGACGTCCTGGCTCGTCGTGACGTCTGTCTCTGCCGTTCTAGGTGGAGCTTTCGTCTCTGGACTTCCTTCTTCATACCAAAGCTCTGCTGGCGACCATCAGCTACCTGAACAGCGCCGTGCCGCAGCAGTTCAGCGCCACACGGGATCCCGATACCAAGAAGCTGGTGCAGAAAACAGAGCAGAGTCAGACGGGTAGGTCGCCTCTGTTTACCTGTTAGGACTCATCACACAAACGGTTCAGACCCAAATTCTTCCTTTAAGGTTGTCTTTTAAAGAGTGGCGTACCGGAACATCAGAGCATTTAAAGATGGTAAAATATTTATTTATTAAATCTGCATCTGACAGGATGTCTGTGTGGATGTGTTTGTCTTTTAGTGTCTAAAAGCAAAAAAGATGGCGGCGTCTTCAGCTTCAAGCTCTTCGCCACATTGGGCTGCTTCCATGTGGAGGTTTGCGACGATCGCTGCAGCATCGCTGACATCCGGGTTCAGGGTACGAACGCTCCTCTGTCAGCTGCAGTCCTGCAGATGGTCGGAGTATAAACGTAGTCCGTGTTTCCTCCACATAGAAATCAAGGCCTCGGTGTTCATGCAGGCGAAGGAGACGGAGGTGTTTGCGCGCCTCGGAGACATCGTGGTCACAGACGCCAACCCAAAGACCGTCCACAGGAAGGTCAGAGAGACACACGGCTCTGCAGTCAGACTCTCTTAGTAACAGAAGTAACTTCCTCCTCCTCCTCCCCGCAGGCCGTGTCCATCGTAGGCAACGAGGTGTTCAGCTTTAAGCTGTCCTTGTTTCCGGGGGCAACACAGGGCGAAGGATACGGCGACATGTCCAAGGTGGACGGGAAGGTCACCATGAGTCTAGGGTGCATCCAGATTGTCTACCTGCACAAGTTCTTCATGTCTCTGCTGGTCAGAAGCTGCAAAAACACACAGAAACACAAACTTAGAGCAGAACATGTTGATTTCAGGCATTCATGAACATGAAGGACAGGATTTATCCTTTTTTTTCTTTTTGTTCTGTTAAATGTGTTGATTTGTTTCCACAAACTCATCCTATATCACAACCATTGGTCTGTTTCCACGGTGGAATCACTGCAGCTTTTCTCTTGGTTTCCTCTGGACTTAATGAGCTCAAAGGTAATTAAGCTTCCAGATAAAATAAAAGGAGCTGGAAATCATTTGAACTGGAACTCCAGCTTTTAGTCCTAAACCATAAATATCTAATTAACGAGGCGTGAAGGGATTTTCTGATGATGCTGCCACCTGTGGCCAAAACACAGAACTGCAGGTATCTTCTGCTCATTCTCGCAGCCCGCTCTTTTCCTTTTTTCACCTCACCTGGAGGCGCTATCGTTAAGCCGGATGACGGTCGCTTCAGAGTGTCCACCAAATCCATGTTGAATAAAACACCTCAATAGTTTGCTAACATGGACGCCCTCTCCTCCGTCCTAAAGTAAATTCAGGAAAATAATCTACAGGCTTATAGATGCATCGATGCTGAACTATTAAGGCGTCGGTCTGATCATCAAAGGATGTTTTAGTCATAAAGGGTGAAATTAATTATAAAGATAGTCATGGAAAAAACGAACAAAAAACTCTTTAAGTCAGAGATTTGGAAAAAAAAACAATTCCCAGCTCATAGTTAGCCTGCTTTAGCCTACATATGAAAATGTTTAATATCATTTTTAATCATTATTAACATAAAAATCAATCTAAACCTGGAACTTGTTTTATCAACAGTGTCACAGATTCTAAATAAATGCACAATAAGCTATTAAATATAACAGCTGATAATATCTGAAGGTTGCCTGAGCTTTTCTTCTTTTGAGCTTCATAGAACTCAGGAATCTAAAATGATCACTGGCAAAAATATGCAAACTACACTCATCTTTAGTATGGATACCTTATTGAATTGGTATTTTACTCCGATACTCTGAGTATCAAGACTATCGGAGTATCAAGAGAGAAGATTTCTGGCAACCCTTAGTCCTGGTTGACGGCCGTAGATTTCAGTCCAGCTGGAAGGTTTCTGTTTCTCCTGATCTGCATCAGTTCAGGGAAACGCAATACTGGTTTCCCATCAGTTAAACTGGTTCATGACCCCCCCCCCCCCCCCGATCAGTTATCTATGCGACATCAGCTGAAGGACTCAATGGCAGTCCTATAAATATAATCTAACCAACTTTAAAAAAGAGCAGATGTTATATTGACGTCCATCTTAAAGTTTAAAGTTACCCTTAAATCTGAAAAGCATTGCAGCTGCAGGAAGCGGCTCTGGGTGAAGAAGTACTCATGATCTCACTTCCTACAGTCAGCCCCACAGCCAATGAAGCGGCTGCAGGTTAAAACTTCTCTGTTTCCCGTTTTTTACCTGTTGCATGTAATTTCCACCTGTTGGTTGTCTCTAATGTCTCCTGTGTTGTTGGTGTGTTTTGTCCTTACAGGCTTCTTTTAGCTTTCAGTACCCCTCAGCCGATGAGGTACAGCATCCAGCATGCAGCTCCCAACTGCATCAAACCTTCTGCTTCACTCAGAAACACCCCTGCACCATCTACCCTCCTCCAATGTCATCTGATTTAAGCTCCCTATGACCTTTAAACCTGGTCCTAAGCTCAGCTTAACCTCAGCTCATTAAGATTTACATGGAGGGGTGAAAATCAAGTAACTTAACGGTTTTCTGCAGCAACAGAAAAATGAAAAGCAGTTCAATTCCACCGCAGAATGCCCCCCCATCACCTCTAATATGATGAACTCCCTGAATCTCCCTACTGGAAAAGAAATGCTTATTTCTCTGTAGTTCCTAGTTCCTTAATAATATAACCCAATCCATGGCATCATGGTCTCTATGGAGCTCTCAGGTTCTACAGACAATTCTGACTCCTAACTGCAGATCCTCTGTTGTTGAAGTAGGGGTTTAAATTCCCATTAATAGGGTCAAATTTTTCATAAAATAGCAGAATGCCATCGTGATTAGGACTACCAGAACTTTAAATTCTGTTTAACGCAGTAGATTAAAGTCATCCTGGGCCTCGCAGAGGAAAACCAGGACTAATAATCTACTTGAAGAGGTCACAGCCATCAAGGAAAATAGTTTTTTAAAAAGAGCTGGATTTGGTTGGAATATTAAGTTAATATAGGGAATAAATGTGGAAAAAGTTCTGTTTTACAGTAGTAGAATATAGCATAGTGAAGAAAAGGGGTCCCTATGTCCTCCAGCAGTCTAAGCCTATAGCAGCAGAACTATAGAGATAGATCAGGATAACCTGAGCCACTCTAACTAGAAGCTTTATCAAAAAGGAAAGTTTTAAGCCTAGCCTTAAAAGTAGACAGGGTGTCTGCCTCACGGACTAAAACTGGTAGTTGGTTCCACAGGAGAGGAGCCTGAGAACTAAAAGATCTGCCTCCCATTCTACTTTTAGAAATTCTAGGAACCACTAGTAAACCTGCAGATTGAGAGCGAAGTGCTCTGTTAGGAACATCAGGAACAATCAGATCTCTGATATCAGATGGAGCTTGGCCATTTAAGGCTTTATATGTGAGAAGGAGGATTTTAAATTCTATTCTGGATTTAACAGGAAGCCAATGAAGAGAAGCCAGGATAGGAGAGATATGATCTCTCTTTTTCATTTCCATCAGAACTCTGGCTGCAGCATTTTGGATCAGCTGAAGGCTTTTAACTACAGTTTGTGGACTTCCTGATAGTAAAGAATTACAATAGTCCAGCCTTGAAGTAACAAATGCATGGACTAGTTTCTCAGCATCACCCCTGGACAGGAGATTGCTCATTTTTGCAATATTCCTCAGATGAAAGAAGGAAATTCTAGAAACCTCTTTGATCTGGGATTTAAATGACAGGTCATGATCAAAAATAACACCAAGATTTTTTACTTTATTATCTGAAATCAGTTTAATCCCATCCAAATGAAGTGACTGACTAATCAGCTTCTTTTTCAGAGACTCTGGTCCAAAGACTATAACTTCTGTTTTATCTGCATTCAGAAGCAGAAAGTTCAGAGTCATCCAGGTTTTTATGTCTTCAGACATGCCTGTAATCTATGTAATGGGTTAGCTTCATCTGGATTATAGACAGATATAGCTGGGTATCATCAGCATAACAGTGGAAATTAATCCCATGCTGTCTAATAATTCTACCGATTGGGAGCATGTATAAAGTAAAGAGAATTGGTCCTAGCACTGATCCCTGTGGTACTCCACAGGTAACCTTTGAGCGTGTTGAAGATCTATCATTAACATGAACAAACTGAATTCGATCAGATAGATCAGATTTAAACCAGCCCAGATTTGGACCCTTTGGATCTGGTGCCTCCAAACCTCCTGAGGTGTCCAACCTGAAGGCTCTGATGACTGGAGCAGAAGCAGGTGGAGCGATAAATGAAGGCCTGATGCTGAGAGCGTCATGGTCTAGTTTTTCTCAACATATCTGCTATGCAACTCACTGACCTGTCATCATTAACCTCACTGCCATGCCACGTCAGTCACATGACCACTGCCTGAACGACCTCACTCCCTGACCCACAATGTTTCTGTCGTTTTTATCTGGTTTCCTAAATGTTAAACATTCGATATGAACCTTCAAACAGCTTTCTTTGGCAGCGACCTGGAAACATTCAGATGTTTGACCTTTAATCTCAATCATTCGTTTTTTTGTAGAGATTTAAGGCTCAGGTTTAAAGTCTGAGCTGTTTTGGAAAGGTTCATATCGCTGCGATCATATTTATGAAACAGATTCCCACCTGAATGCTCCATGAGCACCTGGTCGGCTTTCAGCCAATCACGATGTTGTCCATGTTTGTTCCAGATGTTCGTCGACAACTTTCAGACGGCTAAAGAAGCTCTGAGCGCCGCAACTTCTCAGGCTGCAGAGAGAGCAGCGTCCAGCGTCCGGGACTTTGCCCAGAAGAGCTTCCGTCTCTCCATGGACATCAAGCTGAAGGCGCCCATCATCATCATCCCTCAGTCCTCCACTTCCCAGAATGCCCTGGTGGTGGACTTGGGATTGATCACTGTGGGAAACAGCTTCGCTCTGCGACCGATAGAAACGCTCCCTTTGCCGGCTGTGGTGGAAAAGATGGAAGTGAAGCTGACACAGCTGAAACTCAGCAGGTACGGATCCCTGAACGTCTGTTTGGAGATTGTTTTTACCCGCTTCTTCGTTAGTGAGTGAAAGTTGGTGTCTTTAGGTATTAACAGATTTATTACAGTCAAGTATAAGAAAATCATTGATAATAAGCACATAGTAGGCCGTAGGCTAAGTTTCTAAAATAACAGGAACCTGCAAGGATCCCCTACTTCCAACTAAAACACAGATGATAAACCAACAGTTAAGGCGTTGCCATGTCAACACAGGATGTCCACAGAGATGAAACAGGCAGCCGTCCTAGCATGGAGCTGGATGCAGGATGTCCCAGATATACACACTAAGAACATAAACTAATCTTCTATAAGAAATAAATTCCCAATAAGATGTTGGGAGGAAGACCAGCAGCCCCTGTTAACGTTCTATGAGCAGAAAACCTGAACTCTTCAACATTCTCCTTCCAGTCAAACATTAACGGATTTTACTGATCGGAAACTGAAACTAAATCTAAGGAAACCAGAAGAAGAAGATCTTTCTGTTAGACGCCTAAAGTATAGCAGACTCTGAGTCTTTAGGAGGAAAGACGGTCAGGAAGTTCTCTGCATGATGATGATCAGCGAGGATCTCCTGAATCCTCTCATGTCCATTGGTTGCTCCCAGGTGGACGTCCTCCAGGTTCTGGAGGCTGTCAGGAGGACTGGATGGTGGTCCCAGTTTTAAGAAAAGGGAAACCTTTAGACTGGTCCAGCTGGTGTGGACCAGACCTCATCAGACTGCGATGGACGGACAGGAACAATGTTAAAACAAAACAGAAATCTCTCGAGAGCTGTACTGAACGAATTTCTTTTTGTATGCACTCTGTTTACAAAATGATAATAAAGTCTAAAAATATGGAGAAACAAAAGAATTTTGTGGGCTGTCCATTCTAGATAGCAAGCTGAACTGGTTCCCAGTTTGAACTGGACTGTTTGGGTGGTCATGGACAGGATCTCAACGAGTCATAGAGAGGAGGGAGTCCTTAAAGGAGAAGTCTGATCAGCAGGAATAATCAATGGATCCTTATTTATACCTAAAACTAATACGTTTGCAGTGATTTAATGAATTTATTGTTAATCACTAAAAAAAATAATAATATCCATTCCGATCACAGAGTCTGGGAGCGGCCATTTTCCCCCAAATATAGTAGCCCCTCCCTCCTGCCATCTTCCAGCAGTGACGTCACGGTGTGGTAAGCCTAGCGCCATTCTCCCCGCTTTACAAGCTAAATCAATGGGAGCTACTAGACACATCTGCAATCAACAACAATTATTGAAGATTTCCAGAGGACTTCACCATTGAAATTCACCAGAGCTATAGTGAAACTGACAATGCCCACGTGCATGGCAGCTGGATGCTGGAATACATCGGGTAAAAGTGAAAGAAAGAGTTATTCCACCTTTCTGATTCCTGATCCTCCACGGACGGGTTGGTCGTTGGATCGCCAACTTGAAGAGGGAGGATTTGCCATCGAACTTCTGGCCAGAGAAAAAACCCGTAATATGTAGCCAACATTTGGAAGAAGAATGTTTTCAAGATGACTTGGATAATAGCGCGTTGTGACAAACACCAGATACAGCACTGGGACTTGATCAACAGCCGATACCGCACCGTGACGTCACTAACCAGTAGGTGGCAGTAGTTTTCTTTGACAAACATGGATGCCTCCAGTAAAACTGACGAACTCTCAAAGAGAATCGTCAGTCTTTAAATGTCAGAAAATTGAACAAAACCAGACATGACTTTAAATCAGTTATCAGTTCAGTTTAGCTAGTTTGTGTTGAAGTAGGAATGTCTATGATTATGGATCTATGTCCTTTCAAAAATTGCAAAAAGGAAAAATGATATTCCTTAATCTGATCATGTTTAAAATAAAGCTGAATATTTTAATGTCCCTTTGGTTTCAGAAAAACCCCGAAGATAGACTTCCCTCCCAAAGACATTGAGATCCTTCAGCCCATTAACGTGGACCTGCTGGTCACCAGAAACTTGGCTGCTTCCCAGTTCTCAGACATCCCCGGGGTCCAGGTCCAGGGGGTCCTGCGGTCCCTCAATGTGAGTCTCTCTCTCCTCCATTCAGGCTTCTGAACAAACTCCTGCCCTGTGATGTTGATGCGTGACCCGTCGATTGCAGATGAGTCTGGGGGAAGAGGAGCTCGGCGTGCTGATGAAGATTCTGGTGGAAAACATTGGGGAGGGAAGTAAAGACCAGAACTTGGAGGTTAAGACACAGGCCCCCCCAGGTACGTTCACTAACAGCAATCTGTTGCTGACAGTTTAAACTCCAGCCTTAAAAAACAACCTTTTATATTAATAATGTTTTATTGCAGAAATGACTTCCTTCTCTGAAGGTCATTTTAAGGGGATAGCAGCGCGGGTCCGTACCGGCAGCGTGATCCGTACCGATCCGTACCGGCAAGCGTGATCCGTACCGGCAAGCGTGATCCGTACCGGCAGCGTGATCCGTACCGGCAAGCGTGATCCGTACCGGCAGCGTGATCCGTACCGGCAGCGTGATCCGTACCGGCAGCGTGATCCGTACCGGCAGCGTGATCCGTACCAGCAGCGTGGCGGGTCCGTACCGGCAGCGTGATCCGTACCAGCAGCGTGGCGGGTCCGTACCAGCAGCGTGATCCGTACCGGCAGCGTGATCCGTACCGGCAGCGTGATCCGTACCGGCAGCGTGATCCGTACCAGCAGCGTGGCGGGTCCGTACCAGCAGCGTGATCCGTACCGGCAGCGTGATCCGTACCGGCAGCGTGATCCGTACCGGCAGCGTGATCCGTACCGGCAGCGTGATCCGTACCGGCAGCGTGGCTTGTCCGTACCGGCAGCGTGATCCGTACCGGCAGCGTGATCCGTACCGGCAGGGCGATCCGTACCGGCAGCGTGATCCGTACCGGCAGGGCGATCCGTACCGGCAGCGTGGCGGGTCCGTACCAGCAGCGTGGCGGGTCCGTACCAGCAGCGTGGCGGGTCCGTACCAGCAGCGTGATCCGTACCAGCAGCGTGATCCGTACCAGCAGCGTGGCGGGTCCGTACCAGCAGCGTGGCGGGTCCGTACCAGCAGCGTGATCCGTACCGGCAGCGTGATCCGTACCGGCAGCGTGATCCGTACCGGCAGCGTGATCCGTACCGGCAGCGTGATCCGTACCGGCAGCGTGGCTTGTCCGTACCGGCAGCGTGATCCGTACCGGCAGCGTGATCCGTACCGGCAGGGCGATCCGTACCGGCAGCGTGATCCGTACCGGCAGGGCGATCCGTACCGGCAGCGTGGCGGGTCCGTACCGGCAGCGTGATCCGTACCGGCAGCGTGATCCGTACCGGCAGCGTGATCCGTACCGGCAGCGTGATCCGTACCGGCAGTGAGGATCCGTAGCGGCAGCATGATCTGTAGCGGCAGCCGATCCATACCGGCAGCGTGATCCGTACCGGCAGCGTGATCCGTACCGGCAGCGTGAGCCGTACCGGCAGCGTGAGCCGTACCGGCAGTGAGGATCCGTAGCGGCAGCATGGCGGATCCGTACCGGCAGCGTGATCCGTACCGGCAGCGTGATCCGTACCGGCAGTGTGATCCGTACCGGCAGCGTGAGCCGTACCGGCAGTGAGGATCCGTAGCGGCAGCGTGATCCGTACCGGCAGCGTGATCCGTACCGGCAGCGTGATCCGTACCGGCAGCGTGATCCGTACCGGCAGCATAATCCGTAGCCAGTGGTGGTTCTAGACCAAAATGTACCATGGGGCCAGGAGGGGGCCAGTGTGTTTTGGAACAGAAAAGCATGAAATAAAAAATAGGGCAAGGGATTCAAAAACATTAAGATCGCTGCATGAAGTGAAATTTCTATTCAATTAGGTTTAAATCAAATTCTATGTCTTTTTAGGTCAATATACAATCAGAAATTAGGAATGTTACATGGTATTGACTTAATTTAAGTTAAAATAACCTTTATCTATAAAATCAGAATTATAACTCAAAAAACTGATAAATTCAGCTGTAAAAATTATTTTTAAGTATTTTTCTTAATTTGTTTGGGGGGAAAAATAGCAGATGAAAACTGGGATCCTATCTCACTGAAGCTGAATCACCTTATTATTTTTAAATAATTAGTAAAACACAATTCGTAAAGAAAATAAAATAGATTCAAATGACCTACACAGTAAATGCTGCAATGTTAAAGTTACACTCATGAGTACATTTGATCCCACTCTGAATTAGCGTGGAACCAAATGTACTCTCAAAGTGTTACTTTAACACTGAAACTGTTACTGTGTTCCAGTAACCATATCTGTTCTGCGTTAGAACTTCTTTTTGTATTATGCCTTCGGTACAGGGGCCATAATAGGGGCCAGGGCATGATCTACAGGGGCACTGGCCCCCGTTGGCCCCCATCTAGAACCACCCATGTCCGTACCGGCAGCATAATCCATAGCGGCAGTGAGGATCCGTAGCGGCAGCGAGATCCGTACCGGCAGCAGCGTGATCTGTAGGGTGGATTTTTGCCACTAAATCCACCCTATCTAAAATGAAAAGTTTCTCACTACCCATTTACAACTCCTTAGTCTCCCCCTCCCCTCAGGTCAAGAGTCTGGGTGTCATCCTCGACTCCTCCCTCTCCTTTCAGTCTCACATAAATAGAATTACCAGGTCTGCATCCTTCCACCTTGGCAACATTAACCGTCTCCGTTCCTCCCTCACCACTCATACTGCCTCTGTCCTTATCCACAGCCTCATCACCTCCCGTATTGATTATTGCAATTCTCTTCTTTTTGGCCTCCCTCATAAATCTCTCCATAAACTTCAACTTCTTCAGAACTCAGCTGCTCGTGTCATCACCAGAACCCCCTCCTTCCATCATATGTCCCCTGTTCTTCACCAACTCCATTGGCTCCCAGTTCACTTCAGAATTCAATTTAAAATCCTTCTCTATACTTTCAAAGCCATCCATAACCTTGCTCCTCCATATCTGTCAGACCTCCTTCACATTGCCACCTCCTCCCGCTCCCTTAGATCCTCCTCCTCCATCCACCTCACTGTATCCCCAGCTCGACTTGTCACCATGGGGAGCAGAGCCTTCAGCCGCTCTGCTCCCCAGCTCTGGAACTCACTTCCTCCCGACCTCCGCAGTATTGACTCTCTCCCCTTATTCAAAGCCAGACTCCAAACCCATCTGTTCCAGCTCGCTTATTTGTGATATACTGCTCTTTTCCCTATCCATGATTGTTTTCATGTTCCTGTATCTGTATTTTGTATTTTCATCTCCTTTTATTTATTTTTTTTGTATTATTTGTAAAGTGACCTTGAGTGTCAAGAAAGGCGCTGTTAAATAAAATGTATTATTATTATTATTATTATTATTATTATTATTATTATTATTATTATTATTACCTGCAGCTCACACCATCCGGTGTTCTGTCAGACCAGCATACCTACAGTAGAGTCAATACCAAGAGCAAGATGTCAGATTTGTGTTTATTCCTTTAGTTTGTACGAAAAGACTTTAGACTTTAAACTGCCTCAACGGGCGTGTATCCATTTAGTCATTTACAAAAAAAATATTTAAGGTCAGATCGCCATACGCTTCAAAAAAACACTAAAAAGTAATTAATTAAAATTTATTCTTGTACACGACTAAATGGATACATGCCTGTTGTGGTAGATTAAAGTGAATTTTTCTTACTGAACTAAAGGGATAAACGTGCTAAACTGTGGGTATGCTGGTCTGATGGGGTATGCTGGTCTGACGGGGTATGCTGGTCTGACGGGGTATGCTGGTCTGATGGGGTATGCTGGTCTGATGGGGTATGCTGGTCTGACGGGGTATGCTGGTCTGACGGGGTATGCTGGTCTGATGGGGTATGCTGGTCTGACAGAACACCGGGTCGCCATCGATTTTACTGTGTAAAAACGACTAAAACTATTTTTTTTCTCCCCAAAAATTTGAAGCGTACCAAACTACACTGTATAAAAGGTTAATAAATAATTTTCTGAGAAAATAAACTATATTAATTCCTTGTTATTTCATCACTCCTCTATGACTGATCCATTTGGGATCCTCTGCTACATGGAGCAGCTAGTTTTCCAGCTTTCTATTTATACATCAATCTAAGCTATTTCTTAGCTCTATCATTGACCTATCAGGATCTGGAAACCCCTGAGCTCTAAGATCTATAGATCCATCTGGTCTAAGATCTATAGATCCATATGATCTAAGATCTATAGATCCATCTGGTCTAAGATCTATAGATCCATATGATCTAAGATCTATAGATCCATCTGGTCTAAGATCTATAGATCCATATGATCTAAGATCTATAGATCCATCTGATCTAAGATCTATAGATCCATATGATCTAAGATCTATAGATCCATCTGGTCTAAGATCTATAGATCCATATGATCTAAGATCTATAGATCCATCTGATCTAAGATCTATAGATCCATCTGATCTAAGATCTATAGATCCATATGATCTAAGATCTATAGATCCATCTGGTCTAAGATCTATAGATCCATATGATCTAAGATCTATAGATCCATCTGATCTAAGATCTATAGATCCATCTGATCTAAGATCTATAGATCCATCTGATCTGAGATCTATAGATCCATCTGATCTAGGATCTATAGATCCATATGATCTAAGATCTATAGATCCATATGATCTAAGATCTATAGATCCATATGATCTAAGATCTATAGATCCATGTGATCTAAGATCTATAGATCCATACGATCTAAGATCTATAGATCCATACGATCTAAGATCTATAGATCCATACGATCTAAGATCTATAGATCCATATGATCTAAGATCTATAGATCCATCTGATCTAAGATCTATAGATCCATCTGATCTAAGATCTATAGATCCATATGATCTAAGATCTATAGATCCATCTGATCTAGGATCTATAGATCCATATGATCTAAGATCTATAGATCCATCTGATCTAAGATCTAAAGATCCATCTGATCTATAGATCTATAGATCCATCTGATCTAAGATCTATAGATCCATATGATCTAAGATCTATAGATCCATCTGATCTAAGATCTATAGATCCATCTGATCTAAGATCTATAGATCCATATGATCTAAGATCTATAGATCCATCTGATCTAAGATCTATAGATCCATATGATCTAAGATCTATAGATCCATCTGGTCTAAGATCTATAGATCCATATGATCTAAGATCTATAGATCCATCTGATCTAAGATCTATAGATCCATATGATCTAAGATCTATAGATCCATCTGGTCTAAGATCTATAGATCCATATGATCTAAGATCTATAGATCCATATGATCTAAGATCTATAGATCCATCTGGTCTAAGATCTATAGATCCATATGATCTAAGATCTATAGATCCATCTGATCTAAGATCTATAGATCCATCTGATCTAAGATCTATAGATCCATCTGATCTGAGATCTATAGATCCATCTGATCTAGGATCTATAGATCCATCTGGTCTAAGATCTATAGATCCATATGATCTAAGATCTATAGATCCATCTGATCTAAGATCTATAGATCCATCTGATCTAAGATCTATAGATCCATCTGGTCTAAGATCTATAGATCCATCTGATCTAAGATCTATAGATCCATCTGGTCTAAGATCTATAGATCCATATGATCTAAGATCTATAGATCCATCTGTTCTAAGATCTATAGATCCATATGATCTAAGATCTATAGATCCATCTGATCTAAGATCTATAGATCCATCTGATCTAAGATCTATAGATCCATCTGATCTGAGATCTATAGATCCATCTGATCTGAGATCTATAGATCCATCTGATCTAGGATCTATAGATCCATATGATCTAAGATCTATAGATCCATATGATCTAAGATCTATAGATCCATCTGATCTAAGATCTATAGATCCATACGATCTAAGATCTATAGATCCATACGATCTAAGATCTATAGATCCATATGATCTAAGATCTATAGATCCATACGATCTAAGATCTATAGATCCATACGATCTAAGATCTATAGATCCATACGATCTAAGATCTATAGATCCATACGATCTAAGATCTATAGATCCATCTGGTCTAAGATCTATAGATCCATCTGATCTAAGATCTATAGATCCATATGATCTAAGATCTATAGATCCATCTGATCTAGGATCTATAGATCCATATGATCTAAGATCTATAGATCCATATGATCTAAGATCTATAGATCCATCTGATCTAAGATCTATAGATCCATCTGATCTATAGATCTATAGATCCATCTGATCTAAGATCTATAGATCCATATGATCTAAGATCTATAGATCCATCTGATCTAAGATCTATAGATCCATCTGATCTAAGATCTATAGATCCATATGATCTAAGATCTATAGATCCATCTGATCTAAGATCTATAGATCCATATGATCTAAGATCTATAGATCCATCTGGTCTAAGATCTATAGATCCATATGATCTAAGATCTATAGATCCATCTGATCTAAGATCTATAGATCCATATGATCTAAGATCTATAGATCCATCTGGTCTAAGATCTATAGATCCATATGATCTAAGATCTATAGATCCATCTGGTCTAAGATCTATAGATCCATATGATCTAAGATCTATAGATCCATATGATCTAAGATCTATAGATCCATCTGATCTAAGATCTATAGATCCATCTGATCTAAGATCTATAGATCCATCTGATCTAAGATCTATAGATCCATCTGATCTAAGATCTATAGATCCATCTGATCTAAGATCTATAGATCCATCTGATCTGAGATCTATAGATCCATCTGATCTAGGATCTATAGATCCATCTGGTCTAAGATCTATAGATCCATATGATCTAAGATCTATAGATCCATCTGATCTAAGATCTATAGATCCATCTGGTCTAAGATCTATAGATCCATCTGATCTAAGATCTATAGATCCATCTGGTCTAAGATCTATAGATCCATCTGGTCTAAGATCTATAGATCCATCTGGTCTAAGATCTATAGATCCATATGATCTAAGATCTATAGATCCATATGATCTAAGATCTATAGATCCATCTGATCTAAGATCTATAGATCCATCTGATCTAAGATCTATAGATCCATCTGATCTGAGATCTATAGATCCATCTGATCTAGGATCTATAGATCCATATGATCTAAGATCTATAGATCCATATGATCTAAGATCTATAGATCCATATGATCTAAGATCTATAGATCCATCTGATCTAAGATCTATAGATCCATCTGATCTAAGATCTATAGATCCATACGATCTAAGATCTATAGATCCATACGATCTAAGATCTATAGATCCATACGATCTAAGATCTATAGATCCATCTGATCTAAGATCTATAGATCCATATGATCTAAGATCTATAGATCCATCTGATCTAGGATCTATAGATCCATCTGATCTAGGATCTATAGATCCATATGATCTAAGATCTATAGATCCATCTGATCTAAGATCTATAGATCCATCTGATCTAAGATCTATAGATCCATCTGATCTATAGATCTATAGATCCATCTGATCTAAGATCTATAGATCCATCTGATCTAAGATCTATAGATCCATCTGATCTAAGATCTATAGATCCATCTGATCTAAGATCTATAGATCCATCTGATCTAAGATCTATAGATCCATACGATCTAAGATCTATAGATCCATACGATCTAAGATCTATAGATCCATACGATCTAAGATCTATAGATCCATCTGATCTAAGATCTATAGATCCATCTGATCTAAGATCTATAGATCCATACGATCTAAGATCTATAGATCCATCTGATCTAAGATCTATAGATCCATCTGATCTAGGATCTATAGATCCATCTGATCTAAGATCTATAGATCCATCTGATCTAAGATCTATAGATCCATATGATCTAAGATCTATAGATCCATCTGATCTATAGATCTATAGATCCATCTGATCTATAGATCTATAGATCCATCTGATCTAAGATCTATAGATCCATCTGATCTAAGATCTATAGATCCATATGATCTAAGATCTATAGATCCATATGATCTAAGAGCTATAGATCCATCTGATCTAAGATCTATAGATCCATCTGATCTAAGATCTATAGATCCATATGATCTAAGATCTATAGATCCATCTGATCTATAGATCTATAGATCCATCTGATCTAAGATCTATAGATCCATCTGATCTAAGATCTATAGATCCATCTGATCTAAGATCTATAGATCCATCTGATCTAGGATCTATAGATCCATCTGATCTAAGAGCTATAGATCCATCTGATCTAAGATCTATAGATCCATATGATCTAAGATCTATAGATCCATCTGATCTATAGATCTATAGATCCATCTGATCTATAGATCTATAGATCCATCTGATCTAAGATCTATAGATCCATCTGATCTAAGATCTATAGATCCATATGATCTAAGATCTATAGATCCATATGATCTAAGATCTATAGATCCATCTGATCTAAGATCTATAGATCCATCTGATCTAAGATCTATAGATCCATATGATCTAAGATCTATAGATCCATCTGATCTATAGATCTATAGATCCATCTGATCTAAGATCTATAGATCCATACGATCTAAGATCTATAGATCCATACGATCTAAGATCTATAGATCCATACGATCTAAGATCTATAGATCCATCTGATCTAAGATCTATAGATCCATCTGATCTAAGATCTATAGATCCATACGATCTAAGATCTATAGATCCATCTGATCTAAGATCTATAGATCCATCTGATCTAGGATCTATAGATCCATCTGATCTAAGATCTATAGATCCATCTGATCTAAGATCTATAGATCCATATGATCTAAGATCTATAGATCCATCTGATCTATAGATCTATAGATCCATCTGATCTATAGATCTATAGATCCATCTGATCTAAGATCTATAGATCCATCTGATCTAAGATCTATAGATCCATATGATCTAAGATCTATAGATCCATATGATCTAAGATCTATAGATCCATCTGATCTAAGATCTATAGATCCATATGATCTAAGATCTATAGATCCATATGATCTAAGAGCTATAGATCCATCTGATCTAAGATCTATAGATCCATCTGATCTAAGATCTATAGATCCATATGATCTAAGATCTATAGATCCATCTGATCTATAGATCTATAGATCCATCTGATCTATAGATCTATAGATCCATCTGATCTAAGATCTATAGATCCATCTGATCTAAGATCTATAGATCCATATGATCTAAGATCTATAGATCCATATGATCTAAGAGCTATAGATCCATCTGATCTAAGATCTATAGATCCATCTGATCTGAGCCGCTAAGGTTCTGTCCCCGTCCTTTATGTCTCAGCAAGCTGCGCCTCAGACCTAAAGTTCCTCCGTCTGAAGCAGTTTTTCTTCAATCAGAACCATCAGATTAGTTTAAAGGATAATGAGAACCAGCCTGAGGTAAAGCATGTGTTTACCTCCACAGAGAAGGCGGAGCTTAGCGAGCGACCAAAGGAGGCACTGGTCCATCCAGAATCTAATGGGATGATGGCCTCAACCCACCAAGAACTGTCTGAGAAGGATGTGGTTAAAGTTCTGCTTGGCTTTGAAGTCAAACAGGTGAAGGGATTTTATTTTGTCCTCTTTCTTTAGCGACCTTCGCTTCCGGCGGTCGTTTGCTTGCATCCAGATCTTTCCTCCAATGTTCTGGTTCCTGCTTCAGGTGCTGTTGTCCCTCAAGAAGCGCATCAAGCTGGAAGAAGCACCTTTCCTGGTCTTCCAGCTGGATCAGCTGGGAATCGACGCCAAAGTTCGGAAGTACGACTTGAGCGCCACCACCTACATCAGACAGGTCTCCATGAAGAGTCTGGAGTTTAAAGGTCAAGCCGCACACGGAGCTGGTTTCTGTGGTTTCACTGGTATTTATGCTGGTGCAGAGAAGCTTCAAAGGATTGTTGTTTTATTAATCTTTTGGTTTCAGACTCTGTTGGTGATCCGCTGTGTCTCATCAGCTCCTCGGCTGAGGCTGGAGCCGAGCTCCTCAAAGTGGAGTTCAGGAAGGTGAGGAGAATTTAGCGTATCGGGTGATTCCTGCTGAGGAGGACTTGATTAAACCGTCCATGTTTCTTTAGGCTGACCGCTGCGGACCCGAGTTCTGCTCCATCTACCAGAACACTGAGCAGATGATCCATGTGAGTCCATCAAACCTTCTCAGACCTTCAGCCATGTTTGTTCATCTGCAGAGGAAACCATCAGGGTTCCTGCAGAGATCATAGTGGAGGAAACGAGTGATTCAATTATCAATGAATAAATTAATCTAAACTTAATTGATCCAATCAATCGATTAAAATCTGTGAGTTTTCTCTCATATAAATAGGATCTTTCCATAACATAAAAGGCGAAATATTATTTAACAATATGCTGAATTAAAAAATATATAATTTCACTATATTTTACCTATTTTTGGTGTCATCTGTATTAAATACTGACTAAATAAACAAACACATGTTTTCTTACCCATTATAAAATGTATTTATTAGATATAAGTAAACAGGAAGCAAATGGGTTACTGAATTAATAAATAGAAGAATAAACACTTATCAATAGGCGGCTACGTTGCTCTGACATGCTGTCAGGATTATTTACCGCCGTGTTTTATTGAAGTAGACGCCAGCTGTGATTACCTCGCTTTAGTTTAATCCAGCGATCAGTGGATGGAGGCTTTCCACTGTTAGCAGAGCTTTTAAACTGGTGGTTCTGGTTCTGGTTGCCCTCAGGGAAAAGTTCCAATTCTTCCACATTTATCGCGCTAATTGCTAGCATGTAATTATTCATTATGATACAAACATTTTGCGTAAAGCCGTTGACTTTTCATTCATCACATCCTCTGAATAACTTCAGGATAGAAAATACTTCCTTTTTCTTACTTTTTTATTCTTTAGTATTTTTCCGACAGAGGGTTCCTTTTGTAAATTTTTATATTTGCGTAAATATTGCATATTCTAAAAAAAAAAAAAGGAAACACACAGCCAGGCAGACGAGCTCCGAGCCAGCTCCCATGTCAGAGGATGAAGAGAGCACATCCAGTTAGTCACAGTCAGAGAAACAGGACTACACTGGAAAACAGGCCAAGCTCCAACATCTATACTATGCTTATAGTAGTTTGAAGTCACAGACGGAGCTCAGGCGTTGCCAGATCCTAGTAGCTCTATGATAGATCTGGAGAATAGCTTCTTCTCTGCGTCACATTTCTCAGGTTCAGGTCAAAAAAAGTCTCAACAATTTAGAGCAAAAACTGGTCAAACGTCGCAGTGACGCTCCTAAAGTTCCTGTAGGACTTCAAAGCAAAGGTATCACCTGAAAGTTATGGTATCAGCAGGGCTAATGCTAGCTACTGCAGCTGTTAACCGACCAGAACATAAAGATCAGAGGCTGAATCAGTAGGTCTGTGTTTGACCGGACGGTTTAAGTTGATGAATGGCCATTCACTGATCGCCTCATTAAACTAAGTTTATGTGAATTAGATAACTTTGCTTACTGAGTTGAACATCCTTGGTTGCTACTATTCCACCACATATTAATCCATTGCTAAGATCTCAGTGCTTGGATACTGGATAAATATCTTGATGAGGATCTAAGGTTCTCCTGTCCAGCACTAGCTGCTGGTTCTCCTCTTTATGTCTTATGACGATCAGAGCTCAGTCAGAGTTTGTCTCTGCAGGTCACCTTCAGTTCCCTGGACGTCACGCTCCACACTCAGGCTCTTCTGTCTGCAGTTAACTTCCTGTCATCATCACTATCATCTGGCAGCGCGGCGCCTGCAGAGAAAGACATCCAGCTGAAGACGGAGGAGAAAACGCCGTCTGTGAAGCCCAGTCAGTATCTCTCCTGCAGACAGAATCAGCGCGACACGGTGATGTCAGAGCTAACCTCTGCCTGCCGTGTCTCTTTCAGGCGCTCTGGTCTCACCTGTAGACTCTGAGATCGTAGATTTGAAAGCGACGATGACTCTGGGAGCCTTCAACATCCTGGTGTGTGACCAGACCTGCAGCATGGCTGACATCAAAGTTAAAGGTGTGGAATCGGATCTCGGCTTCTGGTTGTGACTCGGCTTCATGTCAGGCAGGATCTCTGAGCTTTAATCTGCTCCTCAGGTTTGAACAGCTCCTTCCTGATGCAAGGAGCTCAGACTCACATCTCGGCCCGCCTGGAAGACGTCATCGTCCTGGACGTGGATCCCAAAGGCATCCATAAGGAGGCGAGTACATTTAGTACAGCGTGTCGTCACATGTATGAGAGTTCAGCTTTCAGTTAAAGGATGATGTTATTAATTTGGGTGCTTTTCAGAAATATTCCTGTAAGGGTTGTTGCTGTTGCTCTTGTTGCTGTTCGTTCTTTTGTTTTCCTTGTTCCCTTCTGCAGGAGCTCCTATAGGTTATCCATCTTTTTTTTTTTAGACATACTAGCTGGTTTTATGGTTTTGTTGCCTTTTTTCTCTGTTTCTTTCCTTTCCACTAATTTGCTTTTTTTGCCTCTCTGTCAGGTTCGGCATTATCGTTCAAAATGAATATAGTAGTTTTGGAAAATCAAGGGGGGGGGGGATTCTCACCAAAAAAAGCCACACTTGGCAAAGGATTTTTGTCTTCAGACCCCCTGAGTCAGAACCCTGTAGAATCGATTTTGTCAGGATTTGGTGTTGGATTGAGGACCCAAAAGCAGAGGCAAGTTGGCAGAGGTGAATTTAGGTGTGTTTAATGAAGTTTACAGGTACGGAGGCAGGAATCAAAGATCCAACAAAAATAACAACGAACCAGAACCAAGGAGACATCAGGGGGAAACCAAACTCTAGGAGCCAGGGAGAGACGAGGAAAGCAGACAGACGTTAGACGAGGATCCAGCAAACAGAAACTGAAGAGGGAGGGCTTTTAAAGGGGACAGAGACAAAGAGAGGGCTAACGAGGGGATTGGAAACAGGTGAGGGCAGAACAGAAAACAGAGCTAGGGAAAGAGGACACAAGAGGGCAGCAGAGGACAACAAATGGAAAACCAAGACTGTGACAGATTTTGGGCCTTCAGTTCTTCCCTGATCTCTGTTTTCACGTCTTTGTCGGCTCTGACCTGTTTTTCAGGCCATTTCTATAGTTGGAGACGAGGTGTTCAGCTTCAGCATGAGTCTGACCCCGAACGCCACAGAAGGACCTGGCTACACCGACACGTCTAGGACCGATGGCAGGGTGAAGCTGTCGGTGGGCTGTATCCAGGTGGTCTACCTGCACAAGTTCTTCATGTCTCTGCTGGTGAGTCCGACGCCGCCATGACGTTCTCCCGGTTTCCCTTTCACCCAGAAATATCAGTCTTAATTGTTCCTCTTTTGATTGATCAGAACTTCAGCAATAACTTCCAGACGGCTAAAGAAGCTCTGAGCTCCGCCACGGCTCAGGCTGCAGAGAAAGCAGCGTCCAGCGTCAGAGACCTTGCCCAGAAGAGCTTCCGTCTGTCCATGGCTGTCAGGGTCAAGGCCCCCCTCATCATCATCCCTCAGTCCTCCACTTCCAATAATGCCATTGTGGTGGATTTGGGTCTCATCACGGTGGAGAACAGCTTCTCTCTGGTGACGGTTGCAGGATGTTCGCTGCCGGCCGTGGTGGACAGCATGGATGTGCAGCTATCGGAGCTGAAGCTGTCCAGGTCAGCACAGATTTCCACATATTGCCCTAGAAAACGGTTGTAGCCCGACTGGCATCAATCTGTGATCTCCTTCAGGACCTGGTCCGACTCGGAATCGGAGAAACCCAACATTGAGCTGCTGAAGCCAGTGAACCTGCTGCTGAACATCCGGAGGAACCTCTCAGCTGGCTGGTACAGGAAGATGGCCGCCGTAGAGGTCAACGGAGACCTGAAGCCCATGAAGGTAAAAGCATCACAACGATGATGAAAACACGAAGGTGGTCTGTGATCGTCCTGATCAAGGTGGGGGGAAATGTTTCATAATTTTCTGGTTCTCCCCCATCATATCTCATCAACGGGCTGCCAGGTAAGCCCACATCATCACTCCCCCATCACTGTGTTTGACAGCTCTCTAGGATCTTCTCCTCTTAGGAAGAGGGATAGAGGTCTGGAGATGATCTTACGAAAGTTACATTTATTTATTTTTGCAGTTTTCTTATTAAAGCAGGCAGACCAGGGGTCATGTAACAGGACACGGGTTGAATGATCCACCAGCATAAAGGCTCAGTGATGCTTGACAGGTGCAAATGAGACGCACCGTCTGCAGCGTTTATACTCCGTATGGGGTCTCTACCTGTACCTGACATTCTGGCTGACTCCATGTGGCGCAGGCTTCAACGCCACACATGTAGAAAAAGGAATTTCCAACATGTTTTCAAGCTGTCTGCCTAGTTCAATCATGTCCAGGTTGTGCAGTATGTAAAAGTGGGTTCTAAATTATTTTACTTGGCTCTGTGAACTTGGTGGACGTGTTAAGTAAAAACCAGGCTTAACTGCACTTTCAAAATAGTACAATTTCCAGATGTTCAACATTTAATGGGAGAGAGACACCATCTTATGTAGGTGGAGTTGGCTGATGCTAGGATCAGCCATCTCCACCTACATAAGGTGATGGTTATTGCCACACAGACAGGAAGTGAGCAGAAAAGTGCTTTTAGACTGCTCCGCATGGGAAACAATCCACCGACAACTGACCCTGGAGCAGAACAATTCAATTAAACCACGGAGCCAAGACTCTACTATAGACTCTACTTTAGACTCTGCTATATACTCTACTATAGACTCTGCTATAGACTCTACTTTAGACTCTACTATAGATTCTACTATAGACTCTACTATAGACTCTACTTTAGACTCTACTATAGACTCTACTTTAGACTCTACTATAGATTCTACTATAGACCCTGCTATAGACTCTACTATAGATTCTACTATAGACTCTACTATAGACTCTATTATAGACTCTAAGCGGATTGGCAGAGAACCTACAGGCCCATAAAAATAAGCCATGGGCACAGAGATGAGGCCGACGTTCTGTCAGATTAGCATTCCTATAGTCAATATGCACGCGCAAGACGCCAGATTTGCCTTTATCCTTTTAGTTTTGTTTGAATGGCGTGACTACCTCAACGGGCGTGAATCCCTTTAATCATGTACAAAAAAACGATTTAAGGTCAGATTGATACGCTTCAAAAACACCAAAAACCAAGTCATTAAGTAGTTTTGTTTTGTAGATGACTAAAGGGAAACCAGCCCGTCAAGGTAGTTTAAAGTTTTTTTTCTACAACACCAAAAGGATAAACTAAAGGGATAAACGGGTATTGAGAACACCTGGACTGTGTGAAGCGCAGCTTTCTGTCTCTGTTTTTTTAAATAAAACTGCCTGTATGAGTATTAATGTTGTTGTTAAGCTGAGTCTAAAGTCCTCGGTCCGTCTGTTGATGTCTGTAACCTTTCTCTCCCTAAATCCAGTCCACTGGTGAAAATCTACAGGTACCGTTTCCTGCTCTGTAGAGTGAAACTGCTCCCAGTTGGCCTGTAGTTTCTAAACACCCCCTAGCTGTTCTGTTTTAGCTCTGTAGGTCAGAAGGCTGCTCAGATTCAGGTTCTGTACTCGGTTCTGACCCAGTCTCTGTGTTCAGCTGGAGCTCAGTCAGGACGACCTGCGAGTCATGCTGCGGATCGTGACAGAAAACCTGGGAGAAGCCAACACCCTGGATCCCTCCGCCCCCCAGCAGGAGGTCAGCCTGCGGGTTCAGGCCCCCAAAGGAGCCCCGACAGGTCCGACAGACTCAGAGGAACCCTGGAAACCGGCCCGGTTGGAGCGGCTCAGCTTATATCTGACGCTTCTGGTTCTGTTCCAGGTGAGGCTGAGAGGCCAGCTGGGCGCCTGGGTGAAGATGGGGATGATGAAGCTGTGGAGATGCTGAGATTTCACTTCAACATCGAGTCTCTGGAGCTGGTTCTGTTCCACAACAACCCAAAACAGGTCCGTCATCACCAGCCGGGACCAGAGGAGGAGCCTCTAACGGTTCCAGTCCAGCCAGACTCACTATGGTTCCTCCTTTCAGCAGCCAGCAGACCTTCAGCACCACCAGGACCTCAGACTGGGGGAGTTGGCTCTGCGTCTGATGAAGGCTTCAGGGAAGATCCTGAACAACGGCTCCATGGAGGTGAACACCGTCCTGACTGCCTGTACGCTGGACGACCTGAGGAGCGGAGTGGATCGGGTGACCTCACGGTAAGCAGCACAGAGAACGGACATGGCCGCCGGCCTTCGTCCAGTTGCTCCAACGCAGTCGCTACTTTTTCTGACCGTCAGCATGTGTTCCTGCACTAAACCATAAAGCATTCTCAGCGCTGCTCGTCTGTCCTCTACCTGCAGGATGGTTGGGCAGAAGGAGGACGGCCAGCAGGCCATGATCGACGTCACCTTCCGACAGGCTCCTGCAGAGAGAGACTTGGTGGCCATCCTGCAGAAGCTGTATCTGTGTGCCAGCACAGAGTTCCTGATGGCAGTAGCAGATTTCTTCATTCAAGCTGTGCCCCAGAGTCCAGCTTCAGCCCCACCTGCTGCAGCAAGCGACAAGCTGCCTCTGAAACAGACAGCGGAACCACGAGCTGAACGCAGGCCTGGTAAGACCAGGAGCGAAAAACACGGAATTAGCTTCACTTTGTCCAGTCATTCCCAGAGTCGGCCCTCTAGGGCCGCCATCTTGCAGGATTTAGATGTCTCCCTGCTTTAGCACAGCTGGTTAGGATGATTACAGTTCAGCAAAAGCCTGGTAATCGGCTATTAATTAAAATCAGCTGTGCTGAAGCAGCTGGGAACATCTATGCAACACATCTTTTTAGGGCGCCTCTGGGCGCATCGCTGCCCCCCTCAGGACACTGTGCATCATTTGCCGTGCATTATGCAGAAGTTAGGCTGTCATTGTACAGAAGTTCTGGACTTGTTATGAATACTGTATGTAGACGCTCAGAATAGAAAGACTCCATAGAAAGTTCAGCGTATGCCAGAGTTTAGGAGATTCTGGGACGTCAGGCAGACGCTGGATAAATCAGCCAAGATGTGAGAACAGCTTAACAGAACCTAATCTCACCATCACTACAGATCCATTCATGTATTGTAGATATAAATGGATTCATATCTCTGATTGAATGAATGATGGAACAGAGAAAAACTCAATTATTGATCTGATCTTAAACCAGTCCAACCACTAGCAGACCTTACTGGGCCTGTTGGCAGCAGCAGAGGCTCTGGGTTCATGTTCTGCGTGGTTCTATCTCTGCAGCGTCCGCTGTGAGGACCCGTCTGCGGGCGGTGATCGTGGACCCAGAGGTGGTGTTTGTGGCCAACCTGATGAAGGCCGACGCTCCGGCATTGGTGGCCTCATTTCAGGGCGACTTCAACCTGGTGGCCGAGGAGGACGGCACCCAGAACATGAGGGCCAACCTGCGGGACCTGAAGGTGCTGGCCTGCCCATTCATTCAGAACAAGGAGGACAAGTCTGTGACCACCGTAAGTTCTGATCCGGTGGAGCTGAACGAAGGCTGGTCGCATCGTTCCTGCCGACCCATTCTCTTCTGTCTCCTTATGATAGGTGCTGAAACCCTGCTCTGTCTCCATGGAAACCAAAACCAGTCCCAACCAACCACTGAGTGGCTCTGTGACAGTGGAGGAGGTCATCATCAAAGTATGTTGGTGGGGGTGGGGCAGTCACTTGTTGAGAACAGAAAATGTTGATCAGAACATCCTGATGTGCACAGAGCCTTTAGGTCCAGTTTCTACAGAACCCATTAAAACCAAATTCTCTGAGCTCCATGTGTCCCTGGTTCTAACACTGCGTCCTGTCTGGTTTGGTCTGGTTTGGTCTGCTTAGCGGGGAGCTTTGCAGCCAATAAGCAGCCATTAAAGTCGGAAGCGGCCGTTCCAACCGTCGCATTTCCAAATTCTCCCGAGTGGCGCCCGACTTTACACCAGTGAATAAAGTGAATGTGATTGGTCCATTATCAAGAGGGCGGGATTGTTGTGGCTGAAAGTTCGCAAGCAGGTTTGGTTGTGGCCGGTTTGTGGGAAGCATCTTGCTAACCAGTTAGCAACTTAGTGCTAGCAGGTTCCCAATGGGAAATTCCATTGGGACCAAGTAGCACTAAATTGGTGCCTTAGAAACGACGCTGTCAAGGAACGCTATGGACAGAGGAAACATGCAAGAGGAGGAGAGTTTAGTGTCGGAGGTCGTGGATGAGTCTCCTCCGTCATCCATTTTTTATTTAGAGGAGGAAAGCGGGGACGAAGATGTTGTGGAAGAGGACGCCAGGGCGGCAGAAGCTTGGTTTGGTGTAGAAGGCTTCCAGCCGTACATGTTTGAGCCCTTGCCTCGCAACGCTGCCAGTTCTGTTAGCTCTACGCCTGCCGAAGACACAGACGTCCATCCCCGTGAACACTGGGACGCAACTCAATGGGAAAGGAAAGGATTCTGGTTTCAACCGTTGCGTATATTAGCTGCGACATATGAATCAAGATGCTATGACCGAAAACATTTGATTGACAGATGACCGTTGATATATGATTGGCTGAATTTAGGTGTTCAGGCTGACGTAGAACTAACTGGCCTGCAGGAGATAACGGAAAAAAAAAACATTTTAAGACAGGATTCTTTTTTTAAATAGAAATTTTCTAACTTTTGGGACAATATTGTTTGATAAAGAGTACATTTATATACATGTTTAAGAATGATTTGACATTTAAATATGACTTCGCTACAATTTTAAGAGAATTCATACAGGATCCAAACGGCTGTGGCAAAGGGTGAAAGCACCTGGTGCAGCGTTGGGCAGAGCAGAGAACACAGTGTCATTTAGATTAATTCCATGTTTTCATTCTAATTAGCAGATCACAGCTCTGAAAAAACAAATCTAAGAAAAGTTTAAACTTTTTAAAATCTGTGTGTTTGCTCTTCATTTGGGGAAGTGTCGGCCTACTGGTTAGAGCATTGCACTTGTGCTCTGAGAAGGCTGCAAGTACCCAGTGTGATCCCCACAGCCTGCAATCTGGGTCCCTGAGCAAGACCCTTAAGACCATCCTTCTCCCCGGGCGTTGCACAATTGCCGCCCACTTCTCCCCAAGGGGAGGGGTTAAATGAAGAGGTAAATTTCTTCAGTGGGAAATCATTAAAGTTCATCATCCACTTAGAATTATATAATGGATCTGGGTTTTTTCGGATTTTAAATGGAAATCTTGTTCCATTGACAAGCTGTCTGACTTACCTCCTTAAATCAAGGTCAAATCCACTTATTTAATGAAAAAATTGAGGTAAATAAATTAACAGCAGTCACTTCAAACCAATGAGAAAAGAGATGCCCTGGAGACCCATGACTTATGAAGAAACCTGACAGTGAGCTGGACTCATAGGTTTACCAGAATACTTCTATATCTGTCTGTACGTTAGCAGTTTAAAACATCGTTTGCTGCATTCATTAATGTAGAAAGAAACCAAAATAAGCAACAAGTCAAGCTTCTCTGTACAAAGGGAAGAAGATTAATAAATAAGCGTTTTGTCGTGTTTTCTTGTGCGATCCGGCATGTTCCTCTGGGCTTCACAGCAGATTCTAGACCTGGTGTAAATTGGTTGGATGTTTTGGTACCTTTACACAGCCGGCCTAAATAACGGGGTTCCTTCTCTCGTTGATGGCTGCGGAGGAAGGCCTGCATCATTAGTTCCTGAGAAGATGATCAGAGAACATGTGGGGCATCTGGGGACCAGGGCTGCTCTAAGATCCACAGACTTGGGGAAAATGTCCTAGTAGTTTAACTGAATAATAAATGAACCTATGCTTGGGTCACCATGTCCTGGATGACCAAAAATACTCACCAGCAGGTTGTAGAAAAGCTAAACAAAGATTTAATTTGGTGGGAAGTGTGGAAGCATGTTTTTCCTTTGCCTATTTGTGAGATTAAATATTTTGAGTTTGCCTTTCCTCTGCATAAATAGGGGGGATTGTTTAGAAGTCTAGTACCAGTCTGTATGCAGGAGTATGTTCTGTATGTTTGTGTGAGAGAAAGTTCTTTATGTAGGGATGGGATAGTTCCAAGGGAGAGTGTGTGTTGGGAGTTGCTGTATAAATATATGTAGTGAGCGTTGCCCAGTCAGAGCTCTATCTCTCCATCTGAGGACATTAAATATATTTGAACCTCCTCTTGCAAGAGCATCTGCTTCCTCCTGGGGAGTAAAAATGAGCACTGAGAGTTGATATTCAAGGAAGAAAAGGTTTTATTTTACTCTGCAGAGGAGAATGACACAAGACAGCTGAATACAGCTCTGAGTGTAATTCTGAGGCGTTCAGTTACCCACATATAAAGACTCCACACCTCACACAAACGAACATTGAATCTTCCCAACAGAAACACTTTAGTTCATCAAAGGACATAAATTTGCTCAGATAAACATTTCAGACATCTGTTTTCCGTTCACACCAAAAACAGGACGTGAATCTTGAACACAATAAGGACATGTTTTATCCATTTTCCCTTTATCTAACCTAGGGGGGAAACTTCCTTTCAAACCTCCTTCCTTTCCCTACATCAAGTAATCAAGTAATCACTCCTATTCAGGAAGCGAGAAAAGGCAGACTTTAAAATTTAATCTAACAAACAGGCCAAGGAAAAATATCATTCCACACTCCTCAACTCCACAGAAGCAATAAAGTTGCTGAGAATTGAAACAAGTGGACATGATCAATGTGTCCAAACACAGCTGCTGGTCTGCCCTCAAGAATGGAGAGGTGGCAGTGGTCTAGTCAAAGTTCAGATTCTCATTGAAACAGGGAGTTTAGTTTAAACCCTGGTGGTTTTGTGTTGTACCCGCAGATCTCTCCTGTCATCCTGAACACGGTGATGACCATAACGGCCGGGATTGCTGCGAAGACGCAGGCCGAGCAGAGTCAGGAGCAAAAGGCTGATGTCAGCAACCTGTGGTCCATCATGGATATCTACAACTGTAACTTCTGGTTCCTGGGTGTGGACCAGGCCACTGAGATCACAGAGAACTACGCAGAGTCTGATGGCAGTAAGGATGGAGAAACCTTCAAAGCTCAGGTCAAGGTAGAGAACCCCGCCAAGCTGAAGGATGTTCCTTAAGCTTCCCTCAGGTGGAGATCCGCTCTTCTTCATGATCTATTTTGGTCCCCCAGTCGGTCCAGATGACGCTGGAGTCTGGTCTGGGTCATCGGACGGTCCCTCTGCTGCTGGCGGAGTCTTCCCTTAACGGAGTAGCCAAGAACTGGTCGTCTCTGCTGCATCTGACGGCAGACATGACGCTGGAGGTGAGGCTGAGCTTCAGACGTGCAGGACATCTAAGGCTGAGCTTCTATTTTTTAATCAAAATCTGAGTCCTTCAAATTTGTCCTATTAACTCAAAGGGAAACCTGAGTTACCATGGTGATAAAATATGCCTAAAACACATCAAAAACAGAGCCATGGAGTTCTGACAACCCCTTTGGCAAGAATGGGAAGCATTTCAAAGAGCAATGGCGACGCATATTAGCTTCAATAGTTGGAGGGCAGTTAGCCGCTCACCTTAGCATTACTCAAAGTCTTAAGAAGATCCCTGAAGGTGTGAAAGTTTACATTGAAATTATAATTAAACTTATTATTTTACAAAGAAAGTAAATAATAGTTTAGTAATGCTGTGGGAAATATTGGTGATTCCTGAACCAGAGGATTTGGTTAGGTTAGCTAATGTGGCTGCAGTGTTGCTATGTTTGGCTACAGTAGCTAACCTGAGCCAGTGGGATTTGTTATCGTAGCTATAGGGATGCTAACTGTTGCTACACAAGCTAATCTGAAAAAGTGTGTTTTGTTAGCATAGCTAATGTAGCTACAGTGATATAAGTGATGCTATCTTTGGCTACCTTAGCTAACCGAAGCCATTGGGATTTGATATCGTAGCTATAGGGATGCTAACTTATGCTACACCAGCTAATCTGAACCAGTGTGTTTTGTTAGCATAGCTATTGTCGCTACAGTGTTAGAAGTGATGCTATCTTTGGCTACCTTAGCTAACCAAAGCCAGTGGGATTTGTTATCATAGCTATAGGGATGCTAACTGTTGCTACACCAGCTAATCCGAACCAGTGTGTTTTGTTAGCATAGCTAATGTAGCTACAGTGATATAAGTGATGCTATCTTTGCCTACAATAGCTAAACTGAGCCAGTGGGATTTGTTATCGTAGCTATAGGGATGCTAATTGTTGCTACACAAGCTAATCTGAAAAAGTGTGTTTTGTTAGCATAGCTAATGTAGCTACAGTGATATAAGTGATGCTATCTTTGGCTACCTTAGCTAACCGAAGCCATTGGGATTTGTTATCGTAGCTATAGGGATGCTAACTTATGCTACACCAGCTAATCTGAACCAGTGTGTTTTGTTAGCATAGCTCATGTAGCCACAGTAATACTTGTCACTGTCACTACCTGATCCGTACCATTGGTTCATTTGCTCATGTGCAACCAGAAATGCATCCTGAAAAAGGATCTAAATTAATTACTTATGTCGCCAATTATAAAAAACGTACTTGGCTACATTAATTAAATAATAATTAGCTACTTTGCTAAGAGAACAAATGTGTTTAGATCATTTTTGTTGTATACCTAATTCAGGCAACTCACTTTTCAGTTTCTATTTGTAATTTATTGTCATTTTTTTGTTTTATCTTTGCTTTTAATTTGTTTATTGCAAAATTATAAGAAAAAAATATAAATACAGGAGAAACTGTCCATGAATCTCAAACCAAGTGAACATCTGCTCAGATTCTGACAGGTAATGACTTTATCTCAAAAAAAGGAGCAAATAAAATAAAACAGAAATCCACAAGCATAAAATAAGTGAATAACCAAACACAAATCAGTAGAATAAGAGACTAATGTACTATTGACGTAGCTCACTCTAGCTAACTTGATTCACCTGGTTTCGTTAGCTTATGAGGGACACGCAATCGCCAGAACTCTGGTTTCTACAAGAAGACTTCAGTCATTCTTTAAAACAATAACTTTATTAATTAGGTTGTGTTCTTGCATGATGACGGTGTGTTTGTGTTTCCAGGTTAACTATTTCAATGAGGTCCATGCAGTTTGGGAACCTCTAATAGAACGAGTAGACAGCGGCCGGCGCCGGTGGAACCTGGAGCTGGAGGTAAAGCTGTTTCTGCCAGGTTATCTACTGCCTTCACTGTCCTGTAACAAAAATAACCGTTTATATCAAAGTCAGCATTATGCCTCCTGGCAGAGCATCTAATTGTTGTTATGAGGAGAAGGTTTACAGAACACTGATTTATCCATGATCATCGGTCAGTCTGGCTGACGCAGAACATCATCTCTGTACAGCTCATACCTCTGACTCAAGAATGCGACTGGATCAAGTGAGTTTTGCTTTTTTCATGCAGATTAAAAATAATCCAGTTATGGATCGGAGTCCTGTGCATGGAGACGACTTCATGTTTATTCCTGAACCTCGCACTGCCATCAACATCTGCTCCAAAGACACCCTGAATGTCACGGTCTCCAAGTGCAGCCTGAATGTCTTCCAGAAGCTGGCAGAGGTACGAGACTTGGTCCCTTTCAGAACGGCGGTTTCATGCAGCAGAGTTTTCAATTCATTCAGTTTATTTCTATAGCTCCAATTCACATCATGTCATCTCAGGTCACTTTCCAGTTCACCAGATCATCCAATTAGTTTGATTCAAAGTTTTCTATCTAAGGAAAACCAGCTGATTGCATCGACTCATTGACTCTTCAGCAATCCCTCACACTAAGCATGCTTGTAGCGACAGTGGAGAGGAAAAACTCCCTTTGAACAGGAAGAAACCTCCAGCAGAACAAGGCTCAGTGTGAGCGGCCATCTGCTGAGGCCCACTGGGGTTCAAGGAGACAGAAGCAGACATAAAAAAAAAAGCATAGATACAAAAGGCAACTGTCAACCAGCTCCACAGGCGGCCCCGTCCAGGAAACACACAGCCAGGCAGACGAGCTCCGAGCCAGCTCCCATGTCAGAGGATGAAGAGAGCACATGCAGTTAGTCACAGTCAGAGAAACAGGACTACACTGGAAAACAGGCCAAGCTCCAACATCTAGAAACAAAGGTGTTGATGGCAGCAGCACAGCTGATATTTCTCTCCAGGATGGAGTCACAGCCAAACAGGAACAGACCAGATGAAGCTACTATGAGAAAAAGCAGAGAGAGCAGAACGTTAGAGATTGAACTAACAGATTCTGCAGAGTGGGAGAATAGAGATAGAATGAAGCAGAATGATGAAAAAGGGGTCCCTATGTCCTCCAGCAGTCTAAGCCTATAGCAGCAGAACTATAGAGATAGCTCAGGATAACCTGAGCCACTCTAACTCTTAAATGACTTTGTTGGAACTGGATCTAAGTTGAAGGCTTAGATGAAGATGATAGTTTTGCTAACTCTGAAAGTCCAACTGGATGAAAATAGTCTTAACCTGGTTCAGATTCTATAGTTACCTCAGATGCTGCTTCACCTTCCAGGAAAAAAACAATTATCGTCAGAGGAGTGCTAATGACCTTATTTTTATCAGACTCAATTTTATGAATAAAGAATCCCATAAAATCATTACTGCTAAGAGTGAATGGATGGTTCAACAGAGCTATGGCTCTGGGTGGGTTTGGCAACTGGATTAAAGAGAAATCTAGGATTATTCTTATTCTCCTCTATTAATGAGGAGAAGTATGCTGCTCTTGCTTTACAAAGGGTCCTCTTATACAGCAGTAAACTATTTTTCCAGACTAGGAAGGATTCCCGTAGGCCTGTGGGGAGCGCCATTTTCTCTCCAGTTTCCTAGCATTTTGTTTCAAAGTACGCAGCTCTGTCATCGTTGGTCAGATCTTGCTTTATGAAGGGTCATTTCATACAGAAGTAAACAGTTTTTGGTTCATTTAGATGATGGAAACGCCTCCTAAAATGATTTGTTTCCCTTTAGGCTTTCGCTGAGGGAACGGCTTTGACCTTTGACCACACCCTGAAAGAGAAACCTCCCTTTACCATTAAAAATGCTCTGGGGATTCCAGTTATTGTGCAGCACAGCGCCTCCTTGAGGCCTCTTGGATCTGTGGCGCAAGGAAAATTACACGAGCTCTCGGTGGATCAGAGCATGGACCTGGTGCACTCCGGATTTGAGTCCACCATGGGGGGGAAGCTGTCAGCCCTGGAGAGGCAGGAGAGCTGCCTGTTTAACCTCACCGTCGGTACGAAGCCTTGTTGTCATCCACGGTTTCCACAGAAGTCAGTTTTACTGACGCCGTCTCTCTGAACCTGCAGTACCGTCCGGATACAGCGAGATCTGCAGCATCCCTGTGGACAAACCCGGCCGTCGGCTCTACAACGTTCGAGGTCCGATGCTGCAGGAGGCCGTGTCGGTGCTGCTGCAGATCGACGCCGCCGAAGGCAACAAGATCATCACCGTCCGTTCGCCCCTGCAGGTCAGAAGCACTAACACACCCCGTCAGGACCGAGACTCACCGTCTGAACGATGCTCACCATCACTGTCTGTGTCTGCAGATCATGAACCACTTTTCAGAACCCTTCTCTATCCTGAAGTACTGCGCAGCATCCAGAGACCTGCAGAGCATCGGCACAGCGGAGCCAGAGAAAGAGTTCCATATGGATCTGGATGCATACAGGTATGATTACCCCACACGGTGCCAGGTTGATGGGGTTGTTATTCTGGTCAGCTGACGGTGCCAGGCTGCTCTCTGCTTGCAGGTGTCAGCTGTTTGTGCGTCCAGCGGGCCGCCTGGACGGGCTGTACGCCGCGTCCTCCAGCTGCATGGCCTGGAAGGAGCAGGTCCACTGCAGCGCCGAGGTCCAGTCCGTCCTGCAGTGTCCTGCGTCCGACAGCAACCTGCTGCCGCTCATGGTCAGCACGCTGGCCGTCCCCGACGACCTGCGGCACATCTCCAGTCATGGCGAGGAGGACTGGGACCCCGCCTACATCATTCACCTGCATCCTGTGGCTGCACTGTGCAACCTGCTGCCGTACACAGTCAGCTACATCATGGAGGTACGGGAACACCTGGGAGGGTGGAGATTAGAGACTGACACGGGAGTGGATTTTCACTCCTGTCCCGTCCCACTCCCACAGAAAAAAATGGTGTCCCGTCCCGATCCCGGGCCAGAGTAGAAATCTAAATCCTGTCCCGTCCCACTCCTGGTGAAATTACTCCCACTCCCATCCCGCTCCCATTCAGAATGACTCCCGCTCCTGCGCCACTCCCATTCTTGTTGTTTTTGAGCGCGGGTGGAAAACTCAGAGCGGAAGTTACTATTGGTGTGCTCCCGCTCCCGTCTGCTCCCGTTAATGTTTAATCCTGTACCGTCCCAATCCCGTGATCGTTACTAATACTGACTCCCATCCCACGGGAATCCCGTGACCCATGGGATTCCCGAAAAAATGTCAGTCTCTAGTGGAGATACATCATCCATCCATCCATCCATCCATCCATCCCTCTGAGTGTTATTTTACTCTGAAGTCAGAGTTCTACTCTCTATCCTTAGAGCTATACTATAATACCTAGAGGCCGTCCAATGGGCCACCAGGCTGACTGCATCCTTCTTCTCTGCACTCGTAGCTCACGCTTTATGGGCCTGTAGATTTTCTCCTGTTTCTGTTTCTGCTCATTTTTCTCTTTGAATGTGAAACCAGCCTGTTAACACCATTCTGGTGTTTTAAATACTTTAAAAGTAGCTGCAGCTGATGGTAAATATAAATTACGGTGACCAGACGTCTCTGGTTTCCCATTTTGGACCGCCTATCCCCAGCTAAAGCTGTCCTGGCAAATGTCCCAGATTTTACCGTTTTATCCATGAGGGAGGAGCTAGAAGCAGACACACCAAAGATACATCTTTTGTCATTACATGTTTAGATGAATGAAAGATAATCTCTCAGGGCAGAAGAATAATCTGGCCTTTAATAAAGTTATAGTGAAAGCTAACAGGAATATATTTTCTATTCATAGATGCAGCTGTGCTTTTTGTTTTAACTAAGCTGTTATTATGTTGATAGGATGTTAATGTAAAGATTATATGATCCTAGTTATTCCTGTTACAAAAATCCACAGCAAAAAGACAGAAACTGAACATCTGCTGGATCCTGATGGGGATTTTTTTTAATGGTTCATATTAAATGAAGCTTTTATTTCCGCATGTTTTGATCCCATGAATTTAATGATAATATAGAGCATGTTCTCCTCCAGCTCCAAGGAAGTCGGAGCGCAGCAAGACGGGAGGAACAGCGCCGGCTGTAGGCTTTGCTTTGCGCAGGCGGTCTGCAGCAGAGCGGGGCGGGGCGGGGACAGAGGAGGGGGGATTTCAGGTTAACAGGGTAGCGGCGTCCAGCCGGCTGTGATAATAAATGTCCTTGTCTGTTTTAAAACTGCTGCCTCCTCATCTATGCGTACGTTAGCGGCTGTTTCTGTGCATAACCGTCCACATGATCCAGCAGAGGTCCAACTTCATCCTTTGCCTTTGGAAACGTTATAAGAGCTTTGGTTCAAGAAGTGTTTCCAGAAGCAGGAGACGTTTTTAACAAGACGACCGTCCATCTGTTGTCTTGTCTGACCTTTTTCCTCGGGTTGAAATGAGTTTAAAGACATTTATAAATAAAATAACGATGAGAACCTGACCAGCGTTGTGTTTGGTCTCCCTCTAGAACTCTGCTAACGTCTACGAGCTTCAGGAAGGAACCACATCGGACCTGCTGAACGCTCGCTTATCAGGGGAGATCATGTCTTTGGCGCTGATCCAGTACCAGGGCCGTGGCTGGCACGGACACATTCAGATCACCCGGGAACTGCCCGAGTTCTTCGCCGTGTCCCTGACCTGCGACACTGACGCCAGCCTGAGCGTGGACGTGAGCATCCACGTGACCAAAACCAAGAGCCGCCTTCTGCTGTCGCTCTTCAGCCCCTACTGGATCATCAACAAGACGTCCAGAGTGCTGCAGTACCGGTCCGAGGACGTCATGTACAAGCATCCGGCCGAGTACCGAGACGTCGTCCTCTTCTCCTTCAAGAAGTCCAACCTGTTCACCAAAAGCAAGGTGAGCGTCAGTCAGAGGGGCGGAGTTTAATCAGGAAGAGGTGTTTTTATCTTAGATGGTGGCTCTGTTCGAATTCATGCTGCGTCCTCCAAGGACGCGGCCTACCTGGACTGGATCCTTCCAGGTTCATGAAAATAAGGAGAGAGAAGAGTTTTTGCTGTGAATTCAAACAGATCCAGCCTTCGTACGCTCTGTCGCCTAGCAACCAGGACAGGTGACACACAAAGCAGGAAGAGAATGAATACTGAACTTTTCAAAACTGTTTCTTTTTTATTTTTATTTCTTTTTTATTATAAAGTGAACAAAGACTGACTTAATCCAGAGTGGAATAAATGTTCCAACCAGCAGGAACAGATAAAATCAAATGTAATGATTTCTACCTTAGTCAGTTAAATAACCTGCTGCTGTCATTCTGCACATCTCTGATGTTGCTGCTATTTTCAAATTACTGTAAAAATGTCCATAGCTGCATATTGGTTATTTATTCCCCAGTTTTATATTGTTAAAACACTTTACAGGATTTTATTGTTTTATCTTTTAACTCTTCCCTATTATGTTATTCTTAGACATTTTTCTAAGGTCCACATTCGTGTGACCATTTTCTTCTAAATTCTTTCTTTTTTTTAATTTATGCTGAGATTTTCTATTCTATTCTATAAAAGGGGTAGAAAGATAAAAGTAAACCTAAACAATATATGTATAAAAAATATATCTCTTTAAGTATCTATTATTTCTCTTATGTTATAAAAATATATCTATTATATTCAACAACTAAAAGTTGTTTTTTTGTTGTTGATTACAAATTGCGCAAAACAGCAATTAAAAATTAAACTCCTATCAGATTTATAGCCAACCCCCCCCCCTGCAGATCTATTAGAATCTGTCCTTAAATTAAAGCCAAACACATTTATACAGCAACAGATAAAAACCTTTAGATAAATCAAACTTTATGCAAACTTCTATTAAACTGAACTTCCAATTTTCACCACTGTTCGGCGCCAGGTACCTTTCCTCTGATCACAGCTTGCTTGGTCTCGCAATGAATCCTGGGATATCCAAGGATAGTGAGGATACATCGGACCCGTCCTTCAAATTGGGCAAAAAGAAGGACGCATTTTAAGGTCGCATAACGAGGACTCTTGGAATCCGACCAGACCTCGGCGCCGCGCTATGACGTAATCGACCTTTAAATCTGGCCTTCTGAGGACGCAGCCCATGAATTCAAACAGAGCATTTCTCTCACACTGATAGTTAAAGGTTGGGATGTTTCTAACTCAGATCCCACAGAGCTCAGTGGTGCAGAATGAAGGTATTACATTTACAGAAAGAAAATTTGTGTTGTGATTTTATGTTCAGCTCAATTCCCAGCTGGGAATTTATATTTCTGATATTCCGTAAAAGTTCAAAAAAAATCCCCTGGACTTGGTTTCCAAACTTTGAAGACGTTTCTCCACCTCTCCAGGAAGCTTTCTCAATTCAAATGTCTGGATCCGCAGTGAGTTGAGTGATTGGACCCCTTAAGGGCTTTAACCTTTAATATTGGCCTGGTTTCCCTGATATGTTAAAGGAGCATTCAATGGTAAAGACATCTAACATATCAAAATGAAAACAACATTAAATGCCAAATGCTGCCCTTTGTTTGGGTAACCCTGGAAGCTCTCATATGATTGGCTCAGGAACCAGGAAGTAAACATGGGCTACTGCAACATGGGGGGGGTATTGGTGTTACGATGTGATACGTGTCACAATACTGGGGTCACAAAAAGATATCAAGATATTCTAATGCCGCTATATATTGCTATATTTTTCCCACCGATCAAAATGAAATATATAAATAAGAAAGCAAGTGCTGTGAATGTTAATCAGGAGATGTTGATCATTTAGTTATTTTGGTATCCATGGTGACTTGGTCAGTCCACGTCTTCCACTCTGAGAGATTTGCTGCTGCGCCTCAAAGCTCCACGTCTCTACCTGCAGAGGAGCCATTTTTTCATCACTGTTTTAGGTAAAAATGTTTCGGTTCTTTTTATTAGATCAATATTATATTGGGCAGCCAAAAATCATGATATATCGCTAAATCGATCCCTCCCCCGCACCAAAATGCTTCCAAACCTACACATACAAACATATTAAGCTGCGTCATTATTAACGCTGTGTTTACATTTACACTTCACACATATACCTGCATTTAGTTAGTTCACCTCACATATTATTTATAACGCTCTTTAATGTCACATTAGTGTTTCATTTGCAATGAACCAGATGGGGAAGCTGCTGTGGTATAGCAGTAGCTTTATTCATGGCTCAGTAAACGGCCTTATACTTAGAAACACGTATGAATCTTACCAAAAACTAGATTCCTAGTTGCTGATTTGCATTTTATCAGGTTATACGCCAAGAGATTATGGAAAAAACAGAAAACATCTTTTTGCTGTTTATCAGACTTTGGCCTTGGCCAGCACACATCATTTCAGCAGGATTTCCAAAGAACATCGGTCGTCCACCATCGTCTACATAGTGCAATAAAGAGAGAATAAAAGCAGCGTACAATGAGGAGAAGGTTTGAGGAAAACACTAAGATATCTTTGAGATGTAGCGCTGAACTTATGAAGTGTTTTAGAAAGCTGTTTGGAATCATTTATCCATAAATGTTTCCCCCTCCAGAGGATAAAGTTGAGTAAATCGTTTTCAACTGTTGAGCTACACAAGGACGGTGTTTGTTCATTTTCCAGTAAATTTCCAATTTATAGTTAATTTGAAACATGATTAACACCAGAATCCATGTTTGGAACAAACATCATCCAAGAACTCCAGATTCTTTAGTTTTTACTCAAACCTTTAAGGGAAATTCATCCAGGAGGTTCTTTCCAGATTCATGGAATAACTGGTCCTCATCAGCTGCAGCTCCTCTGTAGCAGGAGGAGTTTTTGCAGTAGAAGCTTGAATAGCCGAGCTGCTCTATCTGAGACGATAACCTGAGCTGCAGCTTGAATCTGCCTGTTGTTGCTTTGCAGCTGCAGCTGTGCATCTCCACCAGTTCCTGGTCGGACGGTTTCTCCCTGGACACAGTGGGAAGTTACGGCTGCGTCCGCTGTCCTGCCACCAACATGGACTTCCTGGTAAGTTCCTCAATCCTCCGCTGTCTTTTACGTCAGCGGGTTCCTTTGTTCAACCTTCTCCTGTTCTCTCTGCAGGTAGGCGTTAGCATCCAGATGAGTAGCTTCAACCTGACCAGGATCGTCACTTTAAGTCCTTTCTACACCCTGGTGAACAAGTCCTCGTATGAACTGGAGGTTGGGGAGTTGATCAGCCAGACGTCCATCAGGTGGCACTACATCCCTTCCTCTGAAGTAAGTTAACCTTTCTATTGAAGTTTTACCAGCAGATCAGATCTGGTCTGATTATATCTGATCAGGACCCAAAGAAAAACCTTCAGGTTTCTCTGATCTCTGGAGGGTTGAGACTTTCTTGTGAAGGCGTTCTGTTGTGTTCCAGTACATCCCTCTGTGGCCGGAGAACTCCTCCAAGAAGCTGTGCGTCCGTGTGGTCGGATCGTCATCCAATTCCAAGTTCTTCTTCTTCAGTCAGCAGGACAACGGCACCCTGCTGAGCATGGACATGGTCTGTGTCCCATCTCTTCATCCCTGCCTTTAACATAGTTTGGTTCTCTTACCTCAGGCTGTCATTGCAGTGTGGAGGGATCATCGTGGACATCAACGTCTCCAACCACTCCACCATCATCAGCTTTAGTGACTATTATGACGGAGCAGCCCCCGCACTGTTGATTAACCACACACCCTGGGCCACCATCAGCTACAGACAGAGGTCAGACAACAGAGTCTGCACAAACACTGAAGAGATCAGATGCTAGAGCTCCTACAGTAGATGACGATGATGGGTAGCCTCGTGAGACCATCCTGATCTCGCGAGCTTTCAAGGTTTCACTCGCAGATCAGTCTGGAGACTCTCCGTTAAAGAAAATTTGGAGCCGTTCACCAAACGAACGTCCAATCAGCGTTGGCTTTGAGGCGGGTTGAGGTGTGACGCAACGAGAAGCGCGACAGTTCAGTCTAAAGAACATGGCGGCTTCAGCCGATGAAACTAGCGTTAGCGTGGCTATCGAGCAAGTTTTATGGGAATTACAGAGTATTTCTTCACTGAAAGAAGAGCAAAACACTGCTCTGGAGGCTTTTCTCAGAGGAAAAGATGTTTTTGCTCTTCTCCCGACTGGTTTCGGCAAGAGTTTGATCTATCAATTGGCTCCTCTTCGTCGTCGCTCTGTTAGTACGTCATATGCTTCGTTGATCTGATTGGTTTATTACTGCAACGGAAGGTTAGATGATGGATGCTCATTTACCCCATTTCCACTACCCTTTAAACCGTGCCAAGAACAGAGATAACTGTTGAGTGTAAATCTCACACAGAACTGAACTGTACCGTGCCAGACCCAACGGTACCGTGCTAACATGGTACTAGTTCATCAGTAGGGCTCGGCGCGGTTCAGTTCTTGCATGAGCAGACCGCCTCATCTCCTGACAGTCAGCCTCCGTAATCAGGAAGTTAATAAAATCCTAGCTCCCCTACCGTGCCGCACGATTTCCAGTGATTATTCTGTTTAGCAGTGCGATGAACCTCAACGTTTGTCGTTGTTTCCTGCATCTGGAAGCCCTGATTAGACGATTGTTTGTCGTATCCACTTCCCAAAAGCCGACTCTGTCAATAGATTGACCAAAGGCTGCCTTCTTCTCCTGACTCTCCGCAAACAACGAAATACCACAAATATAACCAAGTTCTGTAATGTAAGTTGTGTTCATATACGCTGATGCCCAAAGCTAGAAGGATCTTCTGCTGTTTTGCACTTGATCTTGAGAAGCCTTTGGCTGAAGGCTCTTGGTTGTTGTTTTATAGTCTTTTGAGGAGGATTCTCATGGTTTTCCATCATTTTCTTCACTTTATAAAGAATTCCTCTTTGTGAAATCAAGTGTAGAAGTTCTAGAGGAGTTCCAGCCGTGAGTTTTCCAGCCTTCTTTAAATCTCTGCTCTTATCGTCAGAAAGCAGGGAGATGATGGTGTTGGGGATATATTTCTGCCAACGTTTAGCAAAACTAAAAATACTGTATTCCTAATATTCCTGCTCTGCATTCTCTCTACCTCCCTTCAGCTCAAACACATTTTCATGTCTGTAAAAGTCAGAGATTAAATATAACTTTAGCAGAAAGTAACACGCAGCTATAAACCGCCATTAAAGGAAAATTCCGGTTTTTAACACTTTTAGCCCATTTTCTGTAGTGTCCAGGATGAAATCGAATGATCGACACCAAAAGTTTGACAATTGGTCCTGTCTCTGCTATTTGGCTCATGCAGAATCCCCCCCTGGCTGCTTCAGAATGGCTTGCATAGTGCATGTCCGATAATGTCCTTAAAACAACCTTAAACATTCTTTTTTTAAAATATGCTACTCATCGGGTCGTCAGCGCTGTTCAATGACGTTCAAAAACAAGTTTCGTAAAGAAAAAACGTTCCTGTAGTGTTTTATTTAGCATTTTGTAAATCCCATTGAGTTCTGTTGGAATAGTCAATATTCCCCTGCCACCGGAAACGGAAATGGGGCCTGTTTACACAGTTGTAGTTTTTTCGCAAGGCCCAAGTGTTTCTGCTTCACTCTGTGTACTCCGACGTCGAGGTGCTAACGTCTCTGTTAAACACTTTAAAAAACTCTGAAAATGGAATACGAAAGGTGGATTCTTCTCCTACACAGTGGTCCTACATTCCCAAAGTATAGAGACATTGTCACCAACTAGTGGTCTGGAGTGTGCAACGCTTCAGATTCGAACGGGAAGCGGAAGTTTATAAGCGGTTGTGATGTATCGGAAAAAATAGTTCTGGGATTTACAAAATGCTAAATAAAACAAGACAGGAACGGTTTTTCTTCACGAAACTTTTTTTGGAACGTCATTGAACAGCGCTGACGACCCGGTGAGTAGCATATTTAAAAAAAAAGAACGTTTAAGGTTGTTTTAAGGACATTATCGGACATGCTCTATGGAAGCCATTCTGAAGCAGCCAGGGGGGGATTCTGCATGAGCCAAATAGCAGAGACAGGACCAATTGTCAAAATTTTGGTGTCGATCATTCGATTTCATCCTGGACACTACAGAAAATGGGCTAAAAGTGTTAAAAACCGGAATTTTCCTTTAAACCGTGAGCACTGACAGGCGGCCTTCACAGCTGTTTACTACAAATGTTAGGAGGAACTTATTACATCATCTTTTATCTGACATTGGTTGATGGGACCCTATTGCAGTTAAATCTTTGGTTCTGTTATCATGGCTCCAGATCTTAGAAGCTCCAACATCCATCAGAAACACTTCTCCCTGACCCTGCGATCATTTAACAGGTTCTGTAGGAAGGCTGTATTTATGACTAGATGATGGGTCGATGAGAGCATGTCTCTGGATGTTGGTGTCGCTGCTATGAGCAGCCTGTAGGAGGCTCCATTCAGACCCCTGGGTCTGTTCAGAACGACCGGTGGACCGGGAGTTTGAATTTACAGAGATGATAGAAATTCTATTCATTACGTTTCTTTCCTCTCTTCTCATGGCAGCAAACTGACAGGATAGTGATGTAAAAAAACCTTTATGTAACTAGAAGATTGGAAACAGTCTGTGGACAATGTTGGCTCAGTCTAACTACACTCAAGTAGATATAGATATATATATATATATATATATATATATATAGAGAGAGAGAGAGATAAATATATATGTGTGTGTGTTTTCCAGCCACTTTTGTTAAAATGATCATTTTCTCATTCTCTAGCTTCTTTTCCGAACAACTTTATGATTAACCAGAAGCAGTTCTGCACAAATATATTGCTATTTAATATGTCTGATGAAATTGTTTTTATAAACGTATTTTGTTTTATTAAATAAAGCATTTTAAACATCAAGATCATTTCATTTGATGAATTTTAGCGCCAATTAAGGCCTTAATTTAAAAAATAACAATTTAATGACTTTTATTGATGTTTAATGACCAGTGTTAACCCTGGTTTAAACCAGTGACCTAGCAGCTGGTCATGTGACTGGGATTTAAATCCCCGCTAGGCGGACGCTTTCAGCCGCTCATCTCGTGTAACTTTGACCTTCTACGGACCTCAGACTGTTACATCCGGGCCGCCAAACTGCAGACATGCCCCAGTCACTGGGCTGTGCTCTAAAATCAGCATTTTAATGGAGGCCTGGCATTCTGTGGCAGACAGATGACTCCACACCTGTAGGGGGCGCTAGCGTGCACGGCTATGTCAGATCCTCCCTGAGGTTGCCGCACTGAGGCATCCATTTTGCATTTCTAAGGTGTTTCTCAGGTTTATGGAACATAAGATTGTAGTTGTAGACCCACCCAAAGAATGTATTTACTAAACTGGTCAATAAAGAAGTAATTTCTTCATTTTAATTCTTTTTTAATCTCCAGCGGATCAGATGAAGTCCATGAGCTGAAACCCTGCGAGGCTCGGCGGTTCGTGTGGGACGACCCAGCGGGAACCCGTAAGCTCTGCTGGAGCTGCAAAGGCCGTTCAGAAGAACTGGATCTGCTGAAGGTGTGACTCACGCCAACGTACCCTGACCAACCCTAACCAACCCCAACCAACCCCAACCAACCCTAACCAACCCTGACCAACCCTAACCAACCCCGACCAACCCTAACCAACCCTAAACAACCCTAACCAACCCTGACCAACCCCAACCAACCCTAACCAACCCTAACCAACCCTAAACAACCCTAAACAACCCTGACCAACCCTGACCAACCCTAACCAACCCTGACCAACCCTAACCAACCCTAAACAACCCTGACCAACCCTGACCAACCCTAACCAACCCTAAACAACCCTGACCAACCCTGACCAACCCTGACCAAACCTAACCAACCCTAACCCTCCATGTTTAGCTTGTATGTGGTTTCCTGAGCGTCTCTGCCTATCGTTAGACAGTGAGCTCAGTTTATTGGGTAAATAGATGAAGTTACCTTAGAAACAGAAGGTCCTGATCTACTGAAGGAGCTTCAGTGTCCACAGAATGTGAGCAACTATTCCTCAGTAAGTCCTGATGTGATAAAGGACGTTTAATGACTAGATGTTTGCTACATTAGAGGAATATTTTCACAAAACCAACATTGTTTTTCATGCAGTTAGAATAGAATATTTTCTCCGGTGGACGAAGACGCCGCTGTAGGGACCAGATCTGCTCTGGGCCCCACCCCTTCTATGACATCATCATATGGCAACTACACAGGGACAAACTGAATCGCACCCGTTTCTTAAGGATCAAATCTCAACATATAATTCCCAATATTTGCTATTATTTTAACTTTTCATCGGCGATCTAAAGTAGTTAAAGTAGAAAACAATCATTATCAGTATGAAGGAAACTTTGGCCTTCTAAGACAGACTGAGTTCTGCCGCTTAACAAGAAGACTCTAAAAGTCTAGCTTATTTTTGTTCTTTTTATTAAGATCCGAGGACAGAGGAGGACAAATGGAACATCTTAAAAAATGACTTTCTCAGAGATTTTAGACAAATAAAACAGTTATTCTGCTTTTAGAAAACAAACGGTTGTTGTTGACACAAAGATAAAGTAGCGTAGCTAAATATGGCTAACTGAGCGAGCTAACCTGTTAGCTAGTGAGCACAGCTAGCCACAGCGCTACCCAGCTCTCCCCCTATAAACCATAGCCTCACAGTAAATTTGTTCACCAGAAACAGATTTTTATTCAGTTTTGTTATCAATCAGGAAAAACTTCATCGTTCGTTAAACACGCTAACGCTACAGATGCTCCCGACTCGGTACCCTGACGATGTGTGATGTTATTATCATTGTCTGGGCAACCACAATGTTTTACATTGTGTGGCAACGTTCATCCAATCATGTAGTGCAGAGGTGAAGGATTAGCGGACCGGGGATCAGGACCCACCTGCTGCCAGATCCAGACTCACCTGATTTAAAACATTTATATGTTGTCTAATTTGACTTGCGCCTCTTCTCCAGTTAATACGGTAAAGCCCTGGGGAGCGTCCGGCTCCAGGCTGCACGTGATCCAAATGAGCCAATGAGCTGTCAGTCTGGGTTGCTGCTGCTGCTACTTTTAGACACAGCAGGCAAACCTGTGGCAAGCCGGGCGATGGGAAAGAAGGAGAAGACCATGAGAAAAAGAGAGCAGAGAAAGTGTGGACTGCTGGAAGAACTGCGGTGAACTGGTGAAAGAAAAGTGAAATGGCGTGCTCAAAGATGACCCTGCACATTTAGAGGATGTTTGGCTCAACCTGCTGCTGTGAAGCAGGATTCTCCACCATGAACAGAATCAACAATAAATCTGGATCCAGGCTCAAAATGAGCTCCTTGATATGTGCTTGAGAATGGCTTAGTCTCCGGTTAAACCCAGGTTTAAAGCCTTGCAGGGCAGCCTAAAGCCCACTGCCAACATTAAGACAGAAAAAAGAAAGAAAATAACAAACCATCAGTTCAAATTTAAAATTTTTCCATTTTAGATTTTAAGATTTGCATAAAAACCTCTTTTTATTTCAGAGTTAAATTCTGTTTAAAGTAACAGATTATAATTAAAAATGTCTCTGGACCTTTACTGGTTGATGATATTTTTTTTGGACCGTGCTAATTTTTAATCGGTTAATCCTGGTGTAGCGTAGCGTCACGGGCACGCTCAGGGATCTGACCACCTTAGCAGATCTGGGACCCACACCGGGCCTCCTGCTCCTCCGCCTCTCTTTCTAAATGAGTCCAGGTGTGTCTAAGGGACGGGTCCATCTTGTCTTTGGGTTTTCCTCCACAGATGTTAAATCCTCACACACAGCAGAGAGTCTGATGTGTTTAACTGAGCGTGTCTCTGTTTCCTCCAGGATGATGTGGGTCAGTTTCTTTTTGACGGCCAGTCTCATGTCCACTGGGTTTCCTTCCTGGACGGCCGGCAGCGGGTGTTGCTGTTCACCGAGGACACCGCCGTGGTGACCAAGGCTCGGCAGTCGGAGGAGCTGGAACAGTTTCAACAGGAGCTGAAGGTGTCTCTACAGAACCTCGGCCTTTCTCTGGTGGACAACAGCAGCCGGCAGGAGATTTCCTACATCGGCATCACCAGGTGAACATCAACAGGCCCTCGATGATAAGCTGAGATGGAAATAACGCTGCTAATGTTTACATGACTTCCTCCGACTGCAGCAACCCAGCTGGACTCTGCAGCTGGCATGAAGCTGTCTATTGGTCAGGACGCTCAGGGTTCATATTTAAAATAGCACAGAAACCATTTCTACTCCGCAGGCTGCTGATAACTGCGTTATCTGAGACGATTCTGAGCATAAACCAGCCTGAACACGACTGACATGAACTAGACAAGCAGTCAGGCTGCAGTGGACTGACCGCGCTCTAACTGTCGTTCACAGCTCAGGCGTAGTGTGGGAGTATAAGCCAAAGAACCGCTGGAAGTCCTTCAATCAGAAGAACATCAATCTGCTGGAGAAGACCTACCAGAGTCAGCTGAGTGAGAAGAAGGAGCTTGGCTGGGTCACACTGGAGAACAACCTGGAGGTCAGAGGTTAACCAAAAGGACCAAACGTTCTGACCGTCTGCGTAAAGCTTACTGATGTCATCGCTTCCTAGGTAAACCTGAACCAAGCTGTCATGAAAATGCGCCAACCTCAGTCTTGCCCGGTGAGGAGGAACTTCCTGTCGGGGATCCAGGTGGAGTTCAAGCAGTCGCTCCACCAGCGCAGCCTGAGAGCCCAGCTGCACTGGTTGCAGGTAAACATGCAAACACCTGAGCCTGAATGAAGTGACCCCCCCACCCCATAGCACGATTGTGCAGCAAAACCTTTTAGTTTGTGCCGCCGTCATTTTGAAGATCCGCTCCTCCTGGTTTCAATCAGACATGATTGATCCGGCAGTTTGGACTCTGGAAGCTTTTCATTTCGCCAACGTAGAAAAACGTTTCACACAATTTCTGTTCGATTTGGATAATGCGTGGGGTGGGGGGTGGAGCTGACCATTCGACCTTTGAACTTTTACCAATTTAAAACAAAAGAAAGAGGAAAATTGATGCTGCACAAATGGTGCTGGATTAAGTGACAGTAGAGAGGCGAGTTATCAATTAATCAATTAATTTCAAGTTTTTTTTTTAAATAGTGCATCTTTATATTCTGACTTTTTATTGTGTCAGCTGTAGTTGATCATAAGTTTAGCAGTAATATTGACCGAATATGAACAACACATTTTCTGAGACATTATGAAAAATAATTACAAAAAGGAAACTATGAGGTCACAGAAAGAAAAACTTAAATTCGTAGGGAAATATTGTTTAAATGTCGATCCTTTTGGCTTAAAGGAGAAGTTCGGTTTTTTACACTTTAAGCCCATTTTCTGTAGTGTCCAGGATGAAATCGAATGATCGACACCAAAATTTTGACAATTGGTCCTGTCTCTGCTTTTTGGCTCATTTAGAATCCCCCCCTGGCTGCTTCAGAATGGCTAGCATAGAGCATGTCCGATAATGTCCTTAAAACAACCTTAAACGTTCTTTTTTTAAAATATGCTACTCACCGGGTCGTCAGCGCTGTTCAATGACGTTCCAAAAAAAGTTTCGTAAAGAAAAAACGTTCCTGTAGTGTTTTATTTAGCATTTTGTAAATCCCATTGAGTTCTGTAGGAATAGTCAATATTCCGCTGCCACCGGAAACGGAAATGGGGCCTGTTTACACAGTTGTAGTCTTTTCGCAAGGCCCAAGTGTTTCTGCTTCACTCTGTGTACTCCGACGTCGAGAATCAAGAATCCACCTTTCGTATTCCATTTTCAGAGTTTTTTAAAGTGTTTAACAGAGACGTTAGCACCTCGACGTCGGAGTACACAGAGTGAAGCGAAAAGACTACAACTGTGTAAACAGGCCCCATTTCCGTTTCCGGTGGCAGCGGAATATTGACTATTCCTACAGAACTCAATGGGATTTACAAAATGCTAAATAAAACACTACAGGAACGTTTTTTCTTCACGAAACTTTTTTTGGAACGTCATTGAACAGCGCTGACGACCCGGTGAGTAGCATATTTTAAAAAAAGAACGTTTAAGGTTGTTTTAAGGACATTATCGGACATGCTCTATGCTAGCCATTCTAAAGCAGCCAGGGGGGGATTCTAAATGAGCCAAAAAGCAGAGACAGGAGCAATTGTCAAACTTTTGGTGTCGATCATTCGATTTCATCCTGGACACTACAGAAAATGGGCTTAAAGTGTAAAAAACCGAACTTCTCCTTTAAATGTGTATTTAAATGTACCTTTATCAGACCACACTTTAGGACATTTCTGTAAAAAAAAAAAAAAATCCTGTCTTAATATCTGTCGCTGTTCCAATCATTGCATTTCCAAATTCTCCCAGTGGTGCCCGATTTTACACCAGTGAAAAAAGTGAATGTGATTGGTCGATTATCAAGGGGGCGGGATTGTTGTGGCTGAAGGTTCGCGAGCAAGTTTGGTTGTGGCCGGTTTGTAGGAAGCATCTTGCTAACCAGTTAGCATCTTAGTGCTAGCAGGTTCCCAATGGGAAATTCCATTGGGACCAAGTAGCACTAAATTGGTGACTTAGAAACGACGCTGTCAAGGAACGCTATGGACAGCGGAAACATGCAAGAGGAGGAGAGTTTAGTGTCGGAGGTCGTGGATGAGTCTCCTCCGTCATCCATTTTTTATTTAGAGGAGGAAAGCGGGGACGAAGATGTTGTGGAAGAGGACGCCAGGGCGGCAGAAGCTTGGTTTGGTGTAGAAGGCTTCCAGCCGTACATGTTTGAGCCCTTGCCTCGCAACGCTGCCAGTTCTGTTAGCTCTACGCCTGCCGAAGACACAGACGTCCATCCCCGTGAACACTGGGACGCAACTCAATGGGAAAGGAAAGGATTCTGGTTTCAACCGTTGCGTATATTAGCTGCGAAACATAAATCAAGATGCTATGACTGAAAACATTTGATTGACAGATGACCGTTGATATATGATTGGCCGAATTTAGGTGTTCAGGCTGACGTAGAACTAACTGGCCTGCAGAAGATTATGGAGAAAAACACAGATTTTAAGACAGGATCTTTTGAAAAATAGAAATTTTCTCAATTTTGGGACAATATTGTCTGATAAAGAGAACATTTCTATACACGTTTAAGCCAGAATGATTTGACTTAAATATTATTTCCCTACAACTTTAACAACTATTTCTGGAGTAAATCAGGACTATGACGTACCGACCAGATTTAGCCTAAAAACCAATGTCTGAATGACGTCTGGTGTTTGGGGGTGAACTTATCAATTAATTAAAGTTTCAATAAATCCAGTTTATTTCTATAGCGCCGATTCACAGCAGGTCGTCTCACACATTACAGAGTCAATGCTGTCCGACTGGTTAAAGGTTTCTGTCCAGTAAACCATGTTATCCTCCAGGCATTGATTTACCAAACCTTCTCCTCCTGATTAGCCCACAGCGACGATTTTCATTTGGATTCTGTTTTCTATTAAGTTTCAATTAATGGGATGAAACTCGTTTTAATCCAATAACCATTAATGGAGAAACATTTGAAGACGGTGTTGATGAGCTTCTCTCAGGTCCTGCACCTCATTCACCTGCGTGACCAAAGATTTTCCATTGCTTGCAGGTGGACAACCAGCTGCCAGGTGCCGTCTTCCCCATCGTCTTCCATCCAGTTCCTCCACCAAAGTCTATCGCTCTGGACTCAGGTAAGCCTCTAATACCATCTGAAGGCCTGGTTATCCCCCCCCCCCAGCAGTGTGTCGCAGTGAACTTATCTCAGATATTTCTGATGCCCAATATTGAGGCGTGGTCTACGCTACGTTATTCCACGCCACAACGCCAGAGGGTCAATCAGGAACTAGCTGTGGGTCTAGATACGGCCGAGGCGGTGAGGAAGTGGGGGCAAGTTTGTGCGACAACGGAGGGACATGAGGGCCAAAAAGAGCGGGGATCCAGGTGGGAAAAGGGTCCCAGCGTTCTCGCGCACCTCGCTCTGCTAGCTGCTCCATCTTCACCAGTCGTTTTCCACAATGGCGGCCAGACAAACAGAACAAGACGGTAAGGAACCAAACAGGAAATACGCATAGAGTAGAGCGAATGGAGATTTGACCAATCAGAGGCCTCCTGTCTGAGGTCATCTACAATTTGGGAGAGGAGCAGCAGAGTGTCTGTAGAAGGGGGCGGGGCTTATCTGCGTTCACTGCGACACACGCAGACGACCTGGTTTCTGAGCATAAACCAGCCTTAACCTTGAAAAGTGTTCAGAAAGTGTAACGCTGAGTTGTGCCTCCGTAGAGCCAAAGCCCTTCATGGACATGTCGGTCATCATGAGGTTCAACCAGCACAGCAGCGTCATGCAGTTCAAGTAAGGAGGTCTGGATGTTTGGCTGCTGACGGCGTCCAGAGCGGCCCTCTGAAGGTTCCGTCTGTTTTTCAGGTACTTCATGGCCTTAGTTCAAGAGATGGCCGTGAAGATCGACCAGGGTTTCCTGGACGCTGTGGCGGCTTTGTTTGCTCCGGCTGCAAACCTGCAGAATGACGGACAGAAGGTGAAGAGGAGCAGAGACGGTATTTCCTCTAAAGGTCGTGGATGAGACGTTGGTCTGAGATGTTTTTGTTTCAGTCGGGGCTGATCGAAGGAGACCTGAAGCGTCTGCAGGCAGAGCCGACGGACGCCTCCCTGGCAGATGGCTCAGGAATCAGCTTCTTTGAATTTTTTCACATCTCACCCATCAAGGTAACGCCAGACGTCCCGTCCGCTCTGGGTTTGTTCAGTTTGTTCCGGTTTCACTGCTCCGGCTTTTCTTTCCAGCTCCACCTCAGTCTGTCTCTGGGCTCCAGCGATGGCGACTCTGCCCAGCAGAACCCCATCACCCAGTCCCTGAACCTGGTCCTGAAAAGCATCGGGGCTACGCTGACCAACGTTGATGACATCATCTTCAAGTAAGCCTGTGCCGCTGGCCCGGTCGGATCTGCTGAGGTTGGTGGTTCCTCTGACGTTTCTCCTCTGTTTGTGTCAGACTGGCCTTCTTCGAGGTGAAGTACCAGTTCTACAGCAAAGAGAAGCTGATGTGGGCCGTGGGCCGACATTACACCGAGGAGGTAATGGCTCCCGCCGCTCTGCCTGAGCCTCCAGAGTTCTGGCTTCTAAAGGTTCTGGTTCTCCTTGCAGTTCCTGAAGCAGATGTATGTTCTGGTTCTGGGCCTGGATGTCCTGGGGAATCCTTTCGGACTGATCCGAGGCCTGTCTGAAGGGGTGGAGGCCTTCTTCTACGAGCCGTTTCAGGTAGACCAAAGCCGGTAGCTCAAAGCCGGCAGCACTGGAGGATCCGATCCACTGAAGGTTCTGGTTCTGCTGGTTTTTCAGGGAGCTGTTCAAGGCCCGGAAGAGTTTGCAGAAGGTTTTGCCATCGGCGTCCGCAGCCTGCTTGGTTCAACTGTCGGTGAGGGAACTCGGTGAACGATGACGGGGGGAACCAGAACTCCGCAGTCTGTCTCCAACATGTTTGGTTCTTCCTGCAGGTGGCGCCGCCGGAATGTTCTCCAAGATCACCGGATCCATGGGCAAAGGCCTGGCAGTAATCACCATGGATAAGGAGTTCCAGCAGGAGCGTCGGGAGGAAATGAACCGACCCACCAGGGACTTCAAAGGCAGTCTGGCCAAAGGGGGGAAGGGTCTGCTGAAGGTATGGAGAAGAACCTCTGGGCGCCGGCACCCGCCTCAGGCCTCTCAGTAATCATTGTCTCTCTGCAGGGCGTCGTGGGCGGAGTTACAGGCATCGTGACTAAACCTGTGGAAGGTACGCTCCTTGGTGCAAAGGTCACGTCTTTTTGCAGAACAGGAATTCCAAAAAAATTTTGATTTAGAAACGAATTACAGTCCTGAGTATTTATGCAGAATTCCCAGAGACTCGGATTATTCCCAGACTGACTTTCTGGAATCAGATCATCCAGATCCTTCGGATTTTTCTGGACCTGATGGAACATTTCAGTGCTCTGGAACAGGTTCCTCAGAAGAGCTTCTAGCTGATCCAAACATTCCATCAGATCTTCTAAATCAGACTTAAATGTTGTCCAGAAGCAGCAGATTCCCCAAATAAATCATCATCTGTCCTGAAATGATCCAGAACCGGATCTTCTGGGATTAACGTCTGCTATTAGTGTTGCAAAGAAGACAGAAATTTAAAATCTAGAAATGGACCTTAATCAAAGAAACATTTTGAGATGAACTTTTTACACAGATTTTATTTCTTCAAAAGTTTTTTTTTTCCTTTGCTTTTATTTTAAAATGTTCATTTTTTATGAATTGCATTAATTTTACAACAAACAGAGACGCGTTTCTATTGGTCCACTGGATGTTAGCAAAAACATATTTATTGATCAGGAGCGTTTTGAAGTGAAGGGAATGTCATCGGAAAAATTCAACGTGAAAAAAGGAAATTTAGAAAATTTTATTTGAAAGAGAAAATTTGAGATTTAGAATTTGAAGATAAATAAGTTTGATTTTTGGAATCCTTTTTTTTTTTTTCTTTGCCTTTAACAATAATGGAAGCAGATTCCCTCCATATTGACTGACCCTGAACTAATGTGGTCTGCAGGAGCCAAGAAGGAGGGGGCGGCCGGATTCTTTAAGGGGATCGGGAAAGGTTTGGTGGGCGTGGTGGCCCGGCCCACCGGCGGCATCGTGGACATGGCCAGCAGCACCTTCCAGGGAATCCAGAGGTAGCGTCCGGACCCTCGCGTGTTTCCTTGTTGACGTGGTTTCTCTGACGGTCTGTAGACTTTCTGTGGTGTCGGTGGGCCTCGCTACGTGGCGCCGTCTCTGTTTTTCTTGTCTAATTTTCACGTTTTCTGTTCTTTCTGTTCCTCGCTGTTTGGTGTGTGAGTATTTCCCATGAACTGAGCTCCTCCATCAGCCTCTGGTTTCATGTTGAATGTTCCCTGCAGCTTTTCTGACTTGTGCTGCTGATTCACCCAGATGTTTGCAGATGTTTGCATGTTGAATGCTGCTGCAGCGGCGGTAAGTCAACGCATGGCATTGATGTCAGGTTTCATCCACGGCATCCAAGTCGTGCTGTTCTCCGAGTCTAACCTGCTTGTGGCGTCTCCCATCGTTCTGCTGGCCCCGCCCCCGAGGAGGACCAGCAACCGCTGCCGATGGAGCTCCTATAGAAGGAGTTAACCAGCAGGTCAACTGGAAACATCGTCTGGTTGGATCTGAGATGCTTTAGACGTTAGAAGCCGTTCCAGCGGAGGGAAACTCCTCGGGGACTCGGCTGGATGTCCTCATGGTTCTGACTAACTCTCACCATGTCCCTGCTGGGCTACAAGCGCTAAAACTTCTTGATTTTTTCATTTGCCGATTTATTTCCAAATTTCCAAATTAAACCTTCAGAGTTTAAATATTGCTCCTCAGATACTATTTAAGGTCGTGAATGAAGTTTGAAATATATTTACCTTCAATAAAAAACTGGAAAAACTCCAATTAGCTGGAGTCTTTAGATAAAATTCATCCTCCTCTGATTCCTTCCTGCTCCCAAACATTTCCTCCTCCTGATTGGAGGATCCATCTGTCAGGTGACCCCATAAATCCCTGATAACCTGTTGAAGTCGCTGTTTCATGCTGTCACTCTAGAGGCCCCCACAGGTGAGAACTGTTGCCTGGGTGACGCTGCCTGCAGCATGGCGTGCACCAGAAGCGAATGTGCTTTGGGTCAGAGTCCAGTCAGAATCAGAACAGCCTGGTTCAAAGCAGCTTTCATCACCTCCATCTTCTCTGTGTGTGATGTCAGAGCGGCCGAGGCGACGGAGGAGGTGACCAAACTCCGGCCGGTCCGTCTCATCAAGGAGGACGGCGTCATCCGACCCTACGACGCCACTGAGTCGCAAGGATTCGACCTCTACCAGGTTAGACTCTTCTCTGTTTCCGTGGCAACGGTCCTTCTGCTCATGAATGAGATCAGAGGAGACCTGGAAGAGCGGATGTGGGGAGGCTACTCAGGACTTTAATACAGAAAAGGTTTTCACATCTTTAGCTTTAAACATTCCTCCGCTCTGACACGGAGACTCGCATCTTTCTTCTCAAACATTCGATCCATTTATCTTCTAAATCTGGAAAACAAACCAGAACAGCTGAAGGAGATTCCAGAACATTCCAGGTCAGTTCTGACTGGGGAAAAAAATGATTTATACTTTCAGTAATCAACTTGTTTTAAATCTGGTTGCATCCAGTCATTGACTTGGAGCAGATTGCTTCCAGTGGTTGACTTGGAGCACAATGCATCCAGTCATTGACTTTGAGCAGATTGCATCCAGTCACTGACTTGGAGTGGAATGCATCCAGTCATTGACCTGGAGCAGATTGCATCCAGTCATTGACCTGGAGCAGATTGCATCCAGTCATTGACTTGGAGCAGAATGCATCCAGTCACTGACTTGGAGCAGATTGCATCCAGTCATTGACCTGGAGCAGATTGCATCCAGTCACTGACTTGGAGCAGATTGCATCCAGTCATTGACCTGGAGCAGATTGCATCCAGTCATTGACCTGGAGCAGATTGCATCCAGTCATTGACTTGGAGCAGATTGCATCCAGTCATTGACTTGGAGCAGAATGCATCCAGTCACTGACTTGGAGCAGATTGCATCCAGTCATTGACTTGGAGCAGAATGCATCCAGTCACTGACTTTGAGCAGATTGCATCCAGTCACTGACTTGGAGCAGAATGCATCCAGTCATTGACCTGGAGCAGATTGCATCCAGTCATTGACTTGGAGCAGATTGCATCCAGTCATTGACTTGGAGCAGAATGCATCCAGTCACTGACTTGGAGCAGAATGCATCCAGTCACTGACTTGGAGCAGAATGCATCCAGTCACTGACTTGGAGCAGATTGCATCCAGTCATTGACTTGGAGCAGAATGCATCCAGTCACTGACTTGGAGCAGAATGCATCCAGTCACTGACTTGGAGCAGATTGCTTCCAGTGTCTGACTTGGAGCAGATTGCTTCCAGTGTCTGACTTGGAGCAGAATGCTTCCAGTGTCTGACTTGGAGCAGATTGCATCCAGTTACTGACTTGGAGCAGATTGCATCCAGTCATTGACTTGGAGCAGAATGCATCCAGTCACTGACTTGGAGCAGATTGCATCCAGTCGTTGACTTGGAGCAAAATGCATCCAGGCACTGACTTGGAGCAGATTGCATCCAGTCACTGACTTGGAGCAGAATGCATCCAGTCACTGACTTGGAGCAGAATGCATCCAGTCACTGACTTGGAGCAAAATGCATCCAGTCACTGACTTGGAGCAGAATGCATCCAGTCACTGACTTGGAGCAAAATGAATCCAGTCACAGACTTGGAGCAAAATGCATCCAGTCATTGACTTGGAGCAGAATGCTTCCAGTGTCTGACTTGGAGCAGAATGCTTCCAGTGTCTGACTTGGAGCAGATTGCATCCAGTTACTGACTTGGAGCAGATTGTATCCGCCCACTGACTTGGAGCAGAATGCATCCAGGCACTGACTTGGAGCAGAATGCATCCAGTCACTGACTTGGAGCAAAATGCATCCAGGCACTGACTTGGGGCAGATTGCATCCAGTGGTTGACTTGGGGCAGGTTGCATCCAGTGGTTGACTTGGGGCAGGTTACATCCAGTCATTGACTTGGAGCAGAATGCATCCAGGCACTGACTTGGAGCAGAATGCATCCAGTCACTGACTTGGAGCAAAATGCATCCATTCATTGACTTGGAGCGGAATGCTTCCAGTGTCTGACTTGGAGCAGAATGCATCCAGTGTCTGACTTGGAGCAGATTGCATCCAGTCACTGACTTGGAGCAGATTGCATCCAGTCACTGACTTGGAGCAGATTGCATCCAGCCATTGATTTGGAGCAGAACGCATCTTATCACTGACTTGGAGCAGAATGCATCCAGGCACTGACTTGGAGCAGAATGCATCCAGTCATTGACTTGGAGCAGAATGCATCCAGTCACTGACTTGGAGCAAAATGCATCCAGGCACTGACTTGGAGCAGATTGCATCCAGTGGTTGACTTGGGGCAGGTTGCATCCAGTGGTTGACTTGGGGCAGGTTGCATCCAGTCATTGACTTGGAGCAGAATGCATCCAGTCACTGACTTGGAGCAGACTGCATCCAGTCGTTTACTTGGAGCAGATTGCATCCAGTCATTGACTTGGAGCAGATTGCATCCAGTTACTGACTTGGAGCAGATTGCATCCAGTCATTGACTTGGAGCAGATTGCATCCAGTCATTGACTTGGAGCAGATTGCATCCAGTCAACGACTTGGAGCAGAACGCATCCAGTCATTGACTTGGAGCAGAATGCATCCAGTCACTGACTTGGAGCAGAACGCATCTTATCAATGACTTGGAGCAGAATGCATCCAGTCACTGACTTGGAGCAGATTGCATCCAGTCACTGACTTGGAGCAGAATGCATCCAGTCACTGACTTGGAGCAGATTGCTTCCAGTGTCTGATTTGGAGCAGATTGCTTCCAGTGTCTGACTTGGAGCAGAATGCTTCCAGTGTCTGACTTGGAGCAGATTGCATCCAGTTACTGACTTGGAGCAGATTGTATCCGCCCACTGACTTGGAGCAGAATGCATCCAGGCACTGACTTGGAGCAGAATGCATCCAGTCACTGACTTGGAGCAAAATGCATCCAGGCACTGACTTGGAGCAAAATGCATCCAGGCACTGACTTGGAGCAGATTGCATCCAGTGGTTGACTTGGGGCAGGTTGCATCCAGTGGTTGACTTGGGGCAGGTTGCATCCAGTCATTGACTTGGAGCAGAATGCATCCAGGCACTGACTTGGAGCAGAATGCATCCAGTCACTGACTTGGAGCAAAATGCATCCAGTCATTGACTTGGAGCAGAATGCTTCCAGTGTCTGACTTGGAGCAGAATGCATCCAGTGTCTGACTTGGAGCAGATTGCATCCAGTCACTGACTTGGAGCAGATTGCATCCAGTCACTGACTTGGAGCAGAATGCATCCAGTCATTGACCTGGAGCAGATTGCATCCAGTCACTGACTTGGAGCAGATTGCATCCAGTCATTGACCTGGAGCAGATTGCATCCAGTCATTGACCTGGAGCAGATTGCATCCAGTCATTGACTTGGAGCAGATTGCATCCAGTCATTGACTTGGAGCAGAATGCATCCAGTCACTGACTTGGAGCAGATTGCATCCAGTCATTGACTTGGAGCAGATTGCATCCAGTCATTGACTTGGAGCACAATGCATCCAGTCATTGACTTTGAGCAGATTGCATCCAGTCACTGACTTGGAGCAGAATGCATCCAGTCATTGACCTGGAGCAGATTGCATCCAGTCATTGACTTGGAGCAGATTGCATCCAGTCATTGACTTGGAGCAGAATGCATCCAGTCACTGACTTGGAGCAGAATGCATCCAGTCACTGACTTGGAGCAGAATGCATCCAGTCACTGACTTGGAGCAGATTGCTTCCAGTGTCTGACTTGGAGCAGATTGCTTCCAGTGTCTGACTTGGAGCAGAATGCTTCCAGTGTCTGACTTGGAGCAGATTGCATCCAGTTACTGACTTGAAGCAGATTGCATCCAGTCATTGACTTGGAGCAGAATGCATCCAGTCACTGACTTGGAGCAGATTGCATCCAGTCGTTGACTTGGAGCAAAATGCATCCAGGCACTGACTTGGAGCAGATTGCATCCAGTCACTGACTTGGAGCAGAATGCATCCAGTCACTGACTTGGAGCAGAATGCATCCAGTCACTGACTTGGAGCAAAATGCATCCAGTCACTGACTTGGAGCAGAATGCTTCCAGTGTCTGACTTGGAGCAGAATGCTTCCAGTGTCTGACTTGGAGCAGATTGCATCCAGTTACTGACTTGGAGCAGATTGTATCCGCCCACTGACTTGGAGCAGAATGCATCCAGGCACTGACTTGGAGCAGAATGCATCCAGTCACTGACTTGGAGCAAAATGCATCCAGGCACTGACTTGGGGCAGATTGCATCCAGTGGTTGACTTGGGGCAGGTTGCATCCAGTGGTTGACTTGGGGCAGGTTGCATCCAGTCATTGACTTGGAGCAGAATGCATCCAGGCACTGACTTGGAGCAGAATGCATCCAGTCACTGACTTGGAGCAAAATGCATCCAGTTATTGACTTGGAGCGGAATGCTTCCAGTGTCTGACTTGGAGCAGAATGCATCCAGTGTCTGACTTGGAGCAGATTGCATCCAGTCACTGACTTGGAGCAGATTGCATCCAGTCACTGACTTGGAGCAGATTGCATCCAGCCATTGATTTGGAGCAGATTGTATCCGCCCACTGACTTGGAGCAGAATGCATCCAGGCACTGACTTGGAGCAGAATGCATCCAGTCATTGACTTGGAGCAGAATGCATCCAGTCACTGACTTGGAGCAAAATGCATCCAGGCACTGACTTGGAGCAGATTGCATCCAGTGGTTGACTTGGGGCAGGTTGCATCCAGTCATTGACTTGGAGCAGAATGCATCCAGTCACTGACTTGGAGCAGATTGCATCCAGTCGTTGACTTGGAGCAGATTGCATCCAGTCATTGACTTGGAGCAGATTGCATCCAGTTACTGACTTGGAGCAGATTGCATCCAGTCATTGACTTGGAGCAGATTGCATCCAGTCAACGACTTGGAGCAGAACGCATCCAGTCATTGACTTGGAGCAGAATGCATCCAGTCACTGACTTGGAGCAGAACGCATCTTATCAATGACTTGGAGCAGAACGCATCCAGTCATTGACTTGGAGCAGAATGCATCCAGTCACTGACTTGGAGCAGAACGCATCTTATCATTGACTTGGAGCAGAATGCATCCAGTCACTGACTTGGAGCAGAACGCATCTTATCAATGACTTGGAGCAGAACGCATCCAGTCATTGACTTGGAGCAGAACGCATCTTATCATTGACTTGGAGCAGAATGCATCCAGTCACTGACTTGGAGCAGAACGCATCTTATCACTGACTTGGAGCAGATTGCATCCAGTCATTGACTTGGAGCAGATTGCATCCAGTCAGTGACTTGGAGCAGAACGCATCTTATCATTGACTTGGAGCAGATATCATCCAGTCATTGACTTGGAGCAGATTGCATCCAGTCAGTGACTTGGAGCAGAACGCATCTTATCATTGACTTGGAGCAGAATGCATCCAGTCATTGACTTGGATCCGAATGCAACGATTCCCTCCTGGTTGAAAATGCGTTGGTTCTGCTGACAGAGACTAGTAAACTCAGAAGTTCTGATCTAGTTATTTTCCTCTGAGAGTAAATTTCTGACAGGATGAATCTGACTAGGAGATGACAGCCGAGGTCGATGGGACTCGGTCTGATTCGTACAATCTGAAAGTCATTATCAGCTCTGGACTCTTCTCATTCTGTTCAGTTTTTCTCTAATATTTTCCTTCGTCTGATAGATCTCCTGCTTTTTTTTTTAGTCTGAATAGAACTCGAGTCTTTTTTCGGGTCCGGGGATGAAGCTGGTAGATTTAAATGTTCCACAGCAGCAGAACATAAGAGATTTATTCCTACAACCGAGTCAACTTCTTCTCTTTACCCGTTAAAGAACGTTTAGCTGCTGAGAAGTTCAGAGTGATATTGCCCATGGCCCCGCCCCCTGAGGACCGGAGCTGGAGACTCGGTGCTCTGTTTAGAGTAGATGGGACTTGGAGGAATTCCTCTCTCCTGATTCCTGTTAAACTTATCCTGTTTTTCTTCTTCCCTCTCTTGTCTTTCTTCTTGTTTTTCGCTCCATGCAGCCGGACGAGGACTCGGACCGGTCTGGTGATGAACATTAGCTCCAGTTGTCTGACTGGGATCCGTTGCTGTTGTGTTTGTGATCAAAACTTTGCTGATACTCGTTAATCTGCAGATATTTGTCTCCGTGTCCAAGTCTGAATATTTAATCTCAGATCAGTTTTCTGCATGCTGAATGTTTCTGCTCATACCTCAGAACATTTCTACCGCCTCAGCTTCTTCTTCTCCTGCTTTGCATTTATTTAGAGTTTATTTATTTAATTTGACAGAAAAAAAAAAGCAGTTCCGTGAAAATTATTTTTCTAAAAAATAAATCTGTGGTTTTTGCTTTAAAACTTCTGGTGTTAAAGTTGTTGTCTTTGATGGAACATATGGAGTAAAACATGAAGTCTTTATCTCAGAGCTAATGAATAATCAGACCGTGATGCTTTTAGAGGTAGAACCTCCCTCAGCAGCAGCTTCTCCAGCTTCAGAACTTGAGGTTTTACTCGTCCCTCCACAGGCTCGAAGAGCTGGACTTTGACTAGATTGTTAGCGTTAGTTCTTATTCGGCTGGTTCATTGTAGATCTGCTGCCGTTTAGGATGATGGTTCTGTTGATGACCCTGTTGATGAACTCGCTGCTTCAGCACAGAAAGTTCTGGTCCTTTTAGAAACAGCAAGGTGCCCGGGTCCTATGGTTACAGAGCCCAGACCATCACTCCTCTACCGCTGTGTTTGACAGCTGCTGTCAGCACCAAACTGGTTCTAAGTCATGACCTGTGACCTTTAACCTGTAGACTCATATGAAGCTCTTAGTTATTGAGGATTTTTCTGAGCTTCCAGCTTTAGCTGAGTCTCTGGGTCTCAGTGTTCTGAGACGTTCTCCTCTTATGCTACATTCAGAACCCCCGGCGCTAGATGCTGAGCATGTGAGGCGCTTCAGAAGCAGCAGCTGCTGGAGCTGGAAACATTGACCTTTAGCTGCTGGACGCATCAACCAATCAGAGCAGCTGATCTTGGAGCTGGCAGGGAGTCAGATGCAGCCCTGCTGATGCAGAGCGCTATGATCACTCCTCTGAAACAGTTTATTAACGCCTAAATTAACTTCGAATGTAGAAACCTGCCGGCAGAATATGTTGGCTTTTATTATCCTGCTGCCTGCAGTTTGTAGCACAGACCTGAAAAACGCTAACATCTACTTCCAGCCGCCTCCAACAGGAGGGGAAAACCCTGGAGAGGCGAGCGGGCCTGAGGCAGCTGCTGCTGGGGATTCCCAGTGACAGCGCAGCGCCGGTATGTGGGGGTCTGAGCGGCTCAGACGGAAAATAATATTTAAGCTGGATGAACTGACTGCTCAGGTTAAGTTTTCAGGCAGACTTTGTCACTTAAAAACATATTAAACTACTTTCTACCCGCTGATCACAGCTAATATAGCAAAGCTGCTCTCTGGCATCGAACACAGGAGCAGCAGAAGCATCTGGACTCACTTTACTGGACGCGCCTCAGGAGCGTCAGAGCTGCTCCTGAGGCGCGTCTGACTTTAAGGCTGGTTTATACTCAGAAACCAGGTCGTCTGCGTGTGTCGCAGTGAACGCAGATATGCCCCGCCCCCTTCCACAGACACTCTGCTGCTCCTCTCCCAAATTGTAGATGATCGCAGACAGGAGGCCTCTGATTGGTCAGATCTACATCCGCTCTACTCTATGTGTATTTCCTGGTTGGTTCCTTACCAGCTGGTTTTGTTTGTCTGACCGCCATTGTGGAAAATATGGAAAATTTTCCACCTGGATCCCCGCTCTTTTTGGCCCTCATGTCCCTCCGTTGCCCCCCCTTCCTCAGCGCCTCGGCCGTATCTAGACCCACAGCTGGTTCCTGATTGTCCTTCACTGCGACACTCTGCTGGGGGAGGATAACCAGACCTTTAATGTGGACAAGCATAAAAAATGAAGCAGAAGAATCTTTTTCGCAGCTTCCAGCGGTTGCGATCTGAACGTAGCTTCAGTAACAATCGTCCTCTGTAGGAAGCGGGACTGTGGATGGTCAAAATGACCTCATGACCCTTTAAGGACGGCGGTTTGCCTGAACATACGGCTGTAGACGCTCCGTATAAACGGCTGACTTTAAGACTTAGTTAGTGTTTCTATGGGGGGTGGGGGGGGGCTGTCAGGGCCACCATTCAGCAGGCGTTACCCCGGTAAGTTCAGCCTGACCATCTCCCATCCAGTTTGAGCTGAGCGGCTGCAGTGACGTACAGCAGGAGTGTTTGTGTCTGCTTGCAGCGCACCGGGATCAAACCTCTGGAGGGGGAGGCGTTCCGGACGCACTGCCCCAATCCTGCCCACAGGAAGTCCAACATCATCGTCACCAACAGGTGGGTTCAGCTGAAAGCCGCAGAGCTCCCCCCGGGTGGCCGTCTGTGACCGGTTCTGCTCCTGGTTCTGCAGGCGGGTGTTCTGTGTGAAGGAGATGGACCTGTTGGGTCACCTGATCACCGACTGGGAGTGTCTGTTTGAGAACTTCCACCGTCCTCCAGCTGTGAGCGGATCAGAGCTGAAGATCTACTGCAAGGTAACAAACACCCACTGCTTCCAAAATGTCAGCCATCTTTATCTCTGAATCCCTGGAGGAAGATGATGGCTGCCTGACAGTCGCTCTAATGTGCTTCCTGTTGCTTCTTTAAGTTAAAGCTTCATCACCGCATTCGCTTCGCTTGCTTTTAGTTTCCCTTCTGTGACAATCCTGGGAGAACTTTGATGCCTCAACAAATAAAAACCTTTTTAATCCTTAAACTGCTTTGAAGATCTGGATTTCATCCACTTCTCTTAATTTCTTTCTTATTGATGTAGAGATTAAAAGCAAATTAGGAAATAAATTCAGATTACTAATAAACTTTCTGTCTCCACTAAAGACATCAGAACTATTAGGCATCAATTTACTTTCTCAGTACGTGGGAATATACTTTGCTCCATGAGATTCATGGTTTCCTGTGATGTCACTTCCTGTCTGGTTTCTCTGCTTGTTTTTCAGGAGATTCATAAACTGAAGCTTCCGAAAAACCAGGAACCAGTGAGAACGCTTCAGTTAAAAGACCCTCAAATCGCCCAGGTAAGGATGGTGGAGGGACGGCGTCCCCGCGGGACGGTTTGATCTCTAACAGAACGTTAAAGATTACAGGACAAGGACAACAAAACCCTTCAGTTTAACACGCTTGGTGCCATCACCAGCTGTCTATAAGCAAGAGGCAGAGGACAGAGGGGGGGGGCCACCCTGGACAGAGAGGAGGGGTCCACCCTGGACAGAGAGGAGGGGTCCATCATGGACAGAGAGGGGGGGGTCCACCCTGGACAGAGAGGGGGGGGTCCACCCTGGACAGTGAGAGGGGGTTCACTCAGGACAGTGAGAGGGGGTCCACCCTGGACAGAGAGGGGGGGTCCACCCTGGACAGTGAGAGGGGGGGTCCACCCTGGACAGAGAGGGGGGGGTCCATCATGGACAGAGAGGGGGGGGTCCACCCTGGACAGTGAGAGGGGGGGTCCACCCTGGACAGAGAGGGGGGGTCCATCATGGACAGAGAGAGGGGGGTCCACCCTGGACAGTGAGAGGGGTCCATCATGGACAGAGAGAGGGGGTCCATTGCAGGGAAACACAGAAACAAACAACCATTCACACCTAAGGAGGATTTAGAGAAGCCAATTAGCCTAACAGTCATTTTTTTGGACTGTGGGAGGAAGCTGGAGTACCCAGAGAGAACCCACCATGCTCAGGGAGAACATGCAGACTCCATGCAGAAAGACCCTGGGCTGGGAAATTGAACCAGAAACCTTCTTGCTGCTCAGTGGCGCAGTGCTTCCCACTGCGCCACTGAGCAGCCCATTTTGAAATAAAGGCAAATCAAGACAAATTCCAAAAAATCAAATGTTAATAAATAAAAAATGTAATTATTTTAATCTATAAACAATGTTTTAAATTGGAAATGAAACCATCAACCAGACTAACCTCGTTCAGGAGATGGTGATGGTGAGCAGCAGCTTGGTTGCACGCTGGTGCCTTGGTTAGCGTTTGCTTGTAGCCTGCTGGCTTCTCAGCGCGTATTTTGCTTCTACTGAGCATCAGAAATAACAAAGATGTTTGACTGTTTACTAACAGCAAACTGTTAACTCAGCAGCCTAATGATGAAGAATCGGTTTTACATCCGGCTTCTTCTTTCAGCTTTTATTCTAATTCCACTGTGAGAAGAACAGAGCAACGTAATTCACTTGAACCCAAACCCTTGGGGAGCCGTGGGCTGCCATGGTGCGGCGCCCAGGGAGCAGTGGGGGGTTAAGGGTCTTTGCTCAGGGACCCAGAGTGGCAGTGGGAGTGGAGCTTGAACCACAGGATTCATACTCTATGCCCTAACCACTGGGCCGCCACTTCCTGCGGGTGGGGGTGTCGGTCAGGTGGGGAGAGCAGAGCCATTCGCTCTGAGAAGGTTGCTAGTACACTGCTCCCCGGGCGCCACACAATGGCAGCCCACTGCTCCCCAAGGGGAGGGGTTAAATGCAGAGGGTGACTCTTATTTTCCAGCTTGGAGGATTCCTTTCATGTTTCCTCTTTTATTCTCATCAGAAGGTCTAAGTAGTCGAACATTAACAGGCTGTATTTCAGGAGGGGGGGGGGGGGGCTCGCTGGTAGCATTGATAGTCAAACTCTGAATATTGGCCTGAGGAATCATTAAATAACTCAGATGCATGAAGTCTTTAGGTCAGAAAGTCTGCGGTGTGTTTTTATCTCTGCTTTCTATGAACGTTAGTCTTTAATCAACTAAAATACCTCTTAGCAACAAGTTTGTTCCATATGGCCTTAGAACACTGCCTGGTCGTGTGTTGGAACGGCCTAGTCAAAGTCCTGACTTCTCACATCTGAGTGAACAGCTTTCAGTCTGCAGATGTTGAAAGCAGGTAGAATCAAACCCTGAAGCAGTGGAGGCGCATCTATAGCGCAGCTTCTATGCTTTTATTCCAGAGAAACGCTTTAGAAATCGTTTAGACTTCTCCTTCCGTTTCAGTTTAGCTCTGCTCTGTTTTGGTTGGAGGGTTTAGGTTTGTGTTAAAGGTTAAAATGTGGACGAGCTCACAGGAGCCACCAGCGCAGAGCAGGGATCCCTTCCTAACGCCGCCTCTCTCTGATCCTCCGCAGAAGCTGCACGAGGCCATATGGGACGCTCAGGACGCCCAGAAGCAGCACCACATGGTCAGGCAGAAGTCCCAGCGCTTCCTGAGGCTCAGCAAGAAGCAGTGATGTCACATCCTGTCTGGGGCTCCGCTGGGTGCTGGTCTAAGTTGGTCTGTCGGCGACTCAGCTGTCTGGTTTTGGTTTTCTACGTCTTCCTGTTCCTGGAGAAATGTTATTGTTTGCCTAAAGCTGTTGATGGATCATGTCTCAGTGCGAGGCGATCATGATGCCAAACGCTCAGTGGTTTGCTGGAACTACGTTCTTCTGAATATCTGGGTTATTTTGTCCCTGCTTTCTGTCTGCAGGTTTAACGAAGCCATTTAAACTTTTTGCACTAGATTTGCATCGACCACTGTCCCAATAATGGATGTTTACATCACTGTTGGATTTAAGCACAAACCTTTGGATAAATTATATTCCTAGAAAGTTTGTATCTTCAACAAAAAAAAATCAATAAACCTAAAAATGATTAATCAATCTCAAAGTCTGTATTTTTTAAACACATTCCTTTCCTTTAATGAACAGCTTTAAAGAAACAGACCAAAGAGGACCAACACTAGGGCTGCCAACCGTCCCTGAAAGACGGAATCATTCAGTATTTAGAAACAGAAGCACCTGTAACGTATTTGGTGGAAAAGGAACACACTTTGTCCCGTATTACTGTGAGAGTACAGAAATCAGTAAAAAGCTGATGGAAAATGAAGAACCAGGGCTCGTTAGATACAAAACTTACGGTAAACTTGTTCCCTGGCTCTGTCCTGCGTGCAATGAGCTGACAGCACATCCAATTCAATTCAATTTATCTTTATTGTCATTATCACAAGAACAACGAAATAAATAAAAAAAATTGATCGATCAGTGCATATGCTTAAAAACAAAAATCACTGTCACCACCATTTACACATAATATAAGAAATAAATAACAATAACTACGGTGGCTGAGAAGTGCAAAACACATTTACAATTCAAAAACACATTAACAAATAAAAAACAAAATAACATTTGAAGAAACAAAATTATATTTTATGAAACAAATGTATTTTTGAAAAAAAAAAGTTTAAATTTTTAAAAACAAATTTACATTTTAGGAAACAAATTTACATTTTAAATAAGTTAGATTTTAGGTGAGAGAAAGTTTCATTTTAGAGAAAAAAAAATACATTATAGGGAAACAAATTTACATCTAAAAAAAATTGACCGTTCAGAAACACTTGTACAAGTGGAAAGACAAAACTGCAAGCGGCAAAACACATTTACACAGCCAAAAACAAATGAACAAAAGACGGCTACACGGAAAGGGAATGTCCCAGTGACCGGATGTGACGTCCCCATTACCCTGACTTGTAGTACAAACAGCTCAATCTGTAGTCCTCCTGCTTCACGTGAAAAGTCAGTGGCGATTTTAGATGGAAAGAATTGCACTGAAGCTGTTTTTCTTAAGTTTACGCTAACCGAACAATGGTTTGCCCTTATTGTGGTCTCTGGAAGTTTTACGGGACACGGACCAGATGGCAGGACCAAGCAGCAGGGCCGAGCTCAAGTCAGGGTAATGGTGACGTCACATCCGGCCACTGGGACATTCCCTTTCCGTGTAGCCGTCTTTGGTTCATTTGTTTTCAGCTATGTAACTGTGTTTTGCCGCTTGCAGTTTTGTCTTTGCACTTCTACAAGTGTTTCCGAACGGTCCATTTTTTTTTTTTAGAAGTAAATTTGTTTCCCTATAATGTTTTTTTTTTTTCTCTAAAATTAAACTTTCTCTCACCTAAAATCTAACTTATTTAAAATGTAAATTTGTTTTTAAAAATTTTTACTTTTTTTTCCAAAAATACATTTGTTTCATAAAATATAATTTTGTTTCTTCAAATGTTATTTTGTTTTTTATTTGTTAATGTGTTTTGCACATCTCAGCCACCGTAAATAACTGATAAAAACAACTAATAAGAATCGTACATTCTCCATGATTAATGCTTATTTATGGTCATATCAACTCTGAGTTGATTAAAGTCAAGGGCTTATAGGAAACCCTCAACAAGGTCACCATGGCAACAGCAGGATAGAAGCTCAGTCTGTGGCTACACCCACAGGACTTAGAGAAGGAGCAGTGGGTGGAGCCTTTAAAGGCCACATCTCCCATTGGTCATCTCCCTGGGGGCGTGGCCTCAAACTGAACCATTGAAGGGGAGCAGACCACTGATTGAAAGTTACTACCGTAACTACGGTTCTATGAATCCCAGGTGACCGCCAGAAACGGCGCTTTAAGCACAGAATGATCATTGTTGCTCATTTGCAGGATACTGTGGACAGTTCTGTTCTGTCGTCTTACAGCCGCGATCCAAGCTAGCCGACGACTCTTTGTTATCTGTGAAACTTGGTCTCCGTGTTTGCGCCTCCAGGCAGGAAAGCGTGGAAAGTTATCCCATTTTGTAGGTTTTTCCCTCGGCGATCATGTGATGCGCTGTTACAGCCCACAATACTGCAACGGTTTACCATGGTTGAAATCAAGTTACGGTGAAATTAAACGAAATAAAACACGGCTGAGAGGGAGAACAGTACGCGTTAGTCACAGGCAATAGTCTAAGGAAACCGTAAAGTGCGCCGTCAACATGGCGACCACGCAAAGTGGTGACGTCACGACAACCAAGCCCTATGACAATAATGTCACCTGTGAGCTGCAGGGGACCAACTGGACTATATCTAGTCACATGGCTCCCGGCGTTCAATCCCTCAATCTTCTCACAAGAAGCAGAGATTACGAGGGACCAAGTACCTCACCAGCACATGCTTCCCCTGCAAGTCTGGAAGAAAGCTCCGAAGAGCCAGGAGTACAGCCTGGAATTCCAGGACATAAATGTCCTGGAATTCCAGGGGGGTTGTCCCTTATGTTTGTATTAGGCAAAATGAAGAAACCGCCAGGGGGCGGAGCAATTGGAGCATGAAAATGTTCCCTTAGCCTCCCTTAGATCTATGGAAGGGAACCAATCGCCTGGGGAAATTGCCTGCAACACTTCCTTGGTGGTCAGCATATGAAAAGGCATGGCGTTCAGGTAGATGATCAGGCCTCTCAGGTCCAAGACTGGACGCAGGTCCCCGGTCTTTTCTCCCCTTGGATCCCACAGGGGGTCCACAGGCACCATAGCGTCCTTTGCCAGCAAGGTGCGGATCTCTTGGTCCAGTTCCTGTTTCTTCATCGGGTCGTGGCTCACAGTCATCCTCACCCGGCCAGGGACGGGTGGCCTGCGGCGGCTTTGAAGGCGGTACCCCCGGGACAGGATGGACAACACCCACAAATCTGGGGTGTGGGCAGAGGCTGAGCTGTTCCGGGGTAAAATAACCGACCGCAGCCCCCGAGCGATCACCTGCGGCCCCCCCAACCCCATTGAAGGCTGGGGAAGACGCCGACCAGACTGTGCAGCTCAAAAGGGATGAGATGACCTTGGCCCAGCTTGGTATCGAACCTGGTTTCCCTGCTCTGGAGCAGGTCTTTGGACCGTTCTGTGACCTGGCACTGGACCCTGGGGTTCAATCAAAGGAGGAGATGGGTGCAAGGGCCTCCTTAAAGGGGCCGCAGCCGCCCAAGTGCGGGCTGGTTGGTGATCATTTATATATATATATATATATCTCTATCTCTCTATCTATATATATATATATATATATATATATATATATATATATATATATTTCTCAAATGAGAAATACAACAAACGCTATAAAAACTACAGCATCATCCACTGAATAAAGAATTCCTACATTAACATTTCACAGTGAATGACTTTCTATTTCCTCTACTTTCTATTTTCTAACGTTAGACCCAATGTCTGCGTCTAACTCAGTCAATGTCTTCCAGTCAGTCTGAGATAGCCAGACTAACAATAGTCTGCAGACTAATGTTAGTCTGCAGACTAAACTATAGGATCCATCGGCTATAGATGGAACCTGTGGAACGTCTTCCTAAATGCTGCACAGGGAGGCGTCTCTCCAATGGAGTGGGGAGTACCAAGATGGTGGACAGTGGCTTCACTCATTTTTAGGCAATCAGTAATCCAGTGAATAAATCAGTGGAGCAGATATTGGGATTATCTTCCAAAGATTTCAATCTGAAGTTAAAGTTTTACACTTATAAATATGAGATTTGAACATTTATTTTATCTACTAAATGTAAGATTTATATATAAATTTAAGGTCTAAAAATAAATATTACATTAAGATATAGAGCATAGAAAGAAACAATTGTTTGTGACTCTAGAATATTTTTTGTCTGCTTAGAAGATGTCTGGTTGCAGCATAACAGACAGCAATTAATGATGTGTGACGAGTAGTGTAGTGTTAATTTCGTTAACGAAAACTAAACGAAAATATTTTCGTCAACGCACATTTTTCACCCAACGAAAACTAGACGAGACGAGACGAAAATCCCCACTAATAAACAATAACTGGGAGTAAATCAGAAATATTTTTCGTTGACTAATAAAGACGAGACGAAAATGCAGTTCGGTAAATAAAGACTGGACTAAAATCTATGGACATTTTAGTTCACGAACAAAGACGAGACGAAAATTATATATTATTATTTTATGTTTTTTTCAAATCCTGTCTCGTCTCCTCCTCCGCCTCCTCCTCGTCAGCTCCCACACACCCACTTTCAAACCTGGAGCGGGCACAGAGTAGCCTACTCTGGGGCTCGGGAGAAAGAGGAGACGTGATCTATGGACACATTTTCGCTTCATTGAAGTGGAGAACAAAACCAAATGCTTGATTTTAGTGGAAGGGAAGGAATATGGCCACATGATAGCTGGAAAAAACACAACAAACCTGAAGAGACGCGTTGCAGTTCACCACAAAGACATTACGGTAAGTTAACAGAAAGATTGGTTGTTTATAATGTAACATTAAATCAACAGCTATAATGTCCTAATGATAAACTAACTAATGTTGGCTAACTTTCATAGCATTTAGTATCCAGGCTGGCTACGTTACGTTAGCTTGTTAGCACGTAGCGACCGTAGCCACTTGTTGATAGAACTTAGATATGTTATACTGGCCGGGCAACTATAGTTTCAGTTACATTGCAAGTTTGATTAAAGCAGACAGACGCTTTAGGTAAACTAGGAGCAGCAAGTGAACTATAGTTGACACAAAACACCTCAGCAGCTACACATGTATGCTAAATGCTAAAACCAACTGAAACTATCGGTCTTTGACAGTGTGTATCAGGATAAGAAAATTAAAATAATATGCCACACATAATTCAGAACAACTTTAACCTAGATTTTCATACACAAAATAGCCATTGCTAGGGGAACCACTGCGGGGATTTGGATGCAAACATCAATATTAATCAATATTAATAAAACCAAAATGCATGCACACATAAAAATGTCTGCAATTTATTCCTGCATAAAATGATAGTTACGGTAGGTTGTTTGTATGAGTTTGAAATGGATGGTCAAATGTAGTTTTTACAGAGATTTAGTTTTTGTTAAGGAAAAAAAGAGACCTATATGCTACTTATACACTTGGAATTCCTGTTATGCTGTTTATCTATCCTGATATTGTATTAATTTCTGTTCCAGATTGAAGATCCACCACCACCAACAACCACCCAGAAACAATGACAGGCCAGCTATACAAGCTTCCTTAATTGCCCACACCAAATACAAAGCTGACTCTCAGGACCAGCAAGCTATGCCTTGTTTCACATAAATACTGTACCTTTATAAACCATGTGAACTAGCTGGCAGGAACGCACTTTTGTTGTATCTGTTGGAGTTATTTTTTTCACATCATTGATCTCAAATCTATTTATTTCTATCTATTTATTTTATTATTCTATGTGAACTAGCTTTAAACAGCCAGCACTTGTGTTAAGTTCATAAGACACTTTATTTTATTTATTTGTTTCCTTTGTCAGGTGTATTTTATTTGTTTTATTGCAAGCATTTGTGTTTGTGTCTTTAAACCTTAACAATGTTCAAAATAAATATGCAAATATTGTCAGAACATCTTCCATGTCTGCATTTGTTCCTTAAAATAGTGGGGGGGTTTTTTATCAAAAAGATGAGAGAAAATGTTGAAATGTGAAATCATTTTAGGAAATGTTAAATATTATCTGCTGACAAAAAAGTAAAAGGTTAAAATTATGTCCTGACTAAAACTAGACTAAAATGTTGACGGTTTTTGTTGACTAAAACTAAACTAATAAAATTATGTTTTCTTGGACTAAAATAAAGACTAAAATGCTCGACTTATAGTCGACTAAAACTAGACTAAATAAAAATGGGATGATGTCGACTAAATGTGATAAAAACTAACAGGCGATGCTGAAACTTAAAAATGGCTGCTAAAATTAACACTAGAGTAGTGAGCCTTGTTTCTTCCACACATATAATAATAAGATCAAAATGCTCCGCGTCAATCTTTGTTGGTTGTTGCTGAAGTTATAAAACTCTTTGTTAAAGCTGAGTTTAAAAATAGAACTTATTTTGATCAAATATAAAACCTCTAATCCCTCTCTAGGGAGCTGAAACTTCTTTAGGCCAAACTTCCTGCTGCTGATCAGGGACGTTTCACGCACTAATTTGTTTTCATTATTCACTCAGAGTAAAGGTGTGTCCTGGAAAAAAGTATCAACTATTCATCGTAGTTAAATAAACAGAGATCGGTGGATTTCACTCAGTCGGCACATTTATTCATATCTTTGCAGAGAGATTACAGTTCATCATACAGTCCTAATGGCAGCAATCTCCCCTGTTCTGATCTGAGCAGCAATCGTTCCTCCTTACTGACAATAATGGAAAGCAGTCAGAGTCTAAACTAATTACAGAAACTTTGGTTAAAAAATGTTATGAATAAACCTGAGAAAGAATCTGGTTTGTTATGGAAGAAGCTGCGTCTGCTCTACAAACAGCATCCTGCAGAGACTGAGTGAAAACTTTTATAGTGACTAAATAGCATAGATTAATATATAATAGAAGAGAAATCTAAATGTTCCAACAAGGTGTTAAATAATAAAACACAATAATAAAACCAACAACAGAATTACTTTTCTGCAGAAGAGGAGAGAAGACGGAGAATTTCCCTCCCTGAAATGTTTGCTGACCCTGGGAGAACCGTTGCTCTCCCAGTTTGAACTTTCACCGCAGGCTAAATGAGCGTAACTTCGCTCAATAAAATGACTTTTTACTAAAAATAATAAAATGGCTTCCAGCTCCTGTTGAGGCTTTCTCACAGGTTGTCATGGATACCAGTTATGAAATGATGACCAAATTCTTTGTTGTTTTACTGCAAACATGACGAGTCGCAGGGATTGCTGTGGCATTGCAGGGGATTGCTGTAGGGTTGCAGGGATTCCTGTGGGGTTGCAGGGATTGCTGTGAGATTGCAGGGATTGCTCTGGGGTTGCAGGGATTGCTCTGGGGTTGCAGGGATTGCTCTGGGGTTGCAGGGATTGCTGTGGGGTTGCAGGGATTGCTGTGAGATTGCAGGGATTGCTCTGGGGTTGCAGGGATTGCTCTGGGGTTGCAGGGATTGCTCTGGGGTTGCAGGGATTGCTGTGGCGTTGCAGAGATTGCTGTGGCGTTGCAGGGATTGCTGTGGGGTTGCAGGGATTGCTGTGATGTTGCAGGGATTGCTGTGGGATTGCTGTGGGGTTGCAGGGATTGCTGTGGGGTTGCAGGGATTGCTGTGGGGTTGCAGGGATTACTGTGGGGTTGCAGGGATTGCTCTGGGGTTGCAGGGATTGCTCTGGGGTTGCAGGGATTGCTCTGGGGTTGCAGGGATTGCTGTGGCGTTGCAGAGATTGCTGTGGCGTTGCAGGGATTGCTGTGGCGTTGCAGGGATTGCTGTGGGGTTGCAGGGATTGCTGTGGCGTTGCAGAGATTGCTGTGGCGTTGCAGGGATTGCTGTGGGGTTGCAGGGATTGCTGTGGGGTTGCAGGGATTGCTGTGGGGTTGCAGAGATTGCTGTGACGTTGCAGGGATTGCTGTGGGGTTGCAGAGATTGCTGTGGGGTTGCAGAGATTGCTGTGGCGTTGCAGGGATTGCTGTGATGTTGCAGAGATTGCTGTGACGTTGCAGGGATTGCTGTGGGATTGCTGTGGGGTTGCAGGGATTACTGTGGGGTTGCAGGGATTGCTGTGAGATTGCAGGGATTGCTCTGGGGTTGCAGGGATTGCTCTGGGGTTGCAGGGATTGCTCTGGGGTTGCAGGGATTGCTGTGGCGTTGCAGAGATTGCTGTGGCGTTGCAGAGATTGCTGTGGCGTTGCAGGGATTGCTGTGGGGTTGCAGGGATTGCTCTGGGGTTGCAGGGATTGCTGTGGGGTTGCAGGGATTGCTGTGGGGTTGCAGGGATTGCTGTGAGATTGCAGGGATTGCTGTGGCATTGCAGGGATTGCTGTGGGATTGCAGGGATTGCTGTGGGGTTGCAGGGATTGCTGTGAGATTGCAGGGATTGCTGTGGCATTGCAGGGATTGCTGTGGGATTGCAGGGATTGCTGTGGGGTTGCAGGGATTGCTCTGGGGTTGCAGGGATTGCTGTGGGGTTGCAGGGATTGCTGTGGCGTTGCAGAGATTGCTGTGGCGTTGCAGAGATTGCTGTGGCGTTGCAGAGATTGCTGTGGGGTTGCAGAGATTGCTGTGGCGTTGCAGGGATTGCTGTGGCGTTGCAGGGATTGCTGTGGCGTTGCAGGGATTGCTGTGGCGTTGCAGGGATTGCTGTGATGTTGCAGGGATTGCTGTGGCATTGCAGAGATTGCTGTGGCGTTGCAGGGATTGCTGTGGCGTTGCAGAGATTGCTGTGGGGTTGCAGAGATTGCTGTGGCATTGCAGGGATTGCTGTGGCACTGCAGGGATTGCTGTGGCGTTGCAGAGATTGCTGTGGGATTGCAGGGATTGCTGTGGGATTGCAGGGATTGCTGTGGCGTTGCAGAGATTGCTGTGGGGTTGCAGAGATTGCTGTGGCATTGCAGGGATTGCTGTGGCACTGCAGGGATTGCTGTGGCGTTGCAGGGATTGCTGTGGTGTTGCAGAGATTGCTGTGGGGTTGCAGAGATTGCTGTGGGGTTGCAGGGATTGCTGTGGCGTTGCAGGAATTGCTATGGCGTTGCAGGGATTGCTCTGGGATTGCAGGGATTGCTGTGGGGTTGCAGGAATTGCTGTGGGGTTGCAGGGATTGCTGTGGGATTGCTGTGGGATTGCAGGGATTGCTATGGGGTTGCAGGGATTGCTGTGGCATTGCAGGGATTGCTGTGGCGTTGCAGGGATTGCTGATTGTGCTGTGGATGCTGCAACCTCAGTAGGCGTAGTTCTAGCCTAAAGCTGGTTGCTGTGGATACGCAGCGTAGCATTCCCGGGCCCAGTGTCCGTAGCGGCCGCAGGAGTAGCACCTCCCTCTCCTCCTGGAAGTATAAGGAGGCGGGTAGTCTGACGGCATCACCTGGAGCTCCACCTCCTTCTTCTCCTCCTTCTTCTCCTCCTCCTCCTGCTCCTCCTCCTCCTCCTCCTCCTCCTCCTGCTCCTCCTCAGCTTGTTTTTGTGCATCAAACATGTCCATATTCTCCATGTCCCGTAATGCTGAGATGATTTTTGGAACGCTGTACGTTTTCCAGACGATGACCTTCTCCTTGAACAGCTCAGAAACATGTGGCTGTAACAGCTGCACTAAGTTGAGGGCGAAAAGGGCCTCAAGTTCGTCGCTGGTGCCATCGCACCAGGAGCTCCACATTTCCTGGAAACGGGACAGGAAGTCCGTCACAGACTCTCCGTGTTTTTGTTTATACAAAGCAATTAAATCGAAGAAGTCGTTGTACTTCCAGGCCACAGAGACGATGGCGGGCCTGCAGGCTCCATCCAGCCAGGCGGTCATGGCGTCAGTGGACCAGTCAGCGTTGCTGCTTGCTCCTGGAACCCAGAGGTCTTCTTCTACTTCCTTCCATTTTTGGTTATAGAGAAGCCTGAGCAGCTTGCTGACGTCAGCAGGACGCGGTTCAAACGCCATGCAGGTAAGACGCAGCCACCTGAAGAAGGCCAGCGGTTTGGTGAGAGGATCAGGAGCTTTCTGGACTAGATCCATCAGCTCAGCCGGGCTCCATGGAGGCAGCAGCTGGCCGCTCGTCTGCGTTCCTTTGCTGAAGCTCCGGAGCTCTTTGGTTTGAGTTCCTCTGTCCTTCTGCTCCGGTGCAGGTTTTGCTTCTGGCTGCTGCTGCGGCGCATTAGCGCCCCCTACAGGCAGCGTAGCCTCAGCGTTCTCCCTCTCACCCAGCCACCCCACAGCCTGCAGCTCCCTCAGCATTTTCTCAGCCGTCGGATGGGCTTGGGAGTCGAGCCAATTGCAGACCCACGCAGAGAACGGATTGTCTCCATGACCCGGAAACGTGTTCTGAATCCGCTGTCCGTCTGCACCGCCCGTCCTCAGAGAGCCGTCCTGCTGAGGACTCAAGTCCACCGCCTCTTCCTTCTCACCTGGCAGCATGGTCTCACCTGGGAGAGACAGCTCTGGTTCTGTGTGATGCATGGGTCTTGCAGTCTGATGTTTGGAGCATTTGGAGCCCATAATGGCCGCTGCCTCCTGGAAAAGAGGTCAGGAGAACGTTAGCATGTTCTGATTCAGATGTTCGGATCAGGTTCCCAGTCTGTTCCGACCTGATCCGTTTAACCGCTGGTTCTTTACTGCCAGGGAAAAACCTACTGGGTGTTGATTCAAACCTGCTGTTGGATTTAAAGTCATGTCATCTCATGTGAATTCATTTAACCTCATTTAGACAAATTAGAAAATGTATTTATTGAAACATTTTCTAATCATAACTTTAGGATGATAGAGGACATCAATGAAATGGGATCCTCTATGTTTTATGACCCATTAGGGGCCACAGTGCCAGGACCCTTTAGTCAGGGAGTTTATGGCGATAATATCTAATCGTCAACCAAGTATCGTGATGCATATCGTATCGCACCCCCTCACCAATATCAGTACCGAAACAGCCACTTAAACTTGGAGCAGTGATGGAAAGATTATATATGCCTCTAATTAAATGAAATAAAAGCATGTACCAATATAGCATTAATAGTTAAAGTTCATTATGTTGTAATGCATTAGAATTTGTACCGAAAGAAAATATACGGTTGGTAGAAAAACAAATATACAGTATTTCATTTACACCTCATCCAACGATTATGTAATTTAGTCACGACTCAAATATGTGATAAAATCTTACAAACTTCCACTGAAACAGTGAAATTTCCACATTTAAACCAGCCGTCCAGATTAGTGGACTTTAAAGAACGCAATTAGAACATTAATTAAACAAGATCAACACAATTAAACATAAACAGTTTAAACTGTCTAACCATTCGCAATGAAGAATAAAATCTTTACTAGATATTTCAATAAACGTATCTGTTAGTTTTTGCAAAATAAAATATACCTTATTTGGCAAAAAATAAAAAATAAAGGTTAGTGCCGGGCAACCTTCCACTAAGCCCCAAGTTCCTTTAACTGGGGGCTCTGATCAGACTGCCCCAGACTGCCCCACATGTGCAGAGAATCTGCCAATCATGTACTATTGCTAGGTCAATTTAAAGGAATAGTACACCCAAAACATGCTTAGCCTTCATTTTCTACTCACCCCCATGCTGAACAACACTCTGGAGTACTTTTTTGATATCTCAAATGCATCTGGAGATCTGGGAGGCTTCTTGCTGCCTGCTGACATTCAAATAATGGAGGTCTATGGCGCCCGAGGCAGAAAGGTCCATAAAAGTCCACAAAAAACATGTCAATATTCCTCCATACTGCTCGTCCAATGTATTCCAAGTGTCCTGAGTGGGTAGCGTCCAGAATTTACTCGAAACGAAGTCATTTAGAATGTTTTTAGAGCATAAACAGTAGTGTATAGGATTTCCTAAAAGCGCGTTCACGAGTCTACGGAAACCGCGGCAGACCAAACCAGATGAAAGTGCGCATTCAGCATCTGCTCTGCCGATAATGCAAGCGTAGAAGAAGAAATTTGCTGTTTACCTGTGCAAAGAAAGAAACAACGAAAGAAAAATGTCTGAGGACTTCAGTGTTGAGGAAGAGCATGAGTTCTTTGCCGAGCTGAATGCGCACTTTCATCTGGTTTGGTCTGCCGGCTTCCGTAGACTCGTGAACGCGCTTTCAGGAAATCCTATACACTACTGTTTATGCTCTAAAAACATTCTAAATGACTTCGTTTCGAGTAAATTCTGGACGCTACCCACTCAGGACACTTGGAATACATTGGACGAGCAGTATGGAGGAATATTGACACGTTTTTTGTGGACTTTTATGGACCTTTCTGCCTCGGGCGCCATAGACCTCCATTATTTGAATGTCAGCAGACAGCAAGAAGTGTTGTTCAGCATGGGGGTGAGTAGAAAATGAAGGCTAATCATGTTTTGGGTGTACTATTCCTTTAATAATTTAATGGCCAATCAGCGTCTCAGAATTTTATGGTCTTGGGGCTCTGAAAATACTGCCCTTTAACAGGCTTCTGCACCCAATGCGCAGGTGCAGACAATTAGAGGGAAGATGGCGAACGTAAAGAGCGAGATGCAGCTTCCACCAAATTCAGTGAGATCCTTATTTATCTACCTGTTTGCCAGAAGAACATCCCTGTTGTAGGGGGAAAATTTCATGTCATGGTTATTGTGACTAATCGACCTCGTCACTTAAAACATCCTCTAACTTTGCGCGCCACACACACATTCCTGTTATTCTGTGTTTGTGAGGACCAATCCGCTCGCGCTGAGCCCAGTAGCTCCATTAACTTAAAACACACAAGCTGTTCCTGGTTACCTGCTGGCGTATTGAGGGGGCACACTTAATATTTCAGTGGGGTTAGCCGTGTGTGTGTGTGTGTGTAGGTGGGGCGGGGGGTGGGGTGGGGGGGGGTGTCTGTGTGTATGCTACGGGGATGTGTCATCTTCAGTCTGGCGGCGTCTTTGCTGGGTTCAAACCCGAGGCATCGCTCAGTAAGCGGTTAAAACGCCACAGTTGTTGGAATGCGGAAGTGACGTCACCAACACTTCACTCGCTAAATGTTTGTCAGATTATATATTTTTTTTATTTTATGTTTAAAAGTTTGGTGTAATTGAATAAGTCAATGAATCTGTGTAAAATAATTAAGTTGTAAAAATTATTTGTTTTTGTATATCAATTGTTTGTGGAGGTAATATATGGACAAAACTGATTAATCAGAAGAAATCAGAAATAAGAGAGCCTGAGGGGAGGGGCTTAAGCTATTTAATGAGGGCTGTGGGAAGAAGAGCGGCCATTTTTGTTTTCTGTTTCTTTGTTCCATTGCTGGTAACTGGAGGGAGGCTGAGGCCCAGAGGATCTTCTACATGTTTAGTTTCTTTTGCACCCTGTTTGGAGTTTTTGAGCTCAATAAATCACCAACACCGGTAACCCGACTGAGCCTGGATTCTTGGAGGCCAAAGAACCCCGTCACAGTGACCCAAATCATCACTGTTACTGTTATTATATAGTAAATTAAATCATTACTGTTAAATTGTATTTCATTTCCAATTGTTTATTTGAATAGGGGGTTTTCAGTGACGTCACTGGCCAGCTTCCGGTCCGCCATCTTGGGTGGCATAATATCGTATATCATATATATCATGTCGCGAATGGATAAGTACGCCAGCACGCTAGATCCACCAGATCATGGAACATATCTGAGGAAATGTTCCGTGATCGACCATATGGACCCCTATGCCCTCCACGGTGCCTCGTTTAGCACTAATCCAGATGATTGGCCAAATGTAGAGCACGGTAACATAGTTCATTACCCGGTGTTCAGTGAAAAACCTCTGCACACTCTGGAGGAAATGAGAGCGTACAAGGGTCTAGAGGCTCACAAGTTCACATCTGGTTGGGTACGAGATGTCGAAGTGATGTACATGAAGGAAATCGCCATCATACGTGGACGGGTGAGTTTTAATAAGATGGTAAAAATGTAAACAATCCGACGCAGGGCTCGCTATGCTAGGTGGCTAACGGCCGGCAGTGCGCAAACAGTTCCAAAGCTACAAGTCCTTGGAGTCTCATGTGCAGTTTACGAATGGATGGGTTCAGGAGCTGCAGCTCATAAAGCCAGCAAACAGTGCTAACCGTTAGTGCTAACAACCACTCAGGCATGTAATGTACTTTTAACTAGCTGCTATGTGTTTCAAAGGTTTGGTTAGTAACGTTAACTGCCAAACCTTCCTAAACCCTCCGGGTTTCTCACATATTTGAGCCTTTTCCCGCTGGTTGAAATCAAGTTAAGGTGAAATTAATCAAATTTAAACACGGCAGAGAGAGGGAGTCCAGTACGCGGTGGTCATAGGCAGTAGTCTGAGTAGCGGCGGCGGAGACGGTCAACATCGCGGCCACGGAAAGTAATACGTCATGACGCCCAAGCCCTATTATTAATATATTCTTACATGTTTTAAATGCTTGACAGTTAATTACCTGTGACAAAGTGAGCACTGCAGACTCTGGCGTATTCCAGCTTAACACCGTCCAAATCGGACCTGGATATCCGTGTCAGCCATAGGTGACGGCGTTGTTCAGATAGCTGTTTTGTTTTTTCACATTGATTCACGATTATGGCTGGTATGCGATAGAAAGAGCGTTGATCTCCACCTCCACGGGCCGTGCAACCAACAATTACACACGATTTCACCATTTTTCACTGTCAATACTGCCTAAGGCTGCCACCCAATATGGCGGACGCGCTGAGTAGTCACGTGAGCGTGACGTCACCTGAAAACCCCCTATTCTTATTCTGGATTAGTTGGAGACATACACTAGGCCCGTGGTCCGCAACCAACGGACCTCGGTCCGGATACGGACCCATATGCCATTCCATCCGGACCCGGAATAAATTGTTAAAATATTTGTTAATTTTGACGGGAGAATAAATTTTAAACCGGAGCATTTATTTTTTTCCCTATCTGACACAAGTGCTTTTACCAGCACTGCACTGAGCAAGGATTGGAAGCTACAAACCAACCGCGTGTGGGTTGAGTCATTGGATCGAGGAGGAGTGCGGTTGGCGGTCCGAGAAGGAATCGCGAGTGGGCGCATGGCGCTAATTGAATGAGCATTTGATTTCTTATTACTATATTCAACTCATTGTTTGGGAACATTGGCGAGAATCGATGAGTACCTCGTCGGAAGAAGAAGACGACGACGACACTGATCTGAGGCATAAACCAGTTTTTGACTGGATCAGGATGGCGGCTCAAGGTGTAGAGGATGAGGAAGAGCTAGAAAGTGATTCGGATATGGATAGTTGGACGCCAGTTGGTAGTTACCGGAGAAGTGGAAAATTCAAAAATAGTGAAGCGGGCAGAGCTTGTGGGAATTCAGGAAACAAAAGAAACCTTGAAGACAACAGCACAGATAATGGAAGCAAGGGTGTACGTAAAAAAAATCATGAAAGAAGAGGTGAAGATAATATTAAAATTCAGAAAGGAAGATGAAAATATTATTCTGAGCCCAGTATTAGTTTCTAAGGAACTAAAAAAGAAAGTGGGGGAAGTTGAAATGGCTAAAACTCT